AAATTATATTTTTATTTGAAACCTTAAAATTTCTTTTTATAATTCCTTAAAAATTTTTTTCAATTTTTGGTTATGAATTAAATGAATAGATGGAATAATTTTAAAAATATACCATACCGTATATACTCTATTAATTAACCTCCCTTAAATAATTACCCCTCTCTATTAGTTACCCCCACCAGCGAAAGGATGAAACAGTAATTACCCCTTAAAAACTAGTTACTTATATAATTAGCCTTCCTAAAATAACCACAAATAATAACCCGCCTCTATCCAGAGAGAGGTCGAAAATTTTGACATCTTTTTTATCTGATAAAAAATTAAATACAAATTTTTCCATCAAGACGGGGTTGTGATAAAAAACTCAAAAACGAATATTCATTTTATTCTAAATTTTATCAAAAGTACAAATATAAAAATAATGTAAATATTTTTATATAATGAATTTTAGATAAAAAATTATTTAATGTTTATTTAATAAAATATTTTTATGCGAGTGAATTTTCCATGTTAATCTGAATTCCGAAGACGAAAGAGACAGAATTGAATTGAAAACGGAAAACAGAATATCTTATACGCCCACTTTATGTAATAGTACAGCAAATTAAAATACGTTATAAATAAAAAGTATAATTTTTATCAACTTCTTAGAACACTCTGATTATAACAAATTTGAGACGCTAATAATTGCGGCTTTGGAGACTTGGAAAAAAGAGGAAGGAAATTTTTTTCGTTTTGGTGATTTTTACTCTGTATTTGTTGAAGCATACTTAGAGCTTGAATGCTTTTAAGGATGATCCTCGATCTCTTATCAACCTCTAACCAAGGATATAATCTAAAAATACAAACTTTTGCATAAATAATTTTAACAATATTTCATTTTCATTAATTTAATTATATTAATTTATTAATTAACAAAAATATGTGATCACTAAAGAATATGGATAAAAAAAACCACCATTCCGTTATATGTACACATTATTTTTCTACTTAGCTGGAAAATTACTTAGCTGGAAAATACTTTTATGTATATTTATTAATCACATTTTAGTAAAAGCTGTAATAAATTAATTTATGTAGCTATACATACTACATTTAATGATATTTTTTTATTTATTTTTATTTAATAAATTTTTTATTTAAAAAAATTTTAATTATAAAAAATAATTTAAATTTTTAATTTGAATAAATTTTATTATTGAAGTTGTTAGTATAAAATTAAAATAGGTATACATATTAGCTAGAGACTACCAAGATTTTAGTTTAGATTCATACTTTCATGTAGTTTTTTTCTATTTTGGTATAGGCGTAAAATATAGGATTAGAATAGAGTTGGCTTCAAACGATTAGCCAAACCAGGATCGAAGATCAGGTGACGGGCAATTGACCAAAATTAAAACACACCCTTAATTATGATTTATTTGTGACTTTTTTGATATTTAATTTCCAAATCTATCAACTAAACATTAAAGTAAATTTTATAATAGATTATTATTAGAAATTTCCCGTATAGACCAATGATATTAAAATCTGGAATTCTCTTCTTAATATTTTTTTACCTTTGTGAGTGCAATTTGAATGACAGAAATTTAGCTTTAATTGCTAATTTAAATCGTTTGCCACTTGTCCAACGTGTACAACCAATTGAAAAACTTTCTAAAAATATTCAAACACACAACGAATGGTACCCGCAATGTTTATTAGAAAAAATTTAAGCACTGGTCTAGTTTAGTAGTCCAATGAAAGTTTATCCAATCATGATTTATTAGTCCAATGAAGGTTTATTAGTTCAATCAAAAGTTTATAAGTCCAAACAAATAGTGATTAACAGTGCTGGGTATTGAGCATTTTATGGCTCCGGCTCCGACCTTTTTAAGATCTTGGCCCTACTCCCGGTATAATACATCTTTGCTATGTTTTTATTAGAGACAAGTAACATATCGCGCTCCCTCGACGTGTACCAAAATTCATACTCGTACTTCATACTTTGTACGAAGTAGGCGTATAAGGCCAGAAATAGATACGTGTACGAGGTAACGTGTAATTTTTTAATTTTAGTATCGAAAACTCAGAATCTAGAATAAGTTCAGAATGTTGTGGTGAGAAAATGTCTTATTCTTTTACTGTAAAAACAAATAATAATTTGACTGAGAATGTTATAAGTGGACTAAAGTTTGATTGCGCATTTGTATCCGTTCTAAACAAATATAAACTTAGTGATAAATACAAAATTAATCAAAAAATTCAGGTTAAGTACCATATTTTTGTAAAATAACTCCTGTCTGAAATAATCTCCCCCCCCCCCCCCACTCCTCAAACTAGAATAGCCCAACTCTAGAGGTCGATCGAAATATAGTTCAGAATTTCAATAAGTCTTAATTTAATTTAATCGTAAAACAAATCAAAAATTTATTTTCTTCAATGTTAACTGATCTAATAATTAAAGTAACTTCTAAATTAAATAAAGGTAAAAAAGCCAGGAAACGATCTTTTTACAATTGTGACAGCTGCAGATATAAATTATTTTGGTACGTTACGTAAACTTTTGTATGGCTTGAAAAAACAATTTGGCTGTTCTCAGAAAATTATTGGTTATGATCTTGGAGGGATTAGTGAAGATAAAAACAAAGTAATATCTAATATTTTTTCCTAATAATTATGTGGATATATTACGAGTCGAACAAAAATTAAATTTCGAGAATCGATGTTTTTTCGAGATAACGAACTGAATCACTTACGAGCTCATAAGTGCTAATGATTTTAAATATAAACAGATGGATGAATTAAGTCAAGTTTGTGGACTAGAATGGAAAAAATTTGATTGGAGCCTTATGCCAAAAGACGTTCATCATCTCAATGTTTATGCCTGGAAGATTTACATCATAGCAGTTTTGATAAAAATTTAAATATCAAATAAATAAATTTAAGGAAATATATTCAAAATATGATACATTTGTTTGGATGGATACTTCTATAGTAATTAATGATGCAAGTTCGTTCAACCCTATTTTTGAGGCTTTTGAAAAGGATGTAATATCTGGAACAGTTTTCCCTGGACGTATAATATTTTAAAAATATTAATTCTAATTAAATATCTCGTGATTATTTGGATTATTAATTTGGACTATAAAGACCCTTTGGTTATACTTCTGTAAAAAGGACATATTCGGCTATGAAATGGGTCTAAAATTATATTCTAGGAAAACTTAAAAATTTACTAAGCTTTAACAAAACGAAGCAAAGGGCCTTTATAGCTATGTCCACTACTGTAAATTTTTAGCAGCATGGCATACTATACAATTTGCAACAAATCCAAGTCTGTGAAAATTAGATACGCAAAAATATTATTTAATTTTATAGGGACATATACGTATTTACCTTTGTTAACTAACTGGATTAAAATTGAAAATAACGAATGGGATAAAGACATGTATGAAGCAAACTTCATTATAATGCATAAAAGCGAGGATACTAGACAAATACTTAAATGGTATAAAGTTTGAATTTATTAAAAAAGATTAATCTAAAAAATGTGATTCATAAAGAGTTTGGTTTGCGTTAATCGAAAAAATTAGATCGTGAGCCGAGGAGGACAAAAAACCGACTGAGATAAAAAGAATAAGGACTTTTTCTCAGTCTTACAAGCCCGGATAACAATCAAAAGGGTTATTCGTGGAACCTTATTGTTACCTAAGTTGAAACATATGTCAATTACCATATATTTTCCTTCACATTATAGATTATATCTTAATTATCCAGTCTTATCTTTTTAAGAGATATAGATTAGGTTGGTTTAAATTGGATAAAATGTTCTGCTTATTAAATAACCAATCCTTACTCAGAAATCCTTTTCTATATTAATAGGGCACTTCTCTGCGCATTAACTAAACAATGCATTGATCCAGATGATTCTAAGTTGAATTGTCCTTCTGATTGGACTTTGATTGCTGCATGCCATCGATTTGATCAAAGCGTTTTTGGAATTCTTAGAGTTAATAGCGAATATCAACGTTTTGTTATAAACAATGGTAATACAATAATAAGCTCACGGAATTTTTGTGTTACCCCTCTTATCGTTTTTGATGGTAAAAATCTTCCCATTCTAACGGATTAACTTTCAATTTATGAAAGTTCATTATTTGACTAAGAACCATCAAAAAACAATCAAAATTTAAACCAATAATTTTTAAGATACGAAATTTCTTCCTCTTTTCCACCCTGATCATCCAAAAAGAAAAGTTAAACACATAGTTCAAAGATATGCAGAGTTGGACGATAATTTGGACTTTAAGAAAGGCGTTGAGTGCTGTTAAAAAGCTAATAAATCGAATTGATATCAATTAATTATTACAAAAATTATTTTTATCAATATTTAAATTAAAAAAATAAATTTATTAACAAAAATTTCCTTCACATTACACTCTGTCACAAAAGTATAAGCACCCCCCCCCCCCAATTTTTGTAAAAATACATAACCCCTAGGCAGTATTTGTCATAATTTTTTCCTGCATTAGCAGCGATCCAAAACATCAATAAAAATAAAGTTTCAGAAAATTTTATCAAGTTAAATATTTTAAAATTGAATTTTCTCGAAAATAATGTGTCACAAAAGTATAAGCACCCCTGAAAAATTTAATTTCTACTTAATGCAATATTCTACAAAAAAATACAGTAAACATCTCTATCGATACCCTAAGACAAAGCAAGACTTTATCCAAGACCAAGAATCTTGGTTTTGGAGTCTAGTCATGGTCTTAAGTTTGAAAAAATTTCGGTCTTGGACATCTATAAACATATCTTCTCTTGTAAAGCTTCCTTTAGTTTACAAATAAAGTCTGACTTTGTTTAAAATAAATATTTTTATTCTTTGTGTGGCGGAATGGGGAGTACTCAAAATTTCAAAGTACATTTACTAATTGATAAGAACAAAAAAGATGTTTGTGCGAACATTGATTTTTAGTTTTTTTTTAATTTATTAATTTTTAACCGAAATTAATAAATCACATTCAGTGTTTGAAAATTTAAATTTTCTCGCATTTGTTCTTGGCCCGTTTTATTTTGTCATATTCATACCTGCCTACTTTTTTCTCGTAACCGTACCGCCCACATTTTTGGCTTCACAACTTTCTAGTTTTTCGAGTACAATTATAAATTTCGGTGCGAGCTACCTTAACAGTGATCACATCCTGTTTTCCCGGCTACGCGCCTTTGGGGATAAGACTTTTGGGGACCCGACGGTTGAAACGATTTTTGTGGACCCGACCATTGGCGATCCGACACCTACATAAGTTTTTTTCTAGACTTTAAACTTTTCAACTTCGGGTCCCTAATTGTCGTGTCCCCAAATGTCTTTTCCACAAATATCGCGCCACGGTTTTTCCCATTTATTACAGTTTAGGCATTTTGTATTTTAGGCATTTTGTACATGGATTTTAAAATTATGATAAAAAAATTTTCTTTTAAATTAAAAAATTTTATACATTTCTAGATTTTAAAATTTTTTATTAAATTAACTAAAATGTTTTTCTCCCCAAAATTAAACTCTAAAGCAAAAAATGTTTATGATGTAGCCATTGTTGGTGGGGGAATTGTTGGGTGTGCTACTGGTTGATAGATTTTTTATTTTTTAATTTTAACTGTTTAAGCAAGACAATTAAAATTGAGTAAACCAAATTTACGAGCAGTTTTGGTGGAAAAGGAAGCTAAACTTGGTAAATTATTGTAGTACATGGTGATATTTTTGCGGACAATTTTTTTGATAATCCGCAAACATTTTTTTTTTGGATTTTCCAATAATCCGCAAACAATTTTTTGCGGATTTTTCGATTTTTTTCGGACAATTTTTTTGATAATCCGCAAATGGTAATCCACAAAATTTTTTAAGAGAATTGCGTAGTCCGCAAATAATTTTTGCGGATTTCTCAGTTTTTTGCGGATAATTTTATTTCTAATCCGCAAAATTGTGTGCGGATTCTTGCTTAATCTGCAAGCAATTTTTGCGGATTTTTCAATAATCCGCAAAAATATTTTCTCTTTTTTTTTCCTTTTCCCCCAATTTTTATATTAATTTTAGCTGCCCACCAAAGCGGTCACAACAGCGGTGTTCTACATTCGGGCATTTATTATGTCCCCGGTAGCCTTAAAGCACGCCTATGTGTCAAAGGTTTCCAAATTTTTAAATTAATTTTAAAGGAAAATAAACTTAGAATTTTTGAGGCATCGACATGGCTTATAAATTTTGTGATGAAAAATCGATTCCCTACAAAAAATGTGGAAAGTTGATTGTTGCTTTGAATGAGGGGGAAATTGTTGGACTTGAGGTTGTTTTCTGTAAATTTTTTGGGGAATTTTTGAGAGAATGAAGAAATTTTTGAAAAATTTTTTAGTAAAATTTTTGGGGTTTTTAGAGGATAAAAATTCTTAAAATTTGATAAAAAAAAATTTTTGGAAAAATTTAAATTATTTTTTGGATTAAAAATTGTGTCTAAGAAATTTTTTAACTTAACAATTCTAATGATTTTCAAAATTTGTTTTGTCAAAATTTTTATAAAAATTTTGTGATCAAAAAATTTTATTCATTTTTTTGAGAAAAAATTCTTTTTAGTTTTTTAAATTTTAATTCTGAATTTATTTGTAATTAAAAAGTTTTCAATAAATTTCCTAGAATTTTTAATTTAAAAATTAAATTATTTTTTACTCTTCCAATCATTATTTTTTTCTTATTAGAATCTTTTCGATCGTTCACAAAAAAATAATTGTCGGGATATTTCTGTTGTAGATGCTGCCAGGATACGAGAAATTGAGCCTCATTGTCAGGTTTAATATTTTTTTTAATTTTTTAATTTTGGTTTTATTTTCTTTTAAATTTCAAATTGTGTAAGCTCCCTGGTTATTTTGAATTATTAAAAAAAATATTTTAAAAAGTTTTTGGGATCAAATGTCGTTTCGGGTCAAATATTTAATTTTAAGGGGGTGAATTTGTTTTATTTACTAAAGTTTTGTGTTAGATTTTTAGAGATTTAATTAGGAGAAATTCAGCAAGAATTTTTGAAAAAATTCCCAAAAATCCTCGAATTTTTTTCGATTTCGAAAATTAAAAAAAAATTTTTCTGAGAAGGAACCATTCTTTTCTGTGACCACGAATTCTGTATTTTTTGGTACCATTCGATAGAGGACCCCCGACCTACTATTGCAAAGTGCTATCCGTTTTCTTGCAAAAAATTTTAAAAAAAGTTATGGCCAGTTAAAATTTAAAATTATTTTACAATCTCGGGTAGACTTGTAATTAAAATTAAAAAATTTTTTTGACAAAAAATTTGAATTTTTATTAAATCAATCAAAATTTTTTTACATATTTTTAGGGTATAAAAGCCATCTGGTCTCCCCATACAGGAATTGTTGATTGGGCCGTAGTCACTTTAAAAATGGCAGAGTAAATCGAAAAATATTTTTGAAACTTTAAAATTATTTTTAGAGATTTTAAACAAATGGGCGGGGATATTGAACTTGGATGGACTTTAAATAAAATTGTTGAATCGAATAATCCACAGACTCCAATTAAATTAATTGATTCTAAAGGAAAGGAGGTTTTTAAATTTTTGAATTTTTTGGGGGGAAAATTTAGTAAGGAATATTTCTGAATGTTTCAAAAGTATTAGAGAGAGAATTAAGGTTGTCTGGATGTTGATCCGAAGCTAACCCTCTTGGAAAAAATTATAAATAAAAACCTCTTCCATGAAATATTTCTGAATTAATTTTCACAAGAGAGTTGGCTGATCCTGGGAATCTTCAGGTATCCCGATTTTAAGGGCGTAGCCAGGGGTCGGATTTCGGGGGGGGGGGGGACTATGCCAATTTTAGATTTTTGGGTATTGTGACTTATAGGGGGTTTTTTTTGGCTGGACCGATTTGGACAAATGAGGTGTCATTCGAAAGAGCTCGCCGAGCTGAGTCGATTGAGGGGCGAGTGGAGTCGATCCGACAATCAGGGACCGAGATACAGACCCCTGAAGTTTGAAAAAGAGAAGGGGGGAGTAAGCTCATTTCGGGGTGAAAAATTCGAAACTGCAAATAATAGCTCATTCGACTCAGCTCGTCGAGCTGAGTCGAATAACACCAAAATCACCGAGAACCGACTTGATTTGACAAAGTTATGATCGTTTGTTTTAGCTCCTTACCTATGGTCATTGTTGAGGTTTTTGCTGCTACAGAGGCCCCAAATACGCCCGGAGCAAGAGAGATAGGAATAGGTTATGTTATTGACCCAGACCCAGCGACCGTTGACTCCCCGCGAGGCGCGTGCCGCGAAACCCCGCGCGAAGCGCGGGGTTTCGCACAAGCGCCTCGCTTACGCTCCATAGGTTTATGTTGACCATTTTGAACCCGTTTATCTTGGCTCCGAATCAAGATATCGAGCTGATTTTGGTGTCATTCGACTCAGCTCGACAAGCTGAGTCGAATGAGCTATTATTTGCATTTTCGAATTTTCCACCCCAAAATGAGCTTACTCCCCTCTTCTCTTTTTCAAACTTCAGGCGTCTGTATCTCGGTCCCTGATTGTCGGATCGACTCCACTCGCCCCTAGTTCGACTCAGCTCGGCGAGCTCTTTCGAATGACACCTCATTTGTCCAAATCGGTCCGGCCAAAAAAAACCCCCTATAAGTCACAACATTCAGATTTTTAATTAAAAATCGCCTTTTTTGTAAATAATATTATTTTGTTTTGATCTTTAGAGTTGTAGTTTAATTCACATTTTTAAATGTCTTCTTTATTCAAAAGGACAACTATTTTACATTTAGCACCTGCTAAAAAGCTAAATTTCAGAGGTGCTTTCATCGATTTGCTCTCTTCATTTTAATTAGCATTTTATTTTTTGCTTTTCGAAATTTAAGATCATTTTATTTTTCCTTATACCATTCTATATAAGATTTTTAAAAACGAATAATTTTTGTCCGAAATGAAACAAGGAGATATTAGATCTTTCTTCAAATATCCGCCAACAACTTCTCGTCAAGATGAAAATCAAAGTTTTATTGAGATAGAGGATGAACTTGAAGGAATATTTCTAAGCGATAATCCAGATCAAGAAGAAATTTCAGAAGAGGAGTCATTAAAAATTGAGGGACGACTACCAAAAATATATTGTAACCAACCCTTAGATCAGAATGATATTGGTTTTTTACAGTATTATCTCATAATTCTCACAATTATTATCAAACAGGATTGTTTGTCGGAAAATCGTGACCGTTGGATGACAATGAAAAACTAAAGGAGCTATATTGTTGGGGACCTTCTTGTAATTATACAGCAACACCAGTGTTCCAGGCAAGCAAGAATAGATTTTCCAACAATCCTGGCTTAAAAATGAATTAATGGCGTACTCGCATATAGAAGTTGGTCTATTTTGTCGTATTTGTGTTGCGTTTCATTGGGGACGCAAGGATATTTGAAAAGGTTGGTATATGTGATATAGCTTATGCTACATTATTTTAAGGCGTCACATAATTGCAAAACGATGGGTTTTAGAACCCAATAGAAAGTTCAAAGATGCTTTGGAAAATGGCGTAATCATGTGGCATAATCACTATATCTGATGTCATAAAAAATTATCAAATGATGGAGGTGCTTTTGAAATCATGTTTAGAGATGCTGTACACATAATATGTAAATAACCTTCTAAATTGATCAAAAACTCGTTTTTTAGCGCCCATGCTGGTTGCCAACCAGAACAAAATTCTAGAGAAACTCTAAGAAAGCAATTCTTTCAATTTTGCAATATTCTTTATGAGCAGTTACGAATAAGATTTTGCAAAGACCAAAACTCAATTTTCAAGCTTCATAACTTGCTTCCTTACAGAATTAGTAAGTTAACAAGGTTTGATTGAAAGGATTTATGTATATTGTTTCAGTACAAACAGATGTTACTTTGTTTGGAGATGCCTTTGCTGGATATAGTCCGTTTCTCCCTGCGAATTCTATAAACGAATTCACTGCCGAGAATACTCTTTGGAAATAAAAGTATTCAAAGTGGAATTGCGCGAACAAACCCTCTTCTACCCAGTTTTTGAAACAATATGTCGCCGAATTGATACATCAATTTCCTAATGTAGTACGGCTACTTCAATTACTTTCTGCTCTTCCGGTTTCCACAGTTAGTTGTGAGCACATTCTCACTACTGTTGAATAAAGTTGTTCATTGTTAAATCTTTTTGTTGTATCTTTTTGCAGACAAAAATTTTTTCAAAGCTGAAGGTTGTAGGCGAAATAAATTCAGTTTTTCTAATTCATCTCCTAATTTTTCTCACATTTCGAGGAGGGGGGGGGGCTTCAGCTCCCCTCGCAGCCCCCTGGCTACGCCCTTGCCTGATTTTAACTTAAAATTCCGTATGTCCGGCCATTTTCGGATCAATATACCAAACTTAATTCTCTCTCTCAACTACTTTTTGCTGATAATTCTCTATTTTTTAAAGATTTTTGCCAAGTATGTAATAACCTGTGCTGGTCTCTACTCTGATCGAATTGCCCAACTTTCTGGAGGTTCAGAGCTTCCAAAAATAATTCCATTTCGTGGAGAATATCTTAAATTAAAGCCTGAAAAGCGTTATTTAGTTAAACAAGCAAATATTTATCCGGTCAGATTTTTTAATTTTGGGAATTTTTGAGTGGTTTTGAGTAGCTTTAAATCAAAATTATTTTTTGTTTTTCGTTTACAAGGAATTATATCGAACTGACAACAAAAATTTCTTGATTATTTTTATACCATTGTGTAGAGCAGGGTCGATTTCCTATTGCCAATTTTTTTCTTTTTCGGCCCTGCCCCCCAAAATCTGAAGGTTAAAGGCTTTAAAGACTCGACTGCTCCACAAGTCGAAAACTTTGAAGTCAAGATCGGAGCTTTTTCCCTATACGGGAAATTATAAGTCTCTTCAGAGCGCTTGCGATAAAGGCTTCTCTCTCGAATGAAAAGGACGCAGAAAATATGTAAATTTTTTAGAAAAGAGAGACAACGAGAAGCTTCTCTGACCGCAACTGATCGCTGGTCAGTTTTTCTGCGTCTTTTACATACGAGAGAGAAGTTTTTATCACAAACGCACTGAAGAGACCTATCATTTCCTGTATAGAAAAAAATCCGTTCACTACTTTGAAGCCCTATATCTTTCCGATTTTGGGGGGTAGGGCCGAAAAAGAAAAATTTGGCAATAGGAAATTGACCCTGCTCTACACGATTGTATAAAAAGAAACTTTTGAACAAAAATTCATTTATTAATTTTATTATTGAAAGATTTAAATAAAAATTAATTTATTTTTTAGGTTCCCGACCCCCGATTTCCTTTTTTGGGAGTTCATTTTACTCCAACAATTTACGGTGATGTTATACTTGGTCCAAATGCAGTCATGGCTTTAAGTCGTGAAGGATATAATAAATTAGACTTTTCGGCTAAAGATTTTATAGATTCTATGAAATATAGGTAAAAGTTAAAAATTAAAAGAAAAAATAAATTTTAATCAAAGAGGAACACAAAAATTAATTTTTAAATATGCTTGTTATGGTTTTGGTGAATTAACTAGGTCATTTTATATTCCCGCTCAAATTAAACTTCTCCAACAATATATTCCTGAAATAACGCCTAATGATGTTGAAATGTGAGGAATTTTTCCTTAAAAATTTTTTTTGGAAATTTGAATATTTTGAGATTTCAACATTGAAATTTCGGGTATTGTGACTTATAACGGTTTTTTGCTGGACTGATTTCGACCATTGAGGTGTCATTCGAAAGAGCATCGAAAATGGAGTCGAATTAGATATGGGGACCCCGAGATGAGCTTACTCCCCCTACTCTTTTTCAAACTTTAGGCGTCTGTAACTCGGTCCCTGATTGTCGCATCGACTTCCCCCATATCTAGTTCGACTCCTTTGTCGATGCTCTTTCGAATAACACATCATTTATCGAAATCGGTCCAGCCAAAAAAACCCGCTATAAGTTACCACTAGAGATCGGACCGTACCGTACTACGGCCGTATTTTTCGGTATTTATCGGTATTCCGTATCGGTAGTACGGTACGGAATACGGTACGGAAAAATTTTGAAAAAAAATACGGTACGGAATACGGTACCGATGAAAAATATCGGTATTTGTCGGTATTTCTCGGTATTTATCGGTATTACAGTCGGTAATACGGTACGGAATACGGTACGGCAACATTTTTAATTTCATCGTTATTTTTCGGTATCGGTATTTTTCGGTATTACGGTACGGAATACGGTACGGAACAAAATTCCGATCTCTAGTTACCACATTCGAAATTTCTGGGAAAATTTCCAAAAAATATATTTTGTGGCTTAAATCCCTAAGTTGTTCACGGATTTGAATGAAAATTTAATACATAATGCAGAAAGACATTTTAAAACTATATTTAAAATTTGAAAAAATTCTGATTATGCACTCAATACTTACGACTATTTATTTGTAAAATAGGTGTCCCATAAATATACATCCACTTTCAAAAAAAGTTATTTCCAACAACAGGAAAAATCTACAAAAATTTTAGTAAACATAAATATTGATATCATAAAAAAATAAAAAGAAAGTAGGTCCATATCTTTACTAGTGTTCGGCACGGTACGGTATACCGCGGTATTTTTCCCGGTATACCGCGGTATTTTTTTCCGGTATACCGATACCGTACCGGTCAAATTTTGAAAAAAACGGTATTTTTCGGTATCGGTATTTTTTCGGTATACCGATACCGTACCGGTCCTCGAAAAAATACCGCGGTATTTTCCGGTATTTCGGTATTTGTAAAATTCTCAAAATTTTCGCCTGCGGCGCTGAAAAAGGAAGAAATCTGTCTTCTGGTCTTCCAAAATCTCAAAATTTTCGCCTGCGGCGCTGAAAAAGGAAGAAATCTGTCTTCTGGTCTTCCAAAATTCTCAAAATTTTCGCCTGCGGCTCTGAAAAAGGATATATAGGGACATTCTATTAGAGGGGGCATTGTATTTTTCAATTATCCTGTTGGGGCATTCTATTAAAGGAGGATATTCTAATGGTGGGGGCCAGGGCTGTGCGCCAAAATTTTCGCGTGGCGCGCCAAACGCCAATTTTTCAAATTTTAAAAACACGCCAAACGCCAAACGCCAAAATCGGCCAAAATTAACGCCAAAACGCCAAACGCCAAACGCCAAAATTTTTAGAGTCTATAATGACTTAAAAACCAATGTTCATCTCATTTTAGCGCCGCAGGCGAAATTTTTTGAATTTTCAAGATTCCCATAAGACAGAATTCATCCTTTTTTACCACCGGAGCGAAATTTTTGAGAATTTTGGAGGTAAAGAAGCCGAAATTCATCCTTTAAAAAATTAAAAAAAATAAAAAATTCATAGAACTCATTGAGATTAGGTGGATATGAAGGGATAAAGGGAGTAATGAGTATAACAGAGGTCATGAAGAGAGTAAACGATTGACGGGTCTAAAGTTTTTTTCTATCATCTATTAGTTTAAGATAAGGGCTTCCTCCTTTAAGCGCCGCAGGCGAAAATTTTGAAAATTTTGGAAGTGCAAGCAGCATATTTCTTCATTTTTTATGCGCCGCAGGCGAAAATTTTGAGAATTTTGGATGACTGTAGGCAGAAAAATTTCCTTTTTCGATCATCCCTTTCTCCATTTATTTCAAAAATTTCCATCATTAGGGGTGTATATTTTTGGCGTTTGGCGCGCCAAAATCGGAAAATCACGCCAAACGCAAAACGCCAAAAATCGGCCAAAATTAACGCCAAAACGCAAAACGCCAAACGCCATGACGCACAGCCCTGGTGGGGGCATAGTAATTTTCAATCATCCTACAGGGGACATACTATTAAAGCAGGGTATTCTAATGGAGGGGGAATTGTATTTTTCAATTAGCTAAATGTCGAGCAATTGTTGGACATTTTGCTGATTCAAATCTTGCCTATGATCGATTAGAAGAAGCTCAAGTCCTTGAGATTGTTAAGATTTATTGTTAAAATTTTAAAAATAAAATTTAAAAAATTTTATAAAATTTTTTAAAAAATACCGAATACCGGCCGGTATACCGAAAATGTTGAGACGGTATTTTCCGGTATCGGTATTTTTCCGGTATACATTAGAATATCGGTATTTTTCCGGCAACATTAGATTATTTATTATTAACTAAGTTGTCGTAAGAGAAATAAATCGTATATAGTGGTGCAATAATCAGCAACATTAGATTATTTATTATTAACTAAGTTGTCGTAAGAGAAATAAATCGTATATAGTGGTGCAATAATCAGCAACATTTATCAAATAATATTAACTAAGTTGACCTAAGAAAAATAAATCGTATAGAATGGTGCTTAAACGAAAAAATTAGATTATTTCGAGTCAAACTAAAATGAATATGGATATAAAATATTCCTCCAATTTTCTTTCATTCCTCCAATTTTCTTTCATTCCTCCATAAAAATTTTTTAAAAATAATCTTCATGGGAAACGCAAAAAGACCCTGCACATCGATTAATACAGACAGTGAGATTGATCAAACACCGATCTTAACACAAACACAACTTGAACAAATTTCCTGTAATGTTGTCCAACTTCTCACACCAATAATCGAAACAACTATAAAAACATTATTTCAACAAATTCAGCAACAACTAAACATTAATCTTCCTCAATCCGAGCCCCAACAACAAAAAACTTCTCGATGGGGTTGCCCCCCAAACTTAATGCCACCAAAAATTAAACAAGCTGCAATGACAATTGAACAGCTTCAACAGCCCGTATTTGATGAAAATTTGAAAGAACTTTATAAAAAGAAGAGTTTTTACGCAGTCATTGAAAGATTTCCAGAATTGGAAAATGAGGAAGAAGACTTAAAGAACATAGAAAGAAATGTTCAAATAGTAATAAACAACAAAAACTTTAAAGAAGCAAAAAATTTCGAAATTAAACGACACGGGATCAAGAAGCAAAACAATTATCATCGAATCATCAAAGTTAAATTTTCGACTCCAGCTGCCGCACATTCATTTATTAATCAATATAGAACAATACACAAACCTACCTTAGGTGGGCATAGTCCTTTCGCAAGAAGGGACTTAACCCCACCTGAACTACAACTACAAAACTACCTCAAACAACAGGTTAAAGAAATCAATACAAAACATGGAAATGGCACAGCTTGTTACCGTAATCTTAAAATTTTTTATAAAAAGCAAGTGAACTTGGACTAGGATTTAGGGACCTCACAGAAAAATACTCAAGAAAATAACAAAAAAATAAAAAATTTAAATTGCTTACTTTTAAATATACGCTCCATTAATTCCGAAAAAGTTGCATATAAATTAGTTGAATTGGAAAATTATTTAAATAAAAACAATATTCATGTAGCGTTTATATCCGAAACATGGCTAACCGATAAAATATCTTCCGAATCCCTCACAATTTCTGAAAATTATAATTTATTAAGAGTAGATAGAGCAAAATCAAGAGGAGGCGGCGTAGGTGTAGTTTATAAAAAGGAACTAAAAATTATATATATTCCATCTCTTTCAATCTCCGAATTTAGTCATGAGCTTCTTACCCTCGATATATACTCTGAATTTAAAAGGATTCGATTCCATCTAATATATAGACCACCAAATACAAAATTGTCAGACGATAAAAAATTTTGGGAAATTATAAAGAAAAAGTACAAAGATGAACTTTCAAATGTTATATTAGGGGATTTCAACTTCCCAAAAATAAATTGGCAGGAGTTTGCACTTCCGAAAGATAAACAAAGCTTATATTTTTATAATACAATAAATAAACTAAATTTAAATCAGGTTATAAGGGAGTCAACAATGTGTAACAATTCCCATACACTAGATTTAATTCTCCAAAATAAACAATTAATCGAAAAATATAATATTATAGAGGACTTAGTTCTGAGTGACCACAAACCGATAGTATTTGAAGTAGCTTTTCCAATCGATAAAATAACATCTGAAAATAAAAGAAAAGTTGTATTATTTAAGAAGGGAAAATATAAGATTATCAATTGGTATTTAGCTCAATATGACTGGTTCAATCTATTTAATGACAAAAATCCCTCAGAAATGGCTGAAATACTAAATTCTATAATAAGCCAAGCAATCCAAAAATTCATCCCATCTAAAAAATTTGGCAAAAAAATACCCATGAAATATCCTAAAGAAATTCGAGAAACAATCAAACAAAAGGCTGTTTCCTGGAAAAAGCTAAAATTAGGTGAGATCAGTAAGGAAGAATATAAAAGTCTTGAAATTAAATGTAAATTACAAATAGAAAAATATAAAAACAATTATCTGTCAAAAAGGATAGGATCTGGGCATATAGGGGAAATTCATAAATTAATGAAAAAAAATCGATATAACTTCTCTGGCATACCAATACTTAAGCAATCTGAGGAAAGTGACCCAATAATATCTGACACAGAGAAAGTTAATATATTTAGAACTATTTTTGAAGAAATAGTTAATGGAGATATAAACAATAAGCAAGCAAACCTTGAAGCCGATTATAGGGATGAATACCGGGAAGAAATTATTTTCGAACCATATATAATAGAAAAATTGCTTAAGAAGCTCCCCAATAAATTATCTCATAGCCCTGAGAGTAGCAATCAATATTTCTTAAAAAAATGTTCTACCCCATTAGCCCTTCCCTTATCAATTTTATATAACAATACATTCAAGACAGGAATTGTCCCTGAATTATGGAGAACTGCACATATTCTACCTATATTTAAAAAAAAGGGGTCATTAAATGACCCAAAGAATTACAGACCAATTGCTCTAACATCTCCAATCTGTAGAGTTTTTGAGCGCCTCGTAGCGAATAACATATTAGAACACCTTAACAAAAATAAATTAATTGCCGAAGAGCAATTCGGATTTTTACCTAAGAGCTCGTGCACTCTCCAAATTCTATCATCTATGCAAGACTGGTACAACTCTCTTGATAAGAAAATAGGTACGGACATCATATATTTTGATTTTGAAAAAGCTTTTGATAAAGTAGATCACGAAATACTTATTAGGAAATTACATGAAATTAAAATAGATAGGGTAACAATTGCTTGGATAGCAAATTTTCTATCTAATCGATCTCATACTGTAAAAATAGGTGAGAATTACTCCGAACCATTTTTTCCGAAGACAGGTGTCCCCCAAGGAACTGTGTTAGGACCATTGCTGTTCCTGATATATATAAACGATCTACCCAAACATATTCCGACAAACATAAAAGTAAAATTATATGCAGATGATTTTAAGCTTTACTCAGAAATTAAAACCGAAAAAGATTGTATAGAACTACAAGAAGCTATAAATAATGCTAGTAAATGGGCAATAAATAATAGGCTAAAATTCTCTATCACAAAAGTTAAAGTTTTAAAAATATGCAACAAAATTAAGTTTAACTATGAGATAAATGGCGAAAAAATCGAAGAGGTTAATAACATAAGAGACTTAGGTATATATATAGATAACAAACTTAAATTTGATCAACATATAGCAAAAATTACTAAATCCTCATTTATAAGAGCAAATAATATCCTAAGAATATTACCAAAAACATTACCAATAGACACATATGTTAAGGCATTCAAGACATACGTAAGACCAATTATGGAATATTCCACTGAAAATTTTAGCCCAAAACTAGAATATCTAAATAAGCAATTAGAGAGACCTCAAAGAAGCTTTACAAGGAAAGTTTTAAGATATAAATACAAATACCAGAAAATAAGCTATAACGAAAGACTAAAAAGATGCAAACTCCCTCCAACTAATATTCGTCGTATAAGAACAGATCTTATGACAACCTTCAAAATAATAAAGGGGTGCTATAAAATAAATCCAGAACAAATATTCTCAAAACCTAATAGAAATAATCCGCGCTTGCACAGATATCAAATATTTAAGAAACAAGCTAAGAATAATCATTTCTTTTCACATAGAGTCATAGATAGGTGGAATAAACTTCCAAAAAAAGAAATTGAGAAAATCAATACTATACCACAATTTAAAAAATTTTTAGACAAAATATTAACTACAGAAGATTATAATTTATCAGTATGAATTAATGGAGTGTATTAACATAAAATCCTAACCCAAATGTTCACTTTCTTACCTAAACAAATTTACTTAACATTTAAATAAAATTATTTTTAATACAAATATTCTTTTACACCTAAATATACCTATATATTTTTTATAACATCTAATTTTATACATTTAATTTGTTTTTTTTCTGTGGAGTCCATTATTTATTTATTTTTTTTTTAACTTAACATTTAAAAAAACCGTCATATTGTATTTGATTTTTTTATACGTTACCTCTCCATAAGTGATCCCTGTGGATCCAGGAGTTTTATTTTATTGTTTCACATTATATTTATTTGTGTTCGATAAAGAAAAAAAAAAAATTAACTAAGTTGACCTAAGAAAAATAAATCGTATAGAATGGTGCTTAAACGAAACGAAAACTTAAACGAAAACACGGGGCAGAGAACCGTGATGCCCTTTCGTCTATGAAACAAACAACAAGATTAATCAATATTGATTCACAGGATTGTTTTTTACACAAAATACAATTGGTAAATGAATAATTAAATTTAAATATGAAAATGTACTTTTTAATATGAAAATGTACTTTTTGATAATACCTACAATATTGGATCCAAATTATAAAATGTAATTATTTGATAGAGAAATGAGGGATATTTACAAGTGATGGATTTTGATGTATTGAATCTAAGTAGTGAGAAAAGCTTTAATTTTTTTGTACGTTAAGTCGAAGTTTCTTGTTCTAGATTAGATTATTCAAATCCAGTTATAAAAAAATTCAAATCCAATCATAAATTTATTAGAAGAGTTTGTGCAGGTTTCAAATGTTTACCTATCGAATATAACTAAATAGATATTAGGAAAATTCATGTGATAATTTCGAGACAATTTTCCAAGATACGTATGAGAGTGAAATTATTAGGCAAGAAGTGAATACTTATTTAAACGAGCCACGAAGAATCATTGATCCATTTCTTTATTGGAAAACCAATTCAGAAAAATGGAAGCGATTAACTAGTTTATTAAGGCAAATGAGTTAAAAAACTAATCTGCCAAAAAATTAATAGGTATTAATCCTAATTTTCCACTTTATGACTTTTGTTATTGGTTTGCAAATTGATGAATAAAATTATTATTATATTAAATTTTTTAACTGACCTGACCCGAAACCCGGACTTTTTTGACTCGAAACCCGAAACCGATCCGAAGAAAATTTTGAAACCCGACCCGACTTTTTTCTCGACCGAGCATCCCTGGTATATAAAAGTTCGATGTTACAAGATCATAAGTGCGCAAATTTGAAGGAGAAAATGGTTTTTGTCTGTTTTAGGCTAGCGAAGCTAGTGTATATAATTATACACTAGCTCTTCGCTAGTGTATATAATTTATAAACTAAATATATAAATTTTGATTAGAAATTTTTGATTTTTTCATGAATAAATTTTGATTGGACAATGTAAATTTGAGTTAAAATGATAAATTTTTGAGGTAAAAGAAATAATATACCGTATTTCCTATATTAGAGCCCCATGGGGCTCTATTTTTCAACTATCCTCCAAGGTGGGGCTGTATTAAAGGGTGGGGCTCTAATTGAGGGTGGGGCTCTATTTTTCAACCCTCATTTGAGATAAAATCCCATTTATTATATCCATTGAAACTAGAGATAGGCCGGAGGGGTTGGCTATTAAAACCGAAAAATATCGAAAGAGAATCGATATTTGTCAAAAAAATTAAGACTTTATAAGCAATGAGTAACAAAATAGTCGCTATAGTTCAATGAGAGAAAGATTAATTATGAAATATTGGTAGATTTGGACGGATTAAAGGTAATATTAGGGGACTTGTATTTGACATCGATGGATCATAAGTGGATTTTAAGGGATTATGGGGAATATCATAGAATTAAGTTTATATTGAGAGATTTTGCGGGGTTAAGAGAGATATTGTGAATTAGGAGTATTAAGAGGCATATGAAGGGATTTTGTTTGATGAAGAGAAATATCGGGGATAATAGGGATACATATCTTGGCATTTTAGGAATTAAATTCATCCGCTTAGTTAATCCCCTCATATTTCTCTTAATCCTTATATCCCCATGCCCTTTATTTCCTTAACTCTTTTAATAATCTGAAAACTATTAGGATATTTTTTATTTTTCCTTCAATATTTTTAGGTGGGGCTGTATTAGGGGTGGGGCTCTAATTGAGGGTGGGGCTCTATTTTTCAAATATCCTCCAAAGTGGGGCTGTATTAGAGGGTGGGGCTCTAACAGAGGGTGGGGACTAATATAGGAAATACGGTATGTATTATTACAATAATCATTAAGAGTTTAGAAAATTCAATTTTGATTGTTTTGTTGATTTCGTACGTTTACTTGATTATCTTCCCTTGGAGGATTTATTTCAAGAATCAAAGGTTGGATAGAATTTGCGTGTAGATTTTTGTAAAATTTTAATGTAGTACTGCCAAACTTTTTTAATATTCCAAGACAATCTCGTTGCATCGACTTGTTCATTGTTAAATAAATGACAGGAGGTATTCCTAAATAGTAATTTTTAGATTATAGGGTTGGAATCCTCAACACTTAAATAGTCTTCAGATTCATGATTATAATTCCAATTTTATGTTATATATTAAAATGAAAATATTATAATAAATTAAATCTGAAAGTATATTTTATAAAGACTTTGATATGGCAATTGTAAGAACCCAGGATCATTTTTTGATCATTTAAATTTAAAAAATTAATATTATCAATGATTGTCACCGTGTGCATTCAACCAACAAATCTGACCAATTATAATAATTAAGTCATTGACATGGATATATTGCATAAAAACATAAATCGAAGCAGCGACACTATTAAACAAGCTAATCAAAATAATTTGGAAAAAAATCTACATATAATTTAGGGTTTATAACAATAGTTTAGTAAAAAAACCATTTTTTCAGAATAGTTTTGTTGATGTGATTGAAAACCTCCTTGCTTTGATTTAATCACAAAAATTATACAAAATGTTAAGTAAGTAATTAACAGAAAAAATACGACTGATAAATTGTGAATTGAATGAAATGTGTTCTCATATTCCTTTTAGAAGATTAAATATTTTAAAGATATTAAGAAACCAATACTTGATTAACGTCATCAATATATCCAATGTGCGGATTGAAGAACCAGCTAAAGTAAATGCCACTGAATGTAACTGGCTTTGCCCATACAAATACTGCTAAGCCGTATAGAAAGGGAATGCCCAGCCAAATAAACAATTTTTTGCCTTTTAAAAAATAAAGCTAAAGTTAAGGCTAAAGATGGATTAATTCCAACCCCCAAAAAGTTTCTTTGCATATTCAGAAGACCATATTTCAACGCAACGATTAATAGCTAAAATCCCCTCTATTGTAGATTCAGTAGACCAACAAACTATTAATTAACGAATATATGAAATTATTAAAAAATCCAAACAAAATCCGTAAGCCCCAGCAAAATAAATAAATTTTGGTGAAGAACAAAAAACATATCCAAAATATCCCAAATATCCAGTTAAAAATCCACAACATAATATTGCTAGCATATCGACAACTCCAATAACGAACATTATTTTATAACAATTACTGTTTGCCATTCGCTTCCAAATCGAATACATACAAAGGAATATAGAGAATCTTTTAATAATAAGTAATTGGACCCCAATTTATTGTAAACACACTATAGTTGAAATATGTTGGAACTTAGTTTGCCTAGATATTACACTTGTCTTGAAACCAGAAATTTAAGGCTAAGTAGGTCCGACTTTATCTGATTAATACTTTTCTATCTCAGTTTAAGTTTTCTTAAATCAAAACTTGTTTCATTGTGAACTATCTATTTTTAAATTTATTTCTTCAATTATTTCTTCATGTTACCTATATATTATTACTTCAATTAAGGGTAGCAACCCGACCCTTCGGGGGCGAGTGTGTCGGGGATCGGAGTATGCCGGGGATGGCATGTCGGGGTCGGATGTTTCGGGGGTCGCGTTACTACTCTTCTTTAATTATTTACTTACAACATATATTGTAGACAAAATAATAAAGAAAATTCCAAGTATTTTATGTTGACGTTTTTCCAGAGGAATTTGGTCGGTATTATAAATACTACAATTGTAAAGACGCTCATATTCATTTTGATAAAATAAATATAAATCCATTTTTTGAACTAGGATTGGTTCCTCCTCTATATCTCTTAATTGTGTCTTTAATAGCTTTCAAATTACGATACTGCTCAACATTATATAAACAAAAACTCTTAACCTTAATATATTTTATACAAAAATGAGTCATTAAATAATTAGATATACCGTATTTCCTATATTAGAGCCCCACCCTCTGTTAGAGCCCCACCCTTTAATACAGCCCCACTTTGGAGGATAGTTGAAAAATAGAGCCCCACCCTCAATTAGAGCCCCACCCCAAATACAGCCCCGCCTAAAATATATTGGAGGAAAAAATATCCCAGTAACTTTTAAGATATATTGAGAGAGTTAAGGAAATAAAGGGGATGGATCTCGATGATATCGCGATCAAGAAGGAGGAGGGATCATAGGAATATAGAAATGAAAAGGAGGGGATAACTTCGATATCCGCCCAAATACTCTAGAATCGCCTATATTCCTCCAAATCCCTCCTATTATCTCCAATAAAATAAATTTATGAAGGGTTGCAATTTTTGAAGGGTTTCAATATGAAGGGTTGCAATCGTGTTAGGCACTTGGCGATAATTCGAGAGATTATTAAAGATCTATTAGAGATCTCGCTTATAATCAGTGATGAAGTTCCAAAATTTCTCCAAAATCGGTTCCAGTTCTGGAACTTGTTCAAAAGCTTCATCAAACAAAATCCCTTCATTTGCCTCCTAATACCCCTAGTCCAGAATATCCCTCTTAATCCCGCTAAATCTCTCAATATAAGCTTAATCCTCTGTATTCCCCATAATCCCTTAAAAGCCACTCTTATACCTCTGATCCATCGATGTCAAACACTAGTCCCCTAATATTTCCTTTAATCCGTCCAAATCTATTAATATTTAATATTAATCTTACTCTTATTGAATTATTGTGACTATTTTGTTATTCATTGCTTAAAAAGTTTTAATTTTTTTGAAAATTTGAAAAATATTGATTCTCTTTCGCTATTTTTCGGTTTTATTGGCCAACCCCTCCGGCCTATCTCTAGTTGCGATGGATATAATAAATGGGATTTTGTCTCAAGAGAGGGTTGAAAAATAGAGCCCCACCCTCAATTAGAGCCCCACCCTTTAATACAGCCCCACCTTGGAGGATAGTTGAAAAATAGAGCCCCATGGGGCTCTAATATAGGAAATACGGTAATTCACCTGTCTAAATTAAATTAATAACGTAAGGTTAATTGTTGTGTTTTAAATAAAATAAAAAAATGATTCTAAGAAATTTAAATAACCGACAATTTTAAATGTAAATTAATACTTATATTTTTTAAATAATAAATTATAATAATACATAGAAGAAAAGTGTAAAAAATAAAATAATAAATAGATGTAAAGTGCAACTTTTTAGCGAAACTAACATCTGACGAATTAATTTTAAAAATATTAATTATACTTTTGGGATTAGAAAAAGAATGAAAACCCCAGAGATTTTAAAAACAAGAATTATTTTTTCAATTAAAAAGGTATCTAGCAATAAAATAATTTGTTAAAAACTAAGAACTTCATTCCATCAAAAAAATTCGATAAAAAACATATCCATAAATATTAAGAATAAAACCAAGATAAACTTCCACAAAACACGGGAAATGGCCTTTTAAATTTGTAAATTATTATCAAAATAAATACATATTACTTCAGTTATACTATCTGAATTTTACTTACACTAACAATTATCTAGGCCCCAATTTTAGGTTTAGTATCCGACTTTAACAAGTTAATTTGAACGAAAATAATTAAACGAACGAAATAACTAGAAGTAACGCTCAACATTTAAGTTAAAATTAGTCAGATTTTATTATATAAAATTTCGGTCATCTAATTTTCGAGAAAAATAAATTTTAATAATTTATTGAAAAATAATTTTAATTATTTAAATAATTTTTTAAAATTATTTTTTATCCAGTGAAATAAATATACAATGTAAATTACTTTTTATTCTTCCCATTTATACAGTAAAAATTCCTATAAAAATTAATTCGCTTCCTTTGTTAATACACATAATAAAAGGCTGGTCAGCAATAAATTTGGGTTTAGGAGTTGATGAACTCTTTTTTGTCATTACTATCCCTGTGGCTGCAGCTGCTTCTGTACCTTCTTCATTTACCTGTTCATTTAAATTTTAATTAAATTTATATGCTTTCTGCAATAATTTAAACAAACAAGCTCAATCAGAAACACATTCATGAACATAAAATTTTCAATAAAAATAAAATTTTTTAATTAAAAAAAATCAAAAGCATTAAACTACTTTGTTCATAAACATACAATCTTCGAATGGAAACATTTCCTGAAACTTTTCACAAAAACCATAAAAATTATAGATAGTCAGGATTATATAAACTAACAATAGTATACTATTTCAAATCGAAAATTCTAATTTTTATTAGGTTATTTTCAATGAAATTATTCCATAAATTCCTTTAAAATATATGTAGTATATTTATCCTTGAAATATCCCACTAAACAAAATATTTCCTTTGTTGGTAAGCATAAAAACGAAAGGATGCTCAGCAGTAAATTTTGGAGTTGGTGGCGGTAAACTTCTAAAAGTTGCAACAATTGCTGTAGCTGCAGCTGCTTCTGTACCTTCTTCATTAACCTAATTAATTAGTTCGTTAATTTTTTGTGCCTATTATTTTAATGGAACTTATTAAGCTTTTGGTAAACTATTTAAGCAAACATAAAAGAGAAAAAACAATACGATAATAAACTTAATAAAAAAATTGTAAGTATTTTGTTTAGTATTTTATTCTAAAAATAAAAATTAAATAGTAAGAAACATATTCAGAACATATTTCAAAATAACAGCAAAACAGTTGGAAACTAAACATTCTGAAAGTTATACAACATTTCCATAAAGAATAATATTATTTTGACTTTCTTTTTTGGATTTTTATCAAACACATTCATTAACATGACTGATTTAAAAAACAAGTATTTGAAAATATACATTTCGAAACAAAACTTATCGTAGAAAACTAAAATTTATTCAAAACTATACACCAACAAACTTTTTCATATTTTAGTTAAAATCTATCCTTGGAATATCCCACAAAAAATAATTTCATTGTCATTGTTAACAAGCATAAAGACAAAAGGATGATTAGCAGAAAATTGAGGTGTAGGGGTCCAACTGGTAGGCATTATTCCAAACCCTGTGGCTGCAGCTGCTTCAGTTCCTTCTTCGTTCAACTAATTTTATATTTAATTTAATAATTAGTTTATTTGTATTTTTATTTTAAAACTAAAAACGAGCAAAGAAATTAGTGAAGCCTTATTTTAATTTTCTTTAAAAATAAGCTTGTAATTAGCAATAAAACACAAAAGATAGGCGCAAAAAACAACATATACCTAATTTAATAATACAATTTAATAAACATATATTTATTAAAATTATTTTTAAATAAAGAGTTTTTTTCTTCATTATAACAAAAATAATTTACTATAATATTTTAGTAAATTTAAGTAAAAGTTTATTAGTCCAATTTATCTCAACCGTTAAATATTCCACAAAAAAGAAATTCATTTTTTTTGACAAGCATAAAGGTAAAAGGTTTATCAGCAATAAATTTTGGAGGCGGAGGTGGGGGCACACCTGGTCTGAAATTAGGTATAATAACATCTGTAGCTGCAGCGGCCTCTGTACCTTCTTCATTTAGCTGTTTATAGCAAATATTTTATTAATCTAATTTAAATATCTAATTTAAATATTTCACAATTATTTCCGAAAATACACAGGAATACATTTAATATATCTAAACATTTATCAATTTTTTTGAAATTCAAACAACTTGTAACAAGAAGAACATTCTAGTAAACATTCACCCATTATTTTAGACATTCAAACATTCAAGTAAACAAGAACAAACATGATTGAATTTATCGAAATGTATCATTTTAAAATTTTCACCATTTAAAATAATTTTATTTGAAAAAAATTCTTTTTAAAAACTATTCCCGCTAAAATTTATTATCATCCTCTTATAAATTATTACATATTAAATTACATTTTTATGTTTTCATTCATTCTTATCAACTATCCAATAAATATTCCACAAAAGATAACTTCATTTCCTTTGTTCACAAGCATAAAAGCGAAAGAGTGATCAGCAACAAACTTTGGAATTGGCGGAGATCGAATAATTAAACTTACAGGGACTGCAACAATAGCTGTAGCTGCAGCTGCCTCTGTACCTTCTTCATTCAACTGTTTTTAGCAAATGTTATTTAGAAAATTAGATCATTCTCAATTATTTGATTTTTCATATTAATAAAGAGAAATAAGACTTAAAACAAACACTCAACAGATTCGGACATTAACTTTAATTAAGGCATCTAAACATTAAATAAACAATTAACTACAAATATTCCCAAAAACTTTTTAAAACATTTATAGAGACAGAAAAGCCAACAAAAAATTTATCCAAACATAACTTTTCTGAAGAGTAAAAACATTCTAAACAGAATACATATGTATTATACATTCTCATTTATTCAGATAACATTCTCCGGAAATAATTTTTATGTTTTGAGTTATTTGGAAAAACTAGCATTAACCACAAAAAGTATTTACAAAGTAAAAGCTTAATTTTTTTATTATCTCTGTATTTAGTAGATTTTGAAAGTTTTGAAAAACAAACTGATTTTTAAAAAAACATTTTACAATAAATTTAATTTTCTTTATTTATTATCTTCCTTTAATTAAACCTATCCTTGAAATATTCCACAAAAAAGAATTTCATTTTCCTTCACAAGCATAAAGGTAAAAGGATGATCAGCAAAAAATTTTGGTGGAGGCGGTGGAAGACTAAGAGGAACTATTACCATTCCTGTAGCCGCAGCTGCTTCAGTACCCTCCTCATTCAACTGTTAACATAATAAAAATATTTTAGATATGCTAACATGAATTTAGAACTTAGAGGCACTAACATAACTTCAAGCAACAATTAAAGTATTTATAAATCAGTAGATTAAGGAAAACAAAGCTAGTAGACACATACTCTTCGATCACTTAATTTATTCAAATTTAAAAATTCAATCCATATCAAATAATAATTAACACACAAATTACAAATTATTCCACATTATTTAGCAATTTATCCTTGAAATATTCCACAAAAAAGAATTTCATTTTCCTTCACAAGCATAAAGGTAAAAGGATGATCAGCAAAAAATTTTGGTGGAGGAGGTGGAAGACTAAGAGGAACTATTACCATTCCTGTAGCCGCAGCTGCTTCAGTACCCTCCTCATTCAACTGTTAACATAATTAAAATATTTTAGATATGTTAACGAACATTAATTTAGAAGCTTAGAGACACTAAAATAACTTTAAGCAACAATTAAAGCATTTATAAAACAGATTAAGGAAAATTAAGGAAAAACAAAGCTAGTAGACACATACTCTTCAATCACTTATTTTATTCAAATTTAATAAAATTCAATTCATAACAAACAAGAATTAACACTCAAATTACAAATTATTTCAAATTATTTAGCAATTTATCCTTGAAATATTCCACAAAAAAGAATTTCATTCTCCTTCACAAGCATAAAAGTAAAAGGATGGTCAGCAAAAAATTGAGGTTTAGGCCGTAGTTGAAAGGAAAGATATTCCACTATTAAACCTGTAGCCGCAGTTGCTTCAGTACCTTCCTCATTCAACTATTAACAAATTAAATGAATTAATTTTGAAAAGATTTGATGGGTAACATTTCATAGAAACAAATATTGCTATGAACATTGAAACTTTTCTATAATTAAACATCCCGAATGTCAATACCCGAAACATTTCAAACATTAAAAACATTCAAAATTACATTCCATAAAAATACAACAAAAAATTAAACATTTAGATTATGTTTAGGAACAAATCCTTAAACGACCTTTCGAACAGACACTCCCTAAAACTTTAAAAACAAATTCCGGAATGAACCGCAAAATGTGAAACCATGCTAAACAACCAAAAAAAAACCGTTTTATTTAAATTATTCAACAATTAATTCGATTAAAATGTCAATTATTTTCAACCCTTAAATATTCCACAAAAACAACAATTTACTGTAACAACATTTCAGGAACAAACATTTTTTCTAATATTTTCCAGAAACAAACAAATTAAAAAGAAAATTTCCGTATTTACTTATAAAATCGTGTATTTTCCGGTCACTTTTAATAATTATATTTTTTATTTTACTTCCTTGGTTTTCCCTTGTTTCTCCCTTCACTCCCTCTCTCTCCCTCATTTATCCATAAAATACTCCAGCAAATAAAAATTCCTGTCCTCCATCTTCATTTTTATTCATTATTGCGTAGTAAAAAGGTTGATCAGCAATGAATTGAGGAGGTTTTGTTGGTACAATCATGCTACGCGCTTCAATAATTATAGCAGTAGCAGCAGCTGCCTCAGTCCCTTCTTCATTTACCTGTTTAAATAAGTGACCGGAAAATAGAGAAATTTAATATTGTGAAGTAAAAAATAAATAAAAATGAAGCAAATAATGTTAAGCCACACACAAAGACACACAAAAAAATTTAAAAAATTTTTCCTAAAAATTCCCCACCTCAATAAAAGCTTTTTGGACAACTTTGTCAATTTTTAGGGGTTGTTCTTTGCTGATTTTGGAGAAATTGGCTTTATCAAAGGCTGATTTAAGGCCTAATTTGATGAGCACATCTTTTAAATCGTGGGTAGATTCAAGTTTGAATTTAGGGAACAAAACCTGGGAATGAAACAATGGTTAGGATTTTTAAATAGATATTAATAGAGGGGATATAATTAAGTGGCCCCCATAGGTCGGTCTTATATGAGAATCCAAACATTATACTTCGAGAAGGTATAAATATAATATTTTAAGAAGATTTTGGTATCTATGAATAGAGAAAGTTACCTAAACATAATTCTAAGTAGGGAAGAACTCATCCAGAACTATTCCAAAGCCCTTAACCCATAACCGTTTTCATTGGGCATGGAAGTTATTTTCAGTGATTAAATAATTTTTTCCAAACACCTACATCCACTTTAGTTTTGTATCCACGTTCGAGCAATTTTAGAATCTTTTCTCCATCCAGATTTTTGATCAATTTTTGTAAACCAAAGCGTTCTTTTGGCAAAAATACAACCATATAAATATCCTCATCGTCTTCAGAACTTCCAGAAGAATAAAACATTTTTAGCATTTGTAGCTAAAAATATTAAATTTAGAAAAAGGAGATAATTAGTGATAAATTCAAGGATTTTAAATATCGGAGTAAGATTAGTTCTTTACATTACCCAAATTCTCAATCTCTCCAATATCCAATATGAAAATTTAATGGGACATAGAATTTATTAGATAATTTTTAATAATAAGGTTGAATAAATTGCCTACATAAAATGCTTGATAAAGACTAAATATCCGATGAGGATTAATACCTTGGAGATTTCTGTTTAAGAAAATAAATTGGGAATAAAAGAAAGTTGAGTCAAAGATTTCGGCAAGGATTTTCAAAGATTTCGGTTATCGAGATACGAATTTATCTATTACTGTTATTTAAGTAGGTTATATCTCGTTGGGATAAAAACGGAAGCTTCATTGGGGTTAATTTAAACTATAATTTTTTTCTATAATTTTTACCTCCTCAGTTTCAAAATAAACAAAACTGCTTGTTTTTTTCATCATATCAACCTTAAAATTTTTTTCAATTTTCTAATTTTTAATAATCCAATTAACACCTCTTTATTTTTCTCTTCAGTAATATAAAAAGTTTTTTTCTGAGTTAATTCAGAATCAAAGGGGCAACTCCATTTTCCTTTAAAATAGACAGCATTGACCAATACAAGACTTTAAATTTAACAAAATTCTAATTATTGGAATATATTACCGAGTATCAGTAGTTAATGAGTCTGGACTGATCAAATTTTTAATTTTATCGTGTGTTGTTTTCTCCACGAATTCATTAATTATCTTTAAAATGTTAGTGTAAAGTAAATTTTAAATTATATTTAAAAGTTTTTTTAAAAAAATCTGGATCAGAACTGGAATGTTCAGTTGATATAAAAAGTATGTATATATCAGGATAAGGGGTGAGCGCATTACATCTTGCGTTATCTGCGTTAGATGTTTTACGACAAAATATTTAGGTGCATTAATGCCAATATATGTATTTTTCAGGGGAAGGAACCTATGTTGAATCGACTTTGGTATTTTTGTATTTAAATAAGACTTGGTATTGAAATATCATTAAAAATCTTGTTATTTTAACTAGAGAAGGAACTGCGAGTATAGTGCGAGAATCGAGATCTCGAAAAATTCTCGATCTCGATAACCAAGATTTCGTTTCGGTCAGGTCTCTAATTTTGACTACTGACAAAAGTAATTCCTACGTGTTTAGCTACTAAAATATTAAATCCTATATCAATTTATTACTTTGGCAGCCTCAACATTTTCCGCAAAATTTAAAAGCTCAAATTTCCCTCCATAATATTCATCAATATAATTTTTAAATTTCTCCAAAATATTAAATCCTTTTTGAACAAAAACTTTATTTGCCAATTCCAAAGTATAATTTTTTGGTTTATCGTCATTATAAGAATTTAATTGTTTTGCAAAATATGCATGGGTTTCCTCTTCTTTTAAGCCTTGAAAATTAGATAAAATTTTATTGGATATTTTCTTAGTTTTTAAAATTTATTTTGGGTGCGGAGGATGATCCAAATTTTTTATTTGGATCTCATTGTATTTTTAAAACTAGGGTTATCGGTTCGGAGAATACTCAAACAGAATATCCGAAATTTTCGGTTCGGTTCCGGGTATCCGAAGATTTTCAACGAAAAAATTCTACGCAAAGAAATACACATAGGTTTAAAATAAGCTTGTCTAAGAATCAAAAGACACAAAATTTGAAAGTAGATTAATTGCAAATCTGCTTAGGTTCGATAACATTATCATGCCGACTTATATCTATTTGAATAAGTCTCTTGTTATGACTGATCAGTGTCTCTGGTTTATCTTCAATTTATTTTTAATTTATTTTTAATTATCTCTCACCTCCCGACAACAATTTCCCAAATTCCTTATTAGTTTCACCATCAGCCCCAACATAAACCATTGCCAAAGCCATAGATAAAGATAAAGGGGAAAGTATTGTGGATTCCAAAGGTTTATTTTGTTCAAAAACAACATTAGAAAGTAAATTAATTGCAAAATCAGCTTGGGCTCTAATTATTGCCATTTCCGATTTTGACATTTTTTTCTAAATAAAAAATTAAATATTAAATTATGGAAAAATATTTAGTTTGGAAAATAAATGGCTTGAGAATGAACAAATATGCATGTATATAAAGCATCAAGCATGTTTGGAATGGTGAATTTATAGAAGTATAATTTGAGGAGTAAGCTTTGAATATGCCGAAGACAAAAATAAGCAATTTGAGGGAGTTATTTGAATATAAGCTGGGAAATGGGTCAAGGTAGATAAAAACTTAAACTATGGAAAGTTCTATTAAAAGCTTAGAATTAAAGGCACGATAAAGATATCAAAGGAGCCGAAGTAGTAAAACGAAAAAAATATGTATTGAGGAAATACATAATTGAAGTTTATGATGGGAAATATATTTTTAAACGTAGACTCAGAAATAAATGGTTAAAACGTTGGAAAATTTAAATAATAATTTACTTAAAATATTAAAAGAAAATTATGTAAAAAATAAATAAATTTAGGTAATGTAACGATGAAAATAAATTTATTTCTTTTTAGTAAAGATGAATCATTCTCATGTAAAATTGTTTTTAGTGGTCTATTTATTTTGTTTTTGTTAGTAAACAACATGTTTTCCTTTTGAGAGCAATTGGGGGAATATTTTGTTATTTAGAAAATTACTTGTAGAGAATATTATTACTATTAATTATAATTATTAATTTTTAATAAAAAAATAAAATTAGATTTTGTAGGATTGAAAGAAAAAATACATATATTTAAATTAATAAAATCAGAATTATGATGAAAATCAGAATTTTCAAAAATCAGAAATAGAATTTATTAAACAGTCACATTTATCAAATATACGGAAAGTAAAATCAGAATTTCATTGTCTATGTGAAACAGAATTTTTATAGAGTTAAGTATTTAAATAAAATAATTAAAATATAATCGGAAATTATGAATGTTTTAAAATTTATGTATATTTAATAAACAAAATTATTTTCTGAAAGTAAATAAATAAAAGTGTTTTATTTATTTTTCTATAAATTTTTATCTTCGCTTTCTTTAAAATTTTACTAAAAAATTTTTTTATTCTATTTTATAAAAACCTAAAACCTTCCTTATTTCATCACAGCTGTTTTCTTTTAAATGAAATTTTTATTTACCAAGTTTATATATTTTTAGATATTTTTTCAAAAAATTTTTGTTAATTTTTTAATGAAAGTAGATTTATTTCCTTGTTTATTTAAAAGAATGAAAAAGAATCTGAGAGATACTAAAATATAGACGTTTTTTGGTAATAATCGGTTTGTTATCTAATTGTTTTTATGAGCTGTTTTATTTAACTAAGAAGAAAGTGGAAATAAAAATATAAAATAAAAATTCAAGAAAAAAGCAAAAATTAAAGAAACTAATTAAAATTTGGAAAAATAGGAAAAAAATCAACTCAAAAACAAATGGGCAGCTGCACAATTTTATGATTGCGATTTTTATTTCTAGTATTAAGCTGGTTTTTCCAAAAACGAGTAATTAGTTGAATTGCCTAAAGGATTTTTTTCTAAAATTTTTTAATTTTTTATCTTGAGCTTAAATAATGAGGTAAAAGGTTCTGACCTGCGGCCAAGTTTTTGTTCGATCTTTACTTTATTTTTATGGGCTGAACGGAAAATTTCCAAATTGGAAATTTTAAATAAGGCAGTTTTATTTTCGGTTGCAAAAATTTTTACTATTAAAAAAATTTTTTAATTTATAAAATTTTAGAAAATATTCTCGATTTGTTAATAATTAATATAGAAAATGTTAATTTAAAAATAAAATTTCCTTTTCTTAAATTCAGAAAACAAACAATCTTTTTACTAGTTTTTGTTCGTTGGTTCCACTTTATTCACGTATTTATTTTTATTTTTCGGTGACACTCACAAAAAAAGCATTAGAGGGAAACATGATATATTAGCGAAAGAAAATTTAAAAATTTTAAATAATGAAAATGAAGATTAAAGTTTAGTTTCTCTGTTTATTTTTTTGTGGGCATATTTAAAAATAATACGTTAGTAGTAAAATTTACAAGATTTTACAAAAAAATCAAAATGATTTTCAAAAAAATGGCGGAAGTCAACTGTAAGGAGAATTAACCAATTATTTCGGAATACTAAATTTCAAAATGCCAAAACGACAAGATGCCAGCTCACAAAACGTCAGCTCTAAAACACTAATTGGCGGGAATTTTAAATTAGGTTAAAATTTATTAATCTGGGAATTTCTGTCTGGTGCTGAACTGTTTATGATGGGGAATTACAGTCTGGAGTTGAATTAATTTGGGAATTTCAATCAAGGACTGAGCTATTTAGGGTTGGGAATTTCAGTCAAGAGCAGAAATCAGGTCCGGAATACATTAACAGAAAGGATATGGGTAAAATTCGAAAATTTAAATATAACAATAGTTTTTATTTTAGCAAATTTCGAAAATTAATTAAAATTATTTTTGATTATCAAAAAAACGTTATTTTCATAATATCGTTTTTTATTTCAATAATGTCAGCACCAGCTTCTAACAGTACACTGTTTATGAACTGCAAATTAGGCCTCTCTAGATTTGTTTGCCCAGCCGAGACATCCAAAGCTGCCGATAATTTGTAATCAAGGCGAAACAATGTTTTAAAAAGCTAATTTAAATTTTAATGAAATTATTTAATAAATTAAGTTAGATTATTTAATAAATTAGATTTACACTTATAAGGACGTTTAAAACTTATAAGGAAAAGGTATATAACTTTAAGTGTGGTAAAACAATATAATGACTGGTTATGATAATATAAGCCTGAATGAACACCGGTCTAGCTAGTTAATACAACCCGCTAATACGAACATCTGCTTTCAATTCACTTCCCTATCTTGTTACATTATACTTTGGATAACAAGATATTCTTGTAATATTCAACTTTGTTAATTTAGTTTAGAGCGCAGTGAGTAATATATTAATGATATTTAATTACCTGGTCCTTAAAATCGCAATCGAAACACTTGTTTTCAAACATTTAGTAGAAAATTCGGACATATTTAACAATTACGGCAATTTAATTTGTAATTTTATACCTTAATTTAATTAAATTTGAATTAGTAAATAAGTTAAATGACGAAAGAATATCACTTTTCTCAAAAATCCGGATACTAAAATTATAAAAAATATGAATATTATAAAACGAATATCAGGATGTAAAAGAAGATTGAACAAAAGTAGTCGCAATCGAAAAGTAGATCGCAATCGAAAAGATCGAAAAGTAGATAATAATACGAATTACGGCGTTTTTGGGTTAAATTACAATTACGAAAGAATTTTCGATTACGACGCAACTCTTCATAAATTGTATAGCATAAACACACTCCAATAGATAACTTTTGAGTTTGGAAGAAGCTCCAAATCAAAGCAACAAATGTCTCTATTTAGTGAAAATAAAAATGACTATAAAATCAGAAAGTTCGTCGACTTTAACGAAACAATAAATTTAAACAAAATAGGAAGTCAAAATTTTCGAAATAGGGAAAGTATTTTCTATTATTTACTTTATCCTAACATTGATATACTATGCGTAAAATTATATGATTTTTGAAATTGATTTAATCATGTTGATAGTGTGGCAAATAAATTTTTATTTATTAATTTTTGTGCTTTGTTTTAGTACCAAAAACGTTATGTGTATTTATTATTTATCTGAATAAGGATTACCCATCTAACTGGGCGGCTCGACAAAGGACAGCTGCAAAATTTTTATTATTGCGGTTTTTCTCTTTTTCATTAAGGCTTATGTATTTACCAAAAACGAGTAATTTATTTAATAAAAACAATTTATTTTTTCTAAAAATATTTTAGCATTAAAAAAATTTTATAAAATTTTTAGAAAATATATTCGATTTATTGATAATTGATAGAGAAAATGCTAAATTCAAAATAAAATTTCCTCTTTCTAAATTTAAAAACGAATAATGTTTATTACTAGTTTTTGTTCGTTTCTTCGTCTCTATTTAATTTTTCTATTTATTTTTATTTTTCATATGACAAGTACAAAAAATTTATTATCAAAGAGAGGGAAAAATAATTTATTAACGAAGGAAAATTTAAAAATTTTAAATAATCAAAAGGAAGATCAAAATTTAATTTCTGTATGTTTTTTTGATTTTTTGGGCAAAGTAAAGATATTACGTTAATTCTCCAAAATTTTGCGTGATAAGGGATTCAATTGTTTATCAATGATGGGCATTGAACGTTTTGTGACCCCGGTCCCGACCTTTTCCAAATCTAAAACTCTGACCTAGAGCTCTTTTATCTGTAACTCTACATCGAAGAGTTACAGATAAAACGGCAATTACAAGTAAAGAGCCTATACAGCTGTCTAGTTAACTATTTAACTCATGAAGAGTTAAATCTTTTAGAAGACTTTAGGATATTTTAATTAGACCGGTTTTGATTTTACTTCTAATTAGAATTGTGTGAAAATTTATTAAGACAAAAAAATTTGAATTTAAAATTTAAAAGAGTTCCCATTTTACTAGGTCAAAAGAATTCCTTATGATGAAGTTTTTGTTCAATCCAAAATTTTTCGTATGGCTGCAGCAGCCTATGGATCCTTTGACAATTTTGCTACATGTCTACAAACATTAACTGGAAGTTATAGTGTAAATTGAATAAATTTTTGATATGAATAAATAAGATTCTCTCACATCAGGTATTTTTTAACATTCAAATACCTTGTCTAACCAATGAAAACTGTACTGGCTTTATGGCTTTGTCTTTGGAGGATAAGGCATTGATTCTATCTTTTGGGTAAATGCTATATTTAATTTTAAAAATAAAAATATTTTTTAGAACTTCACAATATGCATATAAACAATTATTAAACAATTCTGGAGAATCACTTTTTAATAAAAGGAGAAGATCGCCGTTAGGGTTTGGAAGCGGAATGGTGAATATTTTTACTAAATTTTGTTTATTAATAATAGAGAACCAACCTGTGGTTCAGGAAATATGTAATAGATATCGCCAAAATCTCTTTAATAATGATAGAGATTTTTGAGCAAAATCTTTGTTTTCTCCATTACTTTTTTTCTATTAAACTCTCGCTTAATCTGTCAATAATAGAGTGATAAGAATAATAATTTTTAGTTATATTCATTTTAAATAATCAAAGACCACTTAGACATTTTTTTGCGCATTTATCCTTCTAAATCTCTTATTAATTAATCTATTTTAGTTAATTAACGATGAAATTTCCCCCTCCTTAAAAAATTTTTTTAATGAACTATTAATTTTATCAAAAAGTTGACAGGTTTCTGACAATCTTTTTTCAATATTTTATCAAATGCAACTTGCTGGAATAACACAAAAAACTTTTGAAATGATTAACTTTTTTGATGGTTATGATCTTTGGGTGAATTTTAAAAATATTAAATTTAGAAAATAATTTTTTCGTAAAGATAACTGGCCATTCAATAGGGGGAGCTATAGCTTCGATTGCTGCTGCTAAAATAGCTAGTGCTAATGTTATTGATGCAAAACAAATTAAATTGGTTACTTTTGGACAGCCTAGAGTGGGAAATAAAGCTTGGGCAGCGGCCATGGAAAATGCTGTTGGAAATTTTTGAATTTATAATTAAAATGGAATTTTTTAGAATTAGATACAATATAGCTTGAAATATGATTAGGATTCGGTTTTGGTTATTAATTTAGTTAATTCTCGTCCTACGGACGAGAATTTATTTTGCAAAAAATTTTTACTCCGACATTTATTATTTTTCTTGTTGGAAAAAGATTATGTCGGGAATCGAGGTAGGGGAATATTCTAAAATCGTGGTGTGTAGGGAAAACGGGAAGGGGGGGGGATAATTGTCTAGTAAATAACTTCTAGTTAGACACCTACTTATAATACACGATTTTTCAAGCTCTAGGTAATATTTTTCGAAAGGTCCAACTATATTTAGGATTTGAAAACTTTTTAATTTAATTGTTGAATTAAAAATATTTTTTATTTGCCCTACTACACTTATCGAGTCGTTAATGAAAAGGATATTATTGCCGATTTACCTCATCATTCATTTCTTTATTACACACATTTTAGAATGGAGGTAATTAATTAATATTATTTAAAAATTTTTTGTGAGTATTAACGTCATTATTTGTTTAAATTACGAGTTTACTTTTCCTTTTTCTTGCAACACAGTAGGGGTTTCCTTGTCTCCTTCTCCGAAAGTAGGGAATTTGAGGAAATAATTATAATAAACGAAAAGGAAGTGTAACATTTATTTTCCTCAAACTTAAAACTATTTAAAAAAAATGTTCAAAAAAATTTTAAAATCATTTAAAAGATATTATACTTTGCAAATAATTCAACTACAAATTCTTCTTCTTTTCCACTAGAGAATTATAAAGTTTGCACTTCAGGGGAGGATAAACATTGTATAAATTCTACCAAGTAATTTATCCTTATAAATATATTAATTTAACAAATTCAAAGCAATTTTAATATTAATGACCATATTAATTATTATGGCATAAATGTTGCTGAATATGGAAGGAATGGATGTCATAAATAATAAGAAATTGGGAAAAAGATTTTGTTTATATTAAAAATATATGATATGTATAAATAATAATTTCAACAAATTGTGTTTTTTAAGAGCCATTTGTTTGCTTTATCTCATTTCAAACATTATGCCGTTTGTCTTGATTCGTTGGCGAAAAGATGTAAATTTTTTCCGTTTTGCTTAAAAATTGGATGTGGATTGTAGTGGATTTTTCTTTAACCTTTTGCCTGTCAAAAAAATTTTTTTATTAAAAGTCTATAATTTTGTCGCGACAAAAAAGTGCCTACTTTAGAATAAGATTAATTATTATGAAATTTTAAAAGTATATGTTAAATAGTTATATATCAAATTAAAGAGGACAAAATAAGCTACAAAATAAGCTCAAGATTATACTTATAAGAAATTAAAAAAAAATCTATAAAAATTTAAACAAGACGAAGCAACGAGTCTTTAGAATTGTGTCACTACTGTATGACTTTTGCATAGGTCCACTACTGTATGACTTCTTCTTCCTTAACTATATGTACTTCTAATTTTCCCATTAATACTACTTCGTACTCGACCTAGACCTCGTACTCCCCTAAATTTTGCCTTGTACTCGTTCTTTGAGGCCAACCTTATTTTTTTCACGTATTCGTAGCAAAGTATGAGTACGAATCTTGATACGGGCGTATAAGCTCCGATCGTAATCCTATGAATTCACATAAAAATATATTAAAACGAATTAAAGCCAAAATTTCAAAATTAATTATAATGCTGGATATATATAAATAAACATGCCGAAATTAAAAATCAAAAACTCAAATGTTAGACTTTATAGGTAGTATTCAGTAGAAAAAGTCGTGAAAAATATGTATTCATTAACTTTTACGAAGCACAGAAGTAAAATTAATATTTTAAAAATTAATTGGCCAGATGTTAGTTTCGCTATAAAGTTGCACTTTTTGTTTATTTATTATTTAATTTTTAATAATTAAAAATTATATACAGGGTGCGGCAAATTAAGCGCGCGTTTGTTTTTTGCCATAACTTTTTTCAATTTTAATGAAAATTGATAATTCTTTTTTTATTTTATTCCGAACACTCTAGGAAAATTTTTGGTACCAAGAAATTGAAATTTGCTTAAGTTTTAGTAAAGATATACCCGTCCGAACATTTAAATGCGCAAAAAACATTCTTTATGACAAAGTTTACACTGTCATAACTTTGCTCAAAGTCGTCCAATCTTACTAATTTTGGTACCAATCGACTTGTCTCAGTGAGGAGCATCGAAATATTCAAGAAAAACATTTTTGAAAATTTCACTAAAAAATTGAAATTTAACACCTATATTCAATTCTATCATTAAAAATTCATATCTCAGCTCATGGACCAGATAAGAGTTTTGTTTAACTATTATTCGAATCAGTTTGAAGAGCTTATTCGAATGACATAAAGTTTTCAAATATCAAAATCTTAACATCGAGCCCAGGCCAACTTTTATCAAAAAAATTTAACTCAAACTTTGAAGGAAAATTAAGCAGGCTAAACCATAAAATTTAAAACAAATTTTGGTATCAAAAATTTTCCTAGAGTGTTGGGAATAAAATAAAAAAAGAATTATCAATTTTCATTAAAATTGAAGAAAGTTATGGCAAAAAACAAACGCGCGCTTAATTTGCCGCACCCTGTATTTATAATTTATTATTAAAAAAACTTACGTTTAATTTACATTTAAAATTGTGGGTTAATTAAATTTCTTAGAATTATTTTGTTATTTTAATGTAAAACACAACAATTAACCTTACGTTATTAATTTAATTTAGACAGGTGAATTATATCTAATTATTTAACGACACATTTTATTAGTGTTAAGAGTTTTTTGTTTATATAAAGTTAAGCAGTATCGTAATTTTAAAGTTATTAACAGATACAATTAAAATATATAGAGGAACCAATCCTAGTTCAACTTAAGAAAAAATGGATTTATATTTATTTAATCAAAATGAATATGAGCGTCTTTATAATTGTAGTATTTATAATATTGACCAAATTCCCCTGGAAAAACGTCAACATAAAATACTTGGAATTTTCTTTATTATTTTGTCTACAATATATGTAGTAAGTAAATATAACACGAAGAAATAATTAAGGAATAAGTTTAAGAAGTAGATCAAGATAAATTTTATATAAAATTATGGAAACACAAGTCTGGAAACACAAGTCTATTTTTTTCTATTTAGCTCAGAAAAGTTAAATCAGATAAAGTCTGGAACTACTTAGTCGAAAATTTCTGTTTTGGAGAGCAAGTGAAACCAGAACTTGTCTAGGCCCACTGAGTTTTAACCGTATTTCAACTAGAGTGTGTCAGAATAAATTGAAATCCAATTGTTTATTATTAAATAGATACTCTATATTCCTTGTATGTATTCGATTTGGAAGCGAATGGCAAACAGTAATTGTTATAAAATTATGTTTTATGGGGGTTGTTGATATGGCAGCAGTTTTATGTGCTGGATATTTAACTGGATATTTGGGATATTTTGGATATGTTTTTTGTTCTTCACCAAAATTTATTTATTTTGCTGGAGTATTTGGAACTTGTTTGTGCTTTTTAATAATTTCATATATTCGTTAATTAATAGTTTGTTGGGCTGCTGAATCTACAATAGAGGGGATTTTAGCTATTAATCGTTGCGTTGAAATCTGGTCTTCTGAATATGCTAAGAAACTTTTTGGCGGTTGGAATTAATCCATCTTTAGCCGTAACTTTAGCTTTATTTTTTAAAAGGCAAAAAATTGTTTATTTGGCTGGGCATTCCCTTTCTATACGGCTTAGCAGTATGTGTATGGGCAAAGCCAGTTACATTCAGTGGCATTTATTTTAGCTGGTTCTTCAATCCGCACATTGGATATATTGATGACGTTAATCAAGTATTGGTTTCTTAATATCTTTAAAATATTTAATCTTCTAAAAGGAATATGAGAACACTCTTCAGCCATTCCACAATTTATCAGTCATATTTTTTCTGTTAATTACTTACATTATGTAAGTCTCCTGATATCCGTCCAAATACCCTTATCCGCAATACATCAATATCCTTATAAATCACTATATCCCTTGAACAAACAAAAATCACTCCAGATCACCTTGTATCCCTAAATATACCATTTAATCCCTAAAAATCCCAATTAATCCCTCCATGTCCAATTATATACCAAGTTATACACTTTAATCCCTTCAAATCCCCTCTAATTTCTTCAAATCCTATTTAATTTTTGAATAAATCAACGAAAATATATCGATTTCTAATTATTTTTTAGCATTTTTTTCTCTAAAAATTTTTCCACTAAACCCCCGTACCCCGACCCGAACCCCGGCCATATTTTGCTCCCCCGACCCGAACCCCGCCCCGAAACAATTGGAAAACCCCGTACCCCGACATACCCGCCCCCGAGCGTTCGGGGTACAACCCTACTTACATAACATTCTTTATAATTTTTTTGATAAAATCCAAACAAGGAGGTTTTCAATCACATCAACAAAGCTATTCTGAAAAAATGGTTTTTTTAATTAAAATCTTGATCTAAACCCTAAATTTTTAGATTTTTCTTCAAGTTTTTTTGATTAGCTTGTTTAATAGTGTCGCTGCTTCGATATATGCTTTTATGCAATACACCCATGTGAACTACGTAATTATTATAATTGGTCAGATTTGTTGGTTGAATGCACACGGTGACAAACATTGATATTAATTTTGTAAATTTAAGTGATCAAAAATGATCCTAGGTCCTTCCAATTGCCATATTAAGCTCTTTATAAAAAATATTCTTTCAAATTAAAGTTATTATAATTTTTTCATTTTAATTATTAACATAAAATTAGAGTAAAGATGCCAACTCTATAATCTAAAAATTACTATTTAGGAATACCTCCTGTCATTTATTTAACAATGAACAAGTCGATTCAACGAAATTGTCTCGGAATATTAAAAAAGTTTGGCAGTACTACATTAAAATTCTACAAAAATCTGCACTTAAATTCTATCCAGCCTATTATTCCTCAAATAAATCCTCCAAGGGAAGATAATCAAGTAAATGTACAAAATCAACAAATCAATCAAAATTGAATTTTCTAAACTTTTTATTGTAATAGTATATTATTCCTTTTACCTCAAAAATTTAATATTTTAACTTAAATTTACATAGTCCAATCAAAATTTATCCAGAAAATTATAAAAAATTTCTAATTAAAATTTATATTTATTTATAAATTACTTATATACATAATATGTATTACTTTAGTATATGGGATTTTTTGGTTTTGCAGAAACTTAATATGGAGACCTTTTGAAAAATATATTCCCTGATTTTTATAGTGATCCGATCTCTAGCTCTCAGTTGCCCGGTCTCAACTAATTGTTTTGCTTCATTTCATTTCTTAAAAAATTTGAGTTTCGTGGAGGCATTCTTAGTGTATATTATATGTAGTAGATCAAATAAAACTCTTGGATTATTTCAATATTATCCGTGCACAGGTCTGTATTTATATTTTTTAGGAATTTATGTTCGCTTTCTCTTACTAGAATTGGTAAAAGTCTTGAATATGGCTTTCTAGTGTAAATTTTGAAAAAAAGGGAATTTTTTACTTTTTTTAATTTTATTAATGAAATTTTGGAAGAAACTAGAACTTATTCTGCCTTTCTTGCCGAAAATTACCTAATGTCTAATAATTATTTAATTTAATGAAATCATTTTTATTTACATATGTCTACATTTTATAAGTACATATATAATGCTTTGAAATATGTTTTTATTTACTATAAAGTGCAGTCTTATTTAAACGAATGTATAGACATATTATAAACCAACAAAATTTTATTTAATTAAAAAAATTTTATTTTACGTTAAATAATGTTTTTAATTAAATTTTTATTTTTTTGCCAAATAATATTTTTAATAATTCATTGTTTTTCTAATTATAAAAATAATCAACGAATTTTGGTTGAATCTACAGAATATAATAAAAATGAGGATGGAAGTTTTAAAATAAAATTGTTGAAAATGGAAATAAATAAAATTGATGGTCAAACTAAAATTAAAATTTTATTAGAAATTAATAAAAAAAATGAGGACATTCTTCCATTTGTTAAAATAAACTTTGATTCCGAATCCTTACAAACAATAAAAAATATAAATAAAAATGGGAAAAAATTAATTTTGATTGAAAAATTCCACAAAAATTTAAGGATATATGAAGTTGCCATTTATTTAAAGGAAATTAGTAATAAAATGATTAAACAAAAGGTTAGGCAAAATACTTTTATGTTAAAAATAATTTAGGTGATAAAATGCGAAAGATGCGAACCGCGAAAGCGAAATTATTTAAAAATTCTGAAAATATTTTATTCATATTCAAATTATAAATTACTAGATTGTGATGGAAAAATAAAAGAATTAGTGCATTTTTTGAAGGCCGTCTTTGCCAGGACTCCGGCCGTCTTTGCCAGAGTCCGGGTCCCAATCGGATTAATCCAGAAAAATCCGGCAGAGTCCATTTTCCATCTTCTTCCATGGATTTTTTAACTTTTCGCTCTAAATCTCAAATCCCTTTCCTGCGTCTCAGTCGAAAATTTTGAGAATTTCGGAAGGTCAAGTAGCCAGGTTTCTTCGCAGTTTCTTCCCCCGCATCCGCCCTAATCCCGGCCAAAAAAACAATGGGAATTTCAGCATTCGGGAATCGGGGAGGTATGATTGGCACGTAAGAGTAAATTAAAAATGTGTTGGTATACTGCCAAATAATACACTATACTGCCAAAATATTGCAAGAAGGCCACTCTGGTTCCTCCATTCTACCTCGACAACACACTCCTTCTAGGTCTTTTGCCCCAAAGAATTAAAATTTTAAACTTTTTATTTTATTTACATTTTAGGAATTAATGACTTTGTTACCTATGTTTTTTGAACAAATTGATCTGGGAGATAATGAATTGGCATATAAAAGAATGCCAAATGCATCTAGTTACTCTAGTATTGATATAAACATAAATGGAATAAAGTCTAAATTATGGACAGAAATTAAAACTTATAAATTAACTAGATTTATATGTTTTTTGAATCCGGAAGGGCCACAAAAACCTTTAAAAAGACAAAAATTTAGAAAATTTAATTCAATTGAGTCAACTTCATTAGATGATAGAAATCATGCAGCAAAATTGGGATATTCTCACATTGAAATTTGTTTTAAATTTGAACACCCAGGCAATTATTTTATTAATTTATTAAATCTTTTACAAATTGGATGGTTTCAATTTTACGTTAAAATTAAAAAAGCAAACAAGGAAAAATGTGTTTTCAAAATGTTCAAGAAAACGAATGATTTAGAGAGAAATGTATTGAAAAGTTTGAGACGTTACATGATGCTAAATATTTCAAAAACAGATGTAGATTATATTGAAGATGGTCAAATGAATGTAATTAGTAATGAGGATTATATAAAAAAATATCCTAAAGCTCAATTTGTTGCCTCGATTGCTCCATTTTTAATGAGAGGAACATATGAATTTTATTTGGATGAGGATGGAATAACAAAGGAAAAACCAATAACATATATATCCCCTAGGAATTGAATTTTTTGGAATAAATCTGGCTTCTGTGAGATATAAAATTTACAAAAAAATTTATTTCTGCGCATTCTATTGTTTCTTTACTATCCAAATAAATAATTATAGACAGCTTGTATGTTTTTATTATGTCTATCTCTATTGATAACGAAGGAATTAGGGAGTTGGACTGTCTCGATTATCAGTTTATGCGGCTTTTTTCTTTACATTTATTATTCATTTTTACAAATTAAGCTGTTATTTTTCTTAAAATTTATTTAATTTTTCGTCATTCTTCCAATTATTTCTACTATTTATTTTTATCATTAATACATTTTACTAAGATTTTAAAAATTTTTATTTATTTTTCTTCAATTACCACATCTTTAACAATAATCTAAAATTTTTAAAATTTTGTACCATGTATAATTTAATGAATTTTATTGAAATAATTCTCCTTATGCGTAAAATTATTTTGTGAAATTTAATTTTTAACAAATCTAAATTAACAAAATCAAAATTATTTTTGTTTCCTTCTTTCCTCTAACTTTGAGTTTTTCGAAAATGTAGAGCAGTAATAGATTGAAGTTAGTCCCATTAAAATCCTCTTTAAAACTTTCCATACAACCCAAAATAAAATAAACACAAAAACAATGGAGAAGAGAATTACATCAATTGAATAATAGACAACCCAATTCATTTCCTTAGCTCCCGGTAAATCAAGTTCTGATAAATCGCTAAATTCTGCTGCAAATTCTACCCATTTTACAAGTCTTTCTTTTGGATTAAATGGAGTTAATTGAACTTTTTTGGCTATAATTTGGGCTTTTTGACGAAATGATGGGTCTGTGAGGATCTAAAAAATATTTTGATATCAAAGTCTTTAGTCTATTTTATGAGTCCAATAAAGTTTAAGATCAAGGAGATGATCGACGTTTAAATTTTAAAAAATCATTAGCGATAGAATATTGAGAAAAATGTGGAACAAAACAATCTTTGTTTTTTTTTTGAAGATTTGAAGAATTAGAGTCCGTTAAGAAATTATAAGAGCAAGGATTCAAACCCATTTATCTATACTAAAAGTGTTTTTATTGAACCCCTAAGGGTGTTAAAATATTATTTGACTCATAAATTAGACCATCTTCACTTAATTTACCTTTTCTATCGTTTCAGATAATATACTTTCAGCATTCGGTCCATTTAAATCATTAACATCAATTTGTAATCCAAAACCAAGCTTCTGAGCAACATCGGCATTGTAAAATTGGTCAGCAAAAAGAGGAAGTCCAATAACTGGAACGCCTGCGGTTACAGACTCGGTCAAACTGTTTTGGCCGCAATGAGAGATAAATGCACGAAGGTTGGGATGGGCTAGAGTAAAAGTAAAAATATTAATAGGTTAATAGGTTTGGTGAAGTAATGGGGTTAAGAGTGATTTCAATTGATTAATGAGTCTTGATCCACCAATATAATCCTTAATCCCTCTCAATTCCTCCAAATCCCAATATCAAACTGTTGCTCCAAATCTGTTGTTATCCTCTCCAATTTCGAGATATTTCATAAAATAAAATTTGATTGACAAAAAGAATTTACCTAAAATTGCAGTTTGGCGAATCCACTCAAAAGCATAAACATTCGGAAACGATTTAAGCAATTCTGACTGATTTTTTATTGTTTCCTGATCCAACTTCCAAATGAAATGAACATTAGGAAACCGTTTAAATGCTTTTAAAATTGAATTTCTCATATTATTTGTAATTTTTGTAGTATCAGTAATTGAACCAAAAGAAAAAAGTATAGCGCCTCCTCTAGCTTCATCCAATATATTTTCAGTTCTCTTAAAATTGAAGGATTTTTGATTGGAATTTTAAAACCAAAATTTTATATAACCTACTTTATCAAGTATTTTGATGTCTGGAGGAGCTGAATCTTGCACAAGCCCCCCAATATAAACGATTTTATTTGAAATAGGTCTAGGAAAGTCTATAAATGGATTTGTGTTGATAAATACTAGAGACGATTTTTTAAGAAGTACATTCAAATCTAAAAAATCTTCACCAAATTCTGCACGAATAATGGGATCCTGAAAAATTTTATTAGGAAAACTATAAAAAATAAAAGACTTGTAGTCGTTTAAAATGATCATGCATCCAAATCCACTCGTAAAAGTCATTGTAAAAATTTATTAGTCTATTATGGAATGATTCTAGTCCTAATCTTGGTGCAAAATTATCTGAGAATTGATTTAGAAATAATTTTTGTTTAATATACAAACTTGGTACGTAGCTAGAAAATGTTGGAATATCATATTTTCGAGCAATCCAATGAAGTAATTGAACAGCGTAAGCTGTAATCTGTACACGTACACCAATCTTGTGGAAAATAGCTGCAGCACAATGATCATAATTTTCCCCTATTCCAACATCAAAATGTTCTTCCTCTAATTTTTGAAGCAATTTGCGTTCTTTGATTGTTTCTATAATGATTAAATTTGAGACAGGACAGGAAGGGTCGACGAGAATCAGAACTGATATCTCTACAAATAACGATCTCAATAACCGAGCTTGTCAAGATCTAGTTTCGGTGAAATTTACCTTTACATGCAGTTACAAACATAGGTCCAATGGGATCGTTTTGATGCCCAAATAAGGTTAGGAAAGGTCTCCTGTTTGCAAAAGAATCTGTAACTAATGAATTCTTCTTAACATCCAACAATTCAGCATTTTCTGAGGTTGGTTCAACAATATATTTATATGCTGGATTTACACGAGATGTTTCGTTTTTATATTTGAGATCCAAGTCCATGACAAATTTTAGAAAATGCTGAAATAAGAACATGTTTAAATTAACCTTAAATTATTTAATTAAGAGATTAGTAAAATCTAGCCGCGGGCATAGCCAGGCTCAACCACTCTCTCTCTCTTTCTTTTAATGAATGAGAGATTATTTTAAAATTGTTTTTTCTCGATGAACATTATTTCCAAATTTTACAAAATATTTTACAACTTGGAGAAAGACTAACCACTTCATGGCCAGCATCAACTAATGTGTCTGCAATTTTCCCTAAAAATTGAGCATGACTCCAGCTTAAAGTAGGTGAATATACAAGTATTTTTAGTTGTCGTTTTGTTTGTTTAGAATTATTTAAATTTTGTTGGGAAGCAAATGTTGAAATTAACAAAAATAAAATTATTAAAAGAAGGCGAAAAATGGACATATTTTTAAAATTAAATTATTTTTAAAAATATTTTTTATTAAATATTAAAATTTAATCAGAAGTTTTTAAATAATTAAATTTATTTTTAAAAATTAAATAATTTAAAAATAATTTTTAGAGAAGGAAAATATTTAATTATTATTTAAAAAAAAGTTTATCAATTAAATAATAAAGAATTTGCGTGTCAATTTCCACACACATCATTTAATTGACACAAACCAAGAATAAATTTCTATTATTAAAAAGTGTTCGCAATTTATTGGCCTAAAATAAAATATGTATTCAAATAAAAAATAAATTAAAGATTAAATAAATATGTCTTTTGTAATTTTAAAATATTTTTTTTTGATTTTTGTTAATTTACATATATATAAAATGTAATTTCAAATTAATTTCAATTTACACATTACAATACACCTAAATTATGTAATTATTATAAAAAATTCGAAACCATGGCCAGCAGAATGTTTGAAGAAATTGATATCTTCTGAATTTCAACAAAGCCTCTGATATCCGTTATTATCCACCCAAATCCCATGATGTCAACATTGGCCTAAGTGCACTTTCAGGTGACATTTTAGATTGAACAATATATATGTCAAGAGAAAAAGCTCAACAATCGAGTCGAATGACATCAAAATTAGCCAATGGAAGCAACTTTTGGCTAAAATATAGTGTTCGAGAAATTAATTAAATATATTTTTATTTTGCAATTCATCACATCATTATTTTAATCATTTTTATGAATCATTCCAATTCTTTAAAAATTTGAGAAAAATGAAATAATCATTATTAATGAATATATATATAAATTTACAAGAAAAAAGATGTGATCATCTTTATTTTCCAGATAATTTTATTTTTTGATCATTATTTTAATCAATTTAATTTACATAATTTTTTACATTTTTAGTTCTTTAACATGATTTTTAAATAATCTGGCAGAGATTAGCCAAAAAATATTTGGTTACCTAAAAAATATCCAATTAATTGAATTACCTGGAATAATCAGAATTTTTTAAATTATTTTTATAAGCATAAAATGTTTTCGATATTGCTTTGTTTCATGAAACTTAATAAAAATCTAATTATTCAGAAAATCATAATTAGGGCTTAATTAAATTGTATTTTTAGAAATAATCAGAAAATATTTTCCGAATTAATATATTTATTAAATAAAATGAATTACTATTTAATTTTTATTTTAACACCAATAGTTTTCATTTTACTTTCTTCTGTTGATCAAGTAATTTTTAAATATTATAAAAGTTGACCTCATATTAGGATGCCCCAAATTCTCGATAAACCTTAATACATATTAAAATTTTTTGTGAATGTGCAGGGGAGCTAACTAAACGTACCTCCTATTTAAGAAGGATGTACATACGTCCTATTTCACCAACTATTTAACTATAAAATCCTAAAATATTTTTCTATCCCCAAGGTGTATTTGAAGTTGATATTTCAAAAATAACTAAAATAATAATCAACTTTTACCCATAAATAAATATTTTTAGACAAACGGATATTGCTGTACGGTTAAAGGATTCATCGGATTCCCTCCAGATTGCAACATTTTTGGGTGCAATTGTGATTGTAATAAATGTGATGAACGTAAATATTTTTAATTAATTTAGTCAAATAATAAAATAAATTTAAGCGGTGGACAAAGCCTGCTGTTTGGTAGAAAATACTGGGATAGGTAAAATAGCTTGTTCTTCTAAGAAGCGGAAGCGTAGCTTGAAACAAAATGAAGTAGGGTTGGTCCCCGACCCCGACTAACCCCGACCCCGACCCCGAACCCCGACATTTTTTGACCTAAAACCCCGACCCCGACCCCGACATTCCCAACCCCGAAAACCCCGACCCCCGAAAGTTCGACCCCGACGACCCCGAACCCCGAAAAATTTTTATGCCCCCGACTCAAACTGCATTAATTAACTAGAGATCGGAACGGGATCGGGACTTTGATGCTAAATATATGAAGGAAAAGGGAAAGGAATATTTATATTTTCTCCTGTTTCCTTTTGTTGGTCGATGGTTGAGTGGTTAGGTTAACTGACTTCAGCCATCTAGCTATTTTGATAGGAATGTTGTTCGAATCCAGGGATGGAAATAAGGCTGAGAAAATTTTTCTTCTCAAAAATAAATACATATTTTTAAACTATGATCTTGATTTTAAATTTGCAAATTTATTTTTTTAAATATTTTACACTTGAAACAATATTAGAAATTTTAAACTAGTCATGAATTTTCCAAAATTTTCGCCTGCGGCGCAGAAAATTGAAGAAATCTGTCTCTTGGCCTTCCAAAATTCTAAAAATTTTCGCCTGCGGCGCAGAAATTGAAGAAATCTGTCTCTTGGCCTTCCAAAATTCTCAAAATTTTTGCCTGCGGCGCCGAAAATGGAAGAAATCTGGCTCTTGACCTTCCAAAATTCTCAAAATTTTTGCCTGCGGCGCTAGACTCAATGAAGGGATACAGAGGCTTTAGGAGAAATTGATGGATAGATGGATTTCTCCCGTTATCCTTGCAACTCCCCGATATCCCGTCAAATCCTTCTAAATCCCATTATATCCATCTTAATCCTCTGATATGCCTTCATATCCCCTCAATCCCTTTACATAAGAAGTGGAGTAAGAGTTACCTTGTGGGTTTGGGGATTTTGGGGATTATGAAGGATAACTTGGATAAAGTACTTCTTGCGCCTTCAACTAATCACGAATTAGATACAGAAAGTGAAGATATTGAAGATTAAGTTGATTTTTTAATAAAAATGTTGATTTTGTACAGTAATTTTGGATAAAAATGCTGGATTTTGTAAATTTTCACTTCAACCCCGACCCCCGACCCCGACCCCGAACCCCGACATTATTTTCAGCCCCGACCCCGACCCCGAACAATTTGAGCAACCCCGACCCCGACCCCGACTTTGTCAACCCCGAAAACCCCGACCCCCGACTTTTCCAACCCCGAAGGCTCGGGGACCAACCCTAAAATGAAGTAAAGTAATTTTCATTTAAATAAATAAACGTTAAAAATTATGGAATAATATAATCAGGACTCCGATTGATAATTACAAATAAACTTTTTGGTTAAAAAATTAAATTTAACACTAAAATCTTAAAATATTCTGGCTTACTTTACATTTACTCGATCGGAGCCCTTATATAACTAATTAGGTATTTACTTACTTTAATTATTTTCAGTTAGAGGCAATGGGTTTTGAGGGCTAAAATAGAACAGATTGATGGAGTATTTAATGAATTGAAGGAAATTGAATCAAAAATTAAAAAAAAATTTATATGTATATGTTTTTATTTAAATGAATATTAAAAAAAATTCTAATTTAAAATTAAAAAATTTCAAATCTACTAAAATGATAATGGGTAAACTTTTAAACAATTTCTGTTGTTTTATTATTTTAATAAATTTTTTTAGCAGTTTTGGAAAAAAGATTATTGAAAGAAGTATTTATGTTAATAAATGTTAATTTTTAAATTAATAAAATTTATTAAAATAAATTTATTAAAAAAAAAATTTCTTCAGTCTAAAGGAACATTATTTATATTTTGTCTTTATTTTACGAAATTTTAAATCTTCTTGAAATATTGCGAATTGAAAAGATAGTTAAAGGATAATGTTTTTCCTTCAATAATATTTTTCTTAAGAATCGTCGTCTTCATCCCTATTCCTCATACATATCAGAACGATACTTCTTATTTGTGTGGACTTTGTGATATTTAGGAATTTTACTTGGCTTCAATTTTATTATAGACTAATAAAATCTCAAAAATGGACATTCGTTGATCTCAAAAAGGTAATAAAATCTTGTATATATTCGGGTTCGGGACATAGATCCTGCTCATTTAGACGTCCATCTGAAAAACATTTTTAAAAATAATTATTATATGTTTTGTTTGTTTTATTATATTGAGTTTAATTATAACCAAAATATTATTAAAAACATTAAATTACAAAAATTATGTTTTAAGGATTTAGTAAAGTTCAGAATTATGTAATAAACATTAATTCAGGGCTTCGATCTCGAATTTTTAAAAATCCGCAATTTTGATCATAAAAATCCGCATTTGATATGAAAAATCCGCAAAAAATTATCAAACACAAAAGTTGAATTAAAATCACTTTATACGTTATATTTTTGACTCCACAATTGAATTGAGCAATTTTTTCCTACTAATGACTATTTTATTAAAATCCGAACAATTAAATGAAAAATTATGTTGACTTAGCCAGGCCTGTAGCCAGGATTTTTTCCGGGGGATGGGGGGGGGGCCAAGGGGGGGGGGAACTTTTTCTATGCAAAATTGTTGGCGCCTTCGGCGCCAACAATTTTTATTTTCAGTGCCGCAGGCGAAAATTTTGAGAATTTTATCTGGCTGTAGGCCAAAAAAACTAACGAAAATTTTTTTAATTTTGGAGCTCAAGAAACTAAATTTCATACATTTTCAGCGCCGCAGGCAAAAATTTTGCGGATTTTGGAAGGCCAAGAAGCCAAAAATCGCCTTTTTTCAGCGCCGCAGGCGAAAATTTTGCGGATTTTGGAAGGCCATGGAGACAAAAAATGACATTTTATCCTAAAAACTACAAGAAAATACAAAAAATCCTCATAATCTTCAAAAGACTACAAAAATCCGCAAATCCGCATTTTTAAAAATAATCCTCATCGCCCTATCAAAAAACCACAAAATGAGGAAAAATCCGCAGAAATCGAAGCCCTGCATTAATTACTTTTAAAATAAATTTTAATTCATTTTACTATAACAAAAATATACTTTTTACTTTACTCCTGTCATTTCTAAAAACAAATAAATAACATGAACACATGTCCATATGATCAAACACAATTGATTTTATAAATTGATGTTATTGTGAATACATAACAATTGAATAAAAAAACTTAGAATTAAAAGCTTTTTAATACAACAATCTCAAGTTTTTATTATTGTTATTAGTAGAACAATTAAGTGTGTGCCGAGCCCCATTTAAAAATTATATTTTTGCCAAATGACTTATTGTCGATTATTTTGGTAGAAATACTTGGGACGTTTTTAATTTTCTGAATATTTGGAAATATTTCTAAATAAAACATTGTTTAACTACAGGGGGCCTAGTCCATAAATTCTTTTCTCTCCAAACCTAAAATAAAATTGAAGATGCTTTAGCCTCAAAAACCTACTTTTGAACGCCCTTGATGGCGGGATGAAGGATCTGGATCCGAAAAAACTCGGATATTCGAAATACTGCCACGAAGTTACCCAGAGATTTAACAATTCACCTTTAAGAATTTAAGAAAAATAAAATGAAATCTAATTACTTATTTCTTCTAATAACAATATCAATAGTTATTCTATTATCTGTTGATCAGGTTAGTCTATAAAAATTTAATAAAGTTTTAAATATTTTTTATACAAAATTTATAGTCCAATGGATATTGCTGCAAAGTTAGCAATTTCTTGTGGGGACATCCCCCAGACTGCAACATGTTAGGATGCAATTGTGACTGTGCAAAGTGTGTAGATGGTAAGTAATTAAAAGTATTCTCGACATTTTATGAAAAATACTGTCGAAACCCATATAAAATACCTCAAAAACATCAATTTTAGATGTTTTAGAAACTGATTGGCCATTTTTGGAGTGGGGTATGTCTAAGCGATATTCCCTTATTTAAGCTGCTCTCATTATAATAATGAGGGTATAATAATTTATAATTATAATATATAATTATAACTAGCGATGGGTTTGGCCACTGTTGTTGTTATCAGGACACTCTGGCGGTAAAATACATCGGGGGGTTCTTTAAATTACGATACTTCTGCCCGTTGGAAAGCCTAACGGCTTTGGGGGCGCGCTTCGCGCGCCGCTAGTAATTTTTTATGCCTGGAACAAAAGATAAGCCTTCATTGGGACTCATCCTTCCACTTAGAGTCACTTCGGGACTTCGGCCCTCGTCTTCCCCTCATTTAGACTCATCCTTCCACTTAGAGTCACTTGGGCCTTTGGCCCTCGTCTTCCCCTCGATTGGACTCACCCTTCCACTTAGCTTCACTTCGGGCCTTCGGCCCTCGTGATCCCTTCGATTGGACTCCTCCTTTCAATTAGAGTCACTTCGGGCCTTCGGCCCTCGTCTTCCCCTCGATTGGACTCGCCCTTCCACTTAGAGTCACTTCGGGCCTTCGGCCCTCGTGTTCCCTTCGATTGGACTCCTCCTTTCAATTAGAGTCACTTCGGGCCTTCGGCCCTCGTCTTCCCCTCGATTGGACTCATCCTTCCACTTAGACTCATCCTTCCACCCTTTGGCCCTCCCTTTTAGATGGGTGTCAGCTCGGGCCTTCGGCCCTCGCCCTTCCTTTTAGATGGCTGTCAGCTCGGGCCTCCGGCCCTCGCCCTCCCTTTTTGTCAGCTCGGGCCTTCGGCCCTCGCCCTTCCTTTTAGATGGGTGTCAGCTCGGGCCTCCGGCCCTCGCCCTTCCTTTTAGATGGGTGTCAGCTCGGGCCTTCGGCCCTCGCCCTCCCTTTTAGATGGGTGTCAGCTCGGGCCTTCGGCCCTCGCCCTTCTTTTTAGATGGGTTGGACTCCTCCTTCGATTGGACTCCTCCTTTCAATCTTTCCTTTATTCGGACTCATCCTTCCACATAGAACCTTGTCTTTCCTTTATTCGGACTCATCCTTTCACTTAGAGTCACTTCGGACTCATCCTTCCACTTAGACCCGTCTTTCCTTTATTCGGACTCATCCTTCCACTTAGAGTCACTTCGGGCCTTCGGCCCTTGTCTTTCCCTCGATTGGACTCACCATTTCAATTAGAGTCACTTCGGGCCTTCGGCCCTCGGCTTCCCCTTGATTGGACTCGTCCGTTCAAGTAGAACAAAATTTCGAAGCAGAAACTGCTTCACAAAGCATCTCTGCTTCGGATCCATAACAGGATCCAGCTTATCCCCCATAAAATTTCCCCCAATATCAAAATTCACCTTTAAACTCTTCTACGGTTTGCCCCCATGGTCAGAGACGGAGAAAAATTTCTCCTCTCTTCCTTACATTTGACCTGTCAATCATTTTTCCTCTCTCCCTCCCATCATTCTCCGGGTACGGTAGTCCAACACTATAAATTTTCGAACATTTGTAACTTCGTCAAAATGTACCGAAAAATTTTGAAAAAAATATTTTTATACCCAGCTCAATAAGAGCTTTCGAATGATATCTCATTTGCCACATATATTTTGATTTTTAAAATTAAAATTTTTTGGCCGGAAATTTCTGCCTGAAAAATTCACTAAAATTTTCAAAAAATCATATCTCACCTAAGTATAACTTTTTTAAAGATTTTAAAACCTTAGCAGATGCAGAAAAATCTCTTTTATCCAGGAAAAATACCTTCGGCCCGAACCGCCGCCAAAAATCCCGAAAAAATTTCGAAAAACCGAAAAATTTTGGGTTTTTCGAAATTAGACCCCTACACCTCAAATTTTGACTTTTTTCGAAATTTTTTGGGCTCAAAAAATACCTAATTTTTTACTGTATTTTATAAAGCAAACCCCATCCCATTTCGATAATCCCACAAAAATTTATACCAAATTTAAAAATCCCTCAAATCCCCCAAAAGGGGTACCCCTTTTGAAAAATTCGAGAGGTCAAAAATTTTTAATTTTGACAAAAAAACGTGTTTTATAGTGTTTTCGTACACGCTGAGTACGAATCCGTTGTTGGAAAAATTCTAAAAATTTTTTTAACAAAGTTAGAGTCTGAAAACCATTTCAGTCCCAGACTCAAATCCCAACCCACAAACTTCGAAATTAGATATTTTGGCTAATCCCATTAGAATACCCTTCTAATAAGCTTTCGAATGACTACTCATTCGACCATATCCCTTGAAATCTCAAATCCCGGAAATGTCGAATCTCGAACTTCGACTTCTAAAAGTTCAAATTTTGACATTTTTATTAATCCCAGTGAACTCCCCTCACTGCCCGCTCTCGAATGACTACTCATTCGACAATATTCGGAATACCGAAAACCCCGGATTTCGAAGTTCGACTTTCGTACTTCGACTTTCGATATTATCCTATATCCCATTGATCTCCGCTCATTATCCCCTCTTGAAGACTACTCATTCGACCATATTTCTACCAACTCTAAATCCCGGCTTTCGAAGTTCGACATCGAATTTCGAATTTCGACATTATCCCTTATCCCATTTGACTCCTCTTATTATCCCCTCTTGAATGAGTACTCATTCGACCCCACTTCCCAATCCCGAAAATACCGGATTTCGAAGTTCGAACTCCGAACTTCGACTTTAGGCTTAATCCTTTATCCCATTCGACTCCCCTTATTATGCCCTCTTGAATGAGTACTCATTCGACCCCACTTCCCAATCCCGTAAAACCCGGATTTCGAAGTTCGAACTCCGAACTTCGACTTTCATACTTATCCCGTATCCCATTAGACTCCCCTGAACATCCCCTCTTGAATGACTACCCTCTTGCCCATATCCGCAACACCCGAAAATACCGGATTTCGAGGTTCGAACTTCGACTTTTATGCTCATCCAGTATCCCTTTAGACTCCCCTCACTCCCTGCTCTTGAATGACTACCCACTTACCCATATCCCTCAACTCCGAAAAACCCGGATTTCGAAGTTCGAACTCCGAACTTCGACTTTCGGCTTTACCATATATCCCATTCAACTCCCCTCATTCTCCGCTTTCGAATGACTACTCATTCGACCATATTCAAAAATCCCTAAAAATCCCGAAATCCCGGATCCCTAATTTCGAAATCCCCATATAATTCCCCCCAACTAACCTTCACTCAACTCGAAACTTGCTTTAGTTTCGAGATCCCACAAATTTTAACTCGAAATTTCTCCTATATTCAAAAATCCCTAAAAACCCCTCTTGCCCATATCCGCAACACCCGAAAATACCGGATTTCGAGGTTCGAACTTCGACTTTTATGCTCATCCAGTATCCCTTTAGACTCCCCTCACTCCCTGCTCTTGAATGACTACCCACTTACCCATATCCCTCAACTCCGAAAAACCCGGATTTCGAAGTTCGAACTCCGAACTTCGACTTTCGGCTTTACCATATATCCCATTCAACTCCCCTCATTCTCCGCTTTCGAATGACTACTCATTCGACCATATTCAAAAATCCCTAAAAATCCCGAAATCCCGGATCCCTAATTTCGAAATCCCCATATAATTCCCCCCAACTAACCTTCACTCAACTCGAAACTTGCTTTAGTTTCGAGATCCCACAAATTTTAACTCGAAATTTCTCCTATCAATCACAATTTCTCTCTCACCTATGAGATTTGCCCTTAGGATTTCCTCAATTTAGAGAAATCCGACAATTATCGGTAAGACAGTTCTCTTACAAAAATTTTTGCCCCCCCCATAAGTACCCCCAAGTTCGAATTTCGATTTTGAAATTTTTCCTACATATATCTACATATCCCAACTTAAAATCCTACCAGCAGAAGTTTTCCCATATCTTTATCCGTTTTCGAGTTATTTTCGAAAAACTCGAATTTTAAATCCCGACACATGCGACAATTCACCGGAAATGTCTGAATTTTGTGTCAAGCATAAGTACCCTCCAAATTCGAATTTTGACTTCGAATTTTTTCCTACATATATTAGCTTGGTCCAACTTAAAATCCTACCAGCAAAAATTTTCCTCTATCTGCACCCATTCCGGAGATAGCCCCGGCACCTCTATTATTTAGGTACCAAGGAGTTCCTCAAATCTTCCGTCTATAATTTTCCTAGGTGCGGCATAAAATTTGACCCCGGACATGTCAAACTTTCAAGCCCGTATCTCTACTCTGGAAAGAGCTTTAATTTTTCCGACACTTTTTACCAATACTTTTATATATATATATAAATAATTTATTATTAATAACAACTTATCACCCTCATTAGTTAATTAAAAACAAGCTTCGACTTTATTTTCAGTTATTGACAAGGGTTGTTGTCTGGCTCAAAAGACTGGAATTGGTTTGTGTTCAAAAAAACGGAAACGAAGTTTATTGGAACAAGACGTAAATTTCATATAAATTTTACAAATGTAAAAAAGAAAATATTTAAGCTAAAATCATTTTTTGGTAACGACTATGAGAAAATGTTGAATGAAGAAAAGTGAGATTAATAAATATGAAAGGAATTTTGATATTTTATTAAAAATCAAAATAAAAATTTTCCTCAATTTTTATTGTGTCATCTTCTATAAAATATTTCAAGAATAAATTTCTGTTTTTATTTTGCAGAGCAGGTTGGTCATCTGCGAGACCTCCGAAACATAACAATAATGTTAGAGCAAGTAAAAATGTTAGAGCAAGTTAGTTTTAATAACAACTATTGTATTTAGATGAGTTAGATACCTTAATTGCTGAAATAATGTCCCTCTTTCAAATAATCACACCCTCCCTATTAATTAACAGCTTCAGAGTGAGGTTGAAAAAATAATTATCTCTCTTAAAAATAGTTATAATTAGCCATTTAAGAAGCTCAAATAATTACCCCCTTCCTTTTAATTACCCCGTCCAGCGGAAGGTTGAAACAATAATTACCCTGGGTAATTACGGTATGTCGATATAAAGTCGATTAGGACGGAATCAAAATCATTTATGTAAAATTTTTACTACATAAAGCCTTTAATAAATAAGAAACTACAAGAAAAAAGATCAAAGATTAAAGGATATGGAAATTTCAATCATTAAAACAGAAGGGATATTAAGAAACTCAACAAAAGATTTTTAAAAAAGTTTTCGTTTTTTGCTAGGATTTTCCTTATTTTTGTTCCCAATGTTGATTATTTCGTTATTCGAATCAGTATTAAACTTCACTTTTTCTCTTGTTATTCCTTCCTCATCCAAATAAAATTCATAAATTCCATCATTCAAAATTGGGTATATTAAAGCTACAAATTCTATTTCATCATGATATCTTTCTTCAAAACCTTCATTAAATACATTCATTTGACCATCCTCAATATCATTTTCTTCTGTTTTTATTATGTTTATTGATATGGAATGTCTCAAACCTTTCAATACTTCTCTCTCCAAATCATTCATTTTCTTAAACATTTTCATAACACATTTATCCTCTTTTGCTTTACTAATTTTAACATAGAATTGTAAAAAACCCTCGGTAAAACTCTTCAGTAAAATGATAAAATAATTGCCCGGATTTTCAAATTTTATACAAATTTCAATGTGAGAATATTCCATTTTCTCTCCATGTTTTTTGCCTTTTAAAGAAGTCGACTCAATTAAATTAGCTTTGCTAAAATTTTCTCTTTTTAAAATTTTTCTAGGCCCTTCCGGATTAAAAAAACCTATTAATCTTGTCAATTTATAATTGTTTTCAATTTTTGTCAGAAAGTTTGATTTTATCCCATCCATGTCTACACATTTGCTTTGAAAATTAGCAGCAGTTGCTATATTATAAACTAACAATTTATTTACTTCTAAATTAATTTTTGCGAAATATATAGGAATCAAGGCAATTAATTCCTAAAAATTTGAATAAATTAGTCAGAATTTGTCTCTAGTTTAGGACATGTGTCCCATGAACTTTTATGGGTCCAAAAATAGTATATATACGTCCCATCAGGTTATATGCGTCCCAAATTATCAATATGTAGGCTTTCCAATTTCCACGATATTTCTCTTGAAACCAACCCAAAATATCTCTTAATACACCTAGAAATACATAATCCTCGCAATCCCTATCTCTGTTACTCACCTAAATTTTTATTATTCATAATCCCTCAATATCCACCTATCGGAACTCAACTTTTCAGCAACGCATGCAAAATTTCTGAGAATTTTTTAAGGCCTAGGACCCGGACTCCTTCCATTTTCAGTGCCGGTGGCAATTTATGGGATTAATTAAAAAATCACGTCACGTTCCCAATAGAACGTCACGTTCCTAATAGAAAAAATCAAGTTCCCAAAAGAAGCGCACGTCCCATTTTAAGCGCACGTTCAATTAGAAGCGCAGTCTACAGTAGACTTGAAAATTATTGGGAAAAATACGGTATATTAAATTTCACCTTTTGTACAACCTCAGTTCCATTATATTCTTTTAAACAAATACTTATTCCAAATCTTTTAAAGTAATAGTAATTCTCTTCAATTAAAATTACTTTCTTTCCTTTATTTCCTTTGTCTATACTTTTTATTTTGTGAAATCCATCGTTAATGTAATAGCAATTGCTTTTATAAATACTTGTATAAATGTAATCCTTTTCATTTTTTTCATCAAATTCATATAAAATTTCAATTTTACTTTTTCCACTTTCCTCATCAATTTTATTTACTTCCATTCTCAACAATTTTATTTTAAAACTTCCATCCTCATTTTTGTTATTTTCTGTAGATTTAACCAAAATTCGTTGATTATTTTTATATTCAGAAATTGAGAAGAAAAATATTAAAAATATTATTTGACAAAAAAATAAAAATTTAATAAAAAACATTAATTAACCTAAAAATTTCTGGAAATTGGCATTAAATTTTTAGCTTAAATTCTAGCAAAATTCGTTTTGACCAACCCCAATAATGAATGAAACATATAGAGAAGGGGAGGCAGGGTAGAGTGTTACCATTATTTTTTAGAAAACCCTAATTTGTCTTGACACCTTACCCTAACACACCCATATGACCTTTTGTTTAATTGAAAAGTCACAAGAAGGCACTTTTCTTCAAAATTAATAATAATAGGTTGAATTAAACTTTTATATTTTAATTCTTTAGACATTAATAATAAAAATATTTCTCAATTATGTAAATTATGAAATGGAAATGCGGGAAATTTACTTTAAATGATAAAGTGCATTTATACATATTATTTTATTTTGGCTATTTTTGAGAGATTTTCATTTCAAAATCTCTATATGTAGTTTATGCATACACTACATATAAAGAAGGAGTTAGAGAAACTATAGAAATTATTGAGTAAAAAATCTATTTCAAAATTTAAAAAATTTCACTAAACACCATCAACGTTGATTTTCAGACCGACGATGATAAACCCCCATCTTATGGATTAGTTCATGATTGTAGTATTAACAGAAATAACCTACTAATTGATTCATTTGTATTCTTTGGAGAAGGAGAAGAAAAATAGAATGGTGGGAGATAACCACAAAGTACAGGACTCATAAAGTCAAGTAAGAAGCATAATAATACATATCTTGAAATCTGCCGAATAATTTTATATTGTAAAGTATGTATATAGCTATTAATTTCCTAAGGCTATGCAGTAGGCGGCGTGATGTAATGGCTAACACATCAGTCCGGTCTACTGAGATGCTGGTAGACCGGACTGAGATGCCGCTCCCAGCCGTCGAATAACCTTTTGCACTAGCTAAAGGATAGAAATAGTATAGCCCAGCTGCTTTACTATATAAATTATACCGGGTGCGGCAATTTGGCCGCCCCTTTTGTTTTTGCCATAACTTTTTCCAAAGTCAACCAAAATGGATAATTCTTTTTTTATTTTATTCCCAACACTCTAGGAAAATTTTTGATACTAAAATTTGTTTTAAATCTTATGGTTTAGCCTGTTTAATTTTCCTTCAAAGTTTGAGTAAAATTTTTTTGATAAAAGTTGGCCTGGGCTCAATGTTAAGATTCTGATATTTGAAAACTTAATTTCATTCGAATAAGCTCTTCAAACTGATTCGAATAATGGTTAAACAAAACTCTTATCTGGTCCATGAGCTGTATATGAATTTTTAACGGATAGTTTAGAATATAGGTGTTAAATTTCAACTTTTTAGGTGAAATTTTCAAAAATATTTTTCTTGAATATTTCGATGCTCCTCACTGAGATAAGTCGATTGGTACCAAAATTAGTAAGATTGGACGACATTGAGCAAAGTTATGACAGTGTAAACTTTGTCATAAAGAATATTTTTTGCGCACTTAAATGTTCGGACGGGTATATCTTTACTAAAACTTAACCAAATTTCAATTGCTTGGTACCAAAAATTTTCCTAGAGTGTTGGGAATAAAATAAAAAAAGAATTATCCAATTTGGTTGAATTTGAAAAAAGTTATGGCAAAAACAAAAGGGGCGGCCAATTTGCCGCACCCTGTAGTTTAAAGATAACATAAATATTCAAATAAATCATTTAAGAGGTATTTGCTTATTTTTAAAATGTTTATAACCCATGTTTAAATTTATGCCCTGAAGGCATTTATTTTTACTTTTATTTTTTTACTTTAAAAAATGAAAAAAATTTATTCCTCTTTCAAAAACAAAAATAAAACAAAATTCGTACAACCACAAGTTCAAGCAGTTCAAAAAAACAAATCGGCATTAGACCAATTTTGTGATTTTACCTCTCTCGTCGGTTTTCGACTTTTACATTCAAAGCATTTTTTGTGGTTAAGAATTCTCTCAGCTATTTTAATGGTTATTTCAACTGGGTTAATATTGCTTCAAACAAGTTATTTTTGGAAGAAATATGTCGAATCTAAGGGACAGAGAATTGCTACGGTTAAGGAGTCTGAAAATCGGGAATTGCTACAACCTCGATTTCTTGTCTGTTTTAGCCATCAAACAATGTGAAAAATTATTTTGTAAAATTAGCAAAAAGTGCAATAAAAATTAGGAAACAATACTTATAAGGGGAAAATAATGATTTTAATAAAATAAATAATTAAATGCCCTCAGGGCAAATTTTTAAAAATTGAAATTAATTAATTTTAAAATAAATTAATTATCCCTAAATAATTTTAAACCAAAAATAACGAACATTTTTATTTATATCAAAAAAATAAATTAATTAAATACCCCGAGGGATTCAAAATAATGCCTGAGGGCATAAATTTATTTTAAACTTAAGCTTCCTAAAATTTATTGCTTAATTAAAAAGATCGTTAATGCGAGGCTATGGATCTGTAGATTTCCGTGAAATTGTTTATCGACACCAAATTGAAGCTATGACACAGACTAGCGTTATTGAACAAGTTTGGGTCTTTAAATTTAAACAGAAAATTATTTTTCAAAATTTTAGCTAAATAATGAAATGGAACAGCTAGACAACTTTTTTAATAATTCTGAAAATTATTCCAATAATACGTTAAAAGAAAAAGGAATATTAATCTCCGGAAAGCTCAAATTACTACGTCAAGTTAAGGCTGCTATAGCTGTAAGGAATTTAAATATTTTTAAAATAAAATAGTGCAATGAGAAGGGTGACACAGCAGCTTATCATTTAAAAATGATTACTGACTGGCGTTTAACATCTATCAAAAAGCTCCAGATAGTTCCAGTTCCAGATACAAAAATTCCGTACACCGTTTTTTTCCCATGTTATTTTTTCAATATTATCATCTAACCTACTGAATTATCCTCGTGATTCTAAGGAAATATATGTAACAAAATAATTATTTTTTATAATAAGGCCATTTCCTCGAATCCTGAAATATACCTCTATTTTGGAGTATAGTTGAAAAATAGATACGATGTTGTATACGAAGCACGGTATACCTATAATTTCCACAGTTTGATGATGCCGAAAAGTTTGCTAATCCACTACAATTCAATTCAACATTAAACTACAAAACTGAACGATCTCAATATCGTCAACAACGCAATCGAGTAGACTCATGTCTTGTAGAATATATCAAAACCTCCCAAATGGATACTTTTGTAAATTGTAGATTTAAATTAGCAAAACTAATTTACTTCCAATTTGTTGAACAACAAAAAGATTATTTTTCTTATGCGAGAAGTGTGTGGCTAGATCCGGATCAGTTGATTGTCAAAAGTGGGGAATTTAATAATTATTAGAATTAAACATGAAGGAGTTTCCGAAACATAGGACTCAAGACAGAGGGAGACTGTCGAAGAGAAGTCAAGACAGAGGGAAGGGGGGGGGGGGAACCAAACAGCCAGACAAAAGACAAACTAGATTCCGTTCGGAACCAAACAGAGAATAAGGTTTTTAGCTTCCGGTTTCTGATATCCTATTGATTCCAAATTTCGACAATCTTTCTAAAGATGGGAGATAGAGTTTGACCCAAAAATCGAAACTTAATGAAAAAATTCCCTATCATAAACAAATAAAATAATTCTGATTCAATCGCGATTAAAGTAGCCATAACTACGAAACGTTAATTTTTTAAAATGTAATCTCCTAGACAATCAACAACAGGCCTTCATGTTTTGTTTGATCATCTAGGCTTGCATCAATGCCAATAGCTCAAATTATTAAATAAAAAATTTTTCCTAGGTCATTTCTTCAATGACGGCCCAGGCCGCTGGCAGCACAGTTGGCAAGTAGACAATGGACTTTGTGCCCTAGGTGGCCCACAACAACGACGTACTATTGACTTGAAGCTTTTAAGTATTGAACAAAATTTTGATTATATTCTGGTCAAATCTAATCGACTCGAGGGCCATCCAAACGCTCGCATTTATTTTTATCTTCTCTATGAAGATCCGAATACGATGCAATTAATTAAAGCAAATTCCTATGAGTTGATTTCTGGCAAGAATTTAGAGCTTACAGTTAGAGGAATGTCTGAGATTATGGTAATCTTTAATTGTTTGACCTCGACTCGTCAAGACCGGGGTTTATGTTTTTTTGGGGGGTAGTTTGTCACACCTTCCAATTGTTAGCCAAACAAGGTTGAGCTTAATATTAATAATAAGTCAAGGTCCTGTTAGGTATGTGAGGGTCTAGTATAAAATGAGTAATTAGAGATCAGTCTCTGTCGCCACCTGGGCCGACCGTCACCGCCTATCCTTAGTTATTCTCGCCTTTCGCCACCATCGTTATTCTTGCATTTACTATTCGGATAAACTTGTTAATCTCTTCTTGTGTTATTCTGTTAGTCACTAGGTTGGACCGCACCCTAGTGGCATAACCTCATTATAAGGGATGTTAGTCGGTGTACGGAATTTTGGTCATCGGAATTTTGGTCACCAAGGATTTTCGGAACTTTGGTCACCAACTTTTTTGGAATTTTGGTCACCAGCGGAATTTTGGTCACCAAGTCAAAAAACGGAATATTGGACACTGAAATTTTGGTCACCAATAGGAATTTTGGTCACCAAACTGAAAAAAATAATCTTATCTAAAACTGATATCAAAGTGATATAAAATTGTTTTTCAACGTCCAGTTGATCAATTTCAATGTTGATCACTTTCACGGTTAATCAATCATCCGGAAGAGTGATCGAGAGTGATCAACTGAGGGAGTGATCAGCCATGAGAGTGATCAACATTGAAATTGATCAACTGGGGGTTGAAAAATCATTTTTTATCACTTTGATATCATTTTAGATGATTATTTTTTTCCGTTTGGTGACCAAAATTCCTCTTGGTGACCAAAATTTCAGTGTCCAATATTCCATTTTTTGACTTGGTGACCAGAATTCCGCTGGTGACCAAAATTCCAAAAAAGTTGGTGACCAAAGTTCCGAAAATCCTTGGTGACCAAAATTCCGATGACCAAAATTCCGGCACCCTGTTAGTCTCGCGTCATTGAGACAACACATTTTCTTTTGATTGTAAACCGAGTAGAGGACCTAACAATGAACACAATATTAAATTATCATAAAATGGTTTTCAATTTTCAGCAAGAGGATTGTACCAATTCATACCCATCAGATTGTACACCTTCCAACAATTTTGTTTATTCCCCTTTGGTATTTTGAAAATTTTTAAATAAAATTTTTTTCAAATTTTTGGTCTGTAAATGGTGCCAACCACAAGTTAGAGCAGCCTGTCCGTGTGCTAATCCAGATCTTTATTTTGCTGAATATAAGCATTATAAAGATATGAGAAATTGCACACTTTTGGATGTTTTGGAGTGTGGAGCTAGACAAAAAGATTTTTTTACTAGAGGCAAGAAATTTCGATTTTAAAATTAAAGTATACAAGTTCTTAAATGAGATTGCTCTTAAATTGCTAAAAGTTATCACCCTGGGGTGTTATTGTCTATGATGGGGATTTAGAAAGTTAGCAGCTCAAAAATACGTGTTGATTGCCTCTCCCCATTCCATTCCTAACTAAGTCAGAACAGGGATATCCGCTTAAATTAATTAATCATTTAACCAACTTGTGATTGGGCACCTAAAAAAATTGTGAGGGGAAAGCATACAAAAATAGTTAAATTTTCAAAACATGCTAGAGAAAGATTATCTGGGCTGACTAAATTAGCCCGCCCCTTATAAGCAGTAGAACCCAAAGATAAAAGTGGTAGGTAATCCATGACCAAACAAATTTTGCATAAAACACATAACTCTGTACAATAAATTCTTTTCTTAATTTAATCTTCTAGTTGATTGCCCTAATCCTTGTTCAACAACAGAATATACCGGAGATTATGCTGCTTTTGATTTAACTTTGGAAATGCTAAATATAAGTATGGAAGAAGCAGAAAAGAGTTATACAAAAGAACAAATGCTTTTGCTGGATAAATTGAATGAATTTAAATGGCCTAAGATGAAAATTGTGAGGGGGAAACATACAAAAATGTAAGTTTAAATTTTTGAAATGATTAAAGATATTCTGAATTTCTAAAAATTAATTATAGTTTTGTTTAAATTAATTCTGCTACAAATTCTGGCCTTTTTATCCTCCAAATCCCCGAATATTTCTAAATCGTAATCAGTTTATCTCCTGTTTCGCAAAGAAATACCCTTAACCCCTTAGCCATCATTATCGGCAAAAATCAGTCGCTTATATGTACCCACAACTCGGCCACTCGCTCATTTAATGGCGATTGAAAGCAATTAAATATACATATTTCTTTCAATTTTCCTATTAACACCAAGTACAAGAATTACGATCTCGTACTTAGGCCTCGTACTTTACACTTTTTGGCCTCGTATCATACTTCGTACCAGCCCCACTCGTACTTCGAATTTTGGTACGAGCTTCGAAGTACATTTTTAATTTTTTAATTTTGGATGTACAAGGTCAAGTTGTAAGCACTGTACTTCCAAAATTATTACGAATCCGAACTCTATCTTAATCTATCATAATCCCGTGTATAATTTTTATCTTTCCTCGCTTTTCATATATGTAGACTTCAAGAAATCCTTATTCCAGAATTTACTATAATTTATTTTATTAATTTACTGATTAATTTAAATAAAAAAATTTAATTTTAATATATTTTGCACAATGTAAGATAAGTTAATCCTTAATTTCTTTCCTTCACTTTCAAAAGTTGGCGAGCTAGTAAGCGACTTGATTTAATATTGGATGAATATTACAATTTTGTCATAAAATTGTTTAGATTTTTATATGGAAGGTAATTTAAATTTTATTATATCTTTAAAATCCTGCCTAAAATTTCTGTTCCTTCGCTTTCCCAACAATTTTTGCTGAGGATGTCTCTGCCTTCCAGAACGAATCGCTCGAAGGAATTAACCCATTATTTGACTTGACAGAATTAAAAAATGATAAAATTGATATTTGTGGGGCTAACTATCTTTCTTCATTTGTCGAACAATTCAAAAAATTTGGAAAAATTTTCTTGGAAGAAATCTTTCGGAAATTGAGTTGGAATCAAGTAAATTAACCCTTAATATTTTTTTAATATTTTTGACCTTTTAAAAGTTCTACCCTTGCCCAGTTAGCATATCTAGTGAAAATTGTCAACAATTGTTAATTAATGGAACGATGAACATTAATAAAATAAGTGACATTCAAAAACTTGAAAGGTTGGCTAGAAATAAGCAAATATTAAGAGGATTGCCAGCAAATCCTCGTTCCAAAAATTACTGAACTTTTCAATTGACATCTTCTTAGTATGAATTTCCATCTGAATACTTTAATAAAAAAATAATTTAATTTTTATATATTATGCAAAATATTGAATCACCTTTCTTCCATAAAGATCTCTTGGAAGACAAATCATTAGGTTGAGGTTCCCTAAGGACATCACTGCTCGTGCTAAAGTAAACCCATTTATCCATCAACACCTGGGTCTTCTTTAATCACTTGGCATTTAAAAATTTTTATTAATAAATTTTCTTCTTTTAAAAAGGACCACATTCTACCGTCAATGCACACTTGAATTGGCCCTAACATTAAATTCAACTCCCGCCAATCCAATTTGTATTGTTCAATTTTATAGCTATGCAGTAGAGAATCTCTTATATTTTAACAAAGTTTGGGGGTTTAAATTAAAGAAAAAATTTTTATTTTTAATTTTAGACACTTAGAAAGCTCCGGAGTCATGGGACAGAGTTGCTTTTAAATTTAAAAGATAATTTTGAATTGCCTGACAAAGAATGTCAGCAGAGAAAAATTGATGAGCTTAAGGAGTTGCTGGTAATATAAATTAATCCAGACCTCATACTTTTCCCTGTCTCAATCTTGGTTCGATCAATCGTCTCAATTCTTGCCTGTTACCTTGATGAAGACAGGCTAAATTTATACCGATAATCCTCAGAATCATTTTTTCAAAAACTCCCTTAACCTTATGCAACTCTAAAAGTCATGTTGAGCCCTTATGCAATATGCAATAGCTTGACAATGCCTTTTTCGATTATTTAACCATATCCGTTCTAAGCAAAGTTTAGCAATCATTGTTCATGACATTTTACAAATTCTGGCATCTCTTCATTTAAACGAATTCTGATTTTAATCTTATTAAATTCTGCTATGCATTATCCATGTGATTTAAAAAATTAAACAATTTTATTACAGAACACAAAAGTGCTAAGACCACCGTCAAATTCTTCCAACTGGCACAATCAATGGATGGATACTTTTAATAAATTTTTACAAGAGCATTCAGCTATGAGAATGTTAAACGATTTTCTAACGTAAAAGAAATTTTAAACTTTTTTAATTTTAAAAATTAAGGGCAAGAATGTCATTAATTACTGTTTATTATCGCGGTTTGACTTATCAACGTATAATTTATAGAGATGGATATAATATTTGGGAGTTGATGTGTAGGTTTATATTTAAAGAGAATTGTTTCTTGAATAGAAGTGACCAGGGCTGTCCGCAATTGCGGACTGCGGATTGCGTAAATTATGTGGTTTTTTGGACTTGCGGACTGCGGATTTAGGCTGTGGATTTTTAGGAACTGGTACTAAGATTAATGCAGATTTTGAGAGATATCGTATGATTTGGAGGGATTAAGAGTAATTTTGAGTGATATGTGGACAAGAGAATGGTCCAATGGTCCTAGGTCGAAAATAAGTAGATTTTCGATGTTGTTTTGCTCACATCATTTTACCCATCAAAAATTTTTTACTTTAAATTTAGCCGATGTTGGAGGTGTTCTAGGACTCTACTTTGGATTAACCATTATAACTGTTTATGAGCTAGCTGTGTTTTTAACGCTAGTTGATAGAGAACCGGCAGAGGCACATCGACCTCCTCCAGCTAGACAGTTTACTCGCCGATTGCTTTACAAGAATGAAAATTTTTTGAAAAATGAAAGACTTGTTCCAACCATATTTTGAAATTTTATTAATTTTGATAAATAAATTAAAAAAATCTTTATTTAATTTTTTTTATAAAGTTGAAGTTTCTAATAAAATAGGCTTGATGAAAAAATACAAGAAACAAATTAGGTCCCCCCTTTTCCTTCAAAAATTTAATAACAAAGTACAAGAATGCGCTAAATATTTTTCACGGTTTCCGGTATAAAAATGGTCAGTACCGGGTCCGGGAAACGGGTTCTGAAAGTTGACCGGGAGGGACCCGGACTGGGAAATGTTGTGTATGGGCGTCAGCCCTTAAAGTGATTAGTATAAAAGCCCAGCCAATAGTTAGTTCTGGCTCCCAGTTTTAGTTCTTCCTACAACCTTCGTCTGCTTTGTATTTCTTTGTGCAATAAACGTTTCTGTTAGCTTCTCTACGTAAGCGGGGTCATAACAGGAAACCGGTTGCTTCAAAAAAACCATCCCGGTTGCTTCAAAAAAACAAATGGGACCCAGAAACCGGGAAACGGTTTTATTTATTGAAGGATAAATCAGGAACATTATTTTTGGCGAAATGTATGTATTTGGAAATTCAAATGGCCGAAAAATTCCCAAAAAATTCCATCTTTTGGGTGTATTTTATAAACTGAAACCGATCGGTTTATGTAACCGGTTTTCGGTTATCGCCGGTTTTGTCCCTCGGTTTTGGGTTTTTCGCCAAAAACACCGGTTTTCGGTTCGGTTAACCGACCGCCAACAACCCTACTCAATACCTTACTATTCTTCAAAATTTAACTTTGCAAAATTATTCTGTACTATCTTTGCCTATTAAATAAACTTGTTTTAAAAGAAAAGACTTGTATTTTTAATTTGGATAAATTAACCTGAAAAGTTTCAGAGAAGATATAAGCTAAAACCGGGTCAGACTAGAAATCAAAGAGACAAATCCTTTAAAAAATTTGAGGGATTTGAGTTTTTGACTAATTATTAAGTAATTTGTTTTTATATTATGCACTTTCCTTTCAATGAATTTTACTTGTTTTTTCAGACTTAAAAAGACAAGGTTGTGAAAATACACCTTTGTAAATCGCCTGCCTGATTTATTGCACTTTTATACATTGACGACATCATAAATACATCAAATACAAAAAATAATTTACATAATGCCCTTATATTCCTTACAATATTTCATTTTACATTTTCAATTTTAAATTAAATTTTATTATTTTTTGTTAATTTTTAAGTAAATTTTAATTTTTTTAGGATGAAACTTGAAAGTTTTTTGATCGTTTTATTCTTTAATTGGATGTTATGGACATTTGTCAAAACTATTCCCATTCGAAAAAGTTTAGCTAAACATGCTGAAAAAGATTACACGTCAAATGATGTTAATAAAATATTAAATGATGGGGCTGAATCGTCGGTTAATCCTCAAATTCGAAAATCTAAAGAAATGTTAAAACCAAAATTGAAAATTACTAAAAAGGATACAGACAAAGGAGAAGGCAAAGTGTTTAACCAAATGGAATACAATAAAGAATATTATCAGAAAAATAAAGAAAAATTGAATGAAAATATGCGAAATTACCGAGAACAAAATAAAGTAAAGATAATTGAGCAAAAGCGAAACTACAAAAGTATAACGAATAAAGATAAAAAAAATAAATATAATAGTATTTACTACCAAAAAAATAAGGAAAGGATACAAAAAAACAAAAAAATTTATTGCCAAAAAAATAAAGAAAAGATAAGGAATCGCAAAAAAATTTATTACCAAAATAACAAAGGAAAATTGAAAGAATACCAACGAAAATATAAACAAAGGAAGAAAAACAATCAATCTAATAATGATGAAGGAACTTCATTTGTTAATCCACGGGCTGAAGATTTTAGTAATTTAGTTAAATTAGCAAATGTTTGTGAGGAAGAATGGAATCTTTTTAATCAACGTGAGGAGGAGTACAATAACGGAGAAGAAAATCAAATCGAAGTAGAAGACCCAAATAAAATGCATGGTTGATGTCATAAGTAAAATAAATTTAAACGAGAGAAATCTCTTTGATTTGAACGAGAAACCGGAGGACGAAGAATTGGAAGATTATTAAGATATTGGATTTTATATTGGATTTTCTACCAACTTGGATTTAAATTCATCAAAATTTTTTAGTTTTCAAAATCCATATGTTCCGGAAATTTAGTTTAAAAGCGATAAATTACGATATATAAAATAATAAATTTAAATTAAGTGAATCATTTGTACTTGATGATCTAGATCAGAGTTGCAGTTTCGTTTTTTGTGATAAAACATAACACAACCTCGTCCCTCACAGTTGGGACGCATCCTTACACTTTGGGTCACTTAGGTAGTGGGACAGGGGGAAGAAAAATCTAAAAATTTATTTTATACATATTGTTTCGATGCCATGAATAAACAAACGGTCCAATAAATAAAACTAAACAAAATAAAAAATATAGGCATCCAAATACGAGCATAATAGTCAATTCGGGCAGGTTGATAATCCGACTTTTTCAACTTTCTTCTGAGCCAAGACCAAAATGTATTGCGTTGTCTATGTTTTTCACTCAAGTCTCCTTGTGTGGTAGCTGCAAGTGGTATAAGAAGAGATTGAGGAAGCAGACCACCAATTGGCACCATTCCTAAGCTCACGAGTACAGCATTGCCTATTCCACCCTTATAAATTAAAATGTAATTTTATTAGATATTAATTCTGATAATTTCAAGTTTAGGTTCCGTGTTCAAGATGCGAGTTTAAGTTAGAATACAAATTACATATAAGGCAGTGGCCAGTCCTACATGCACGATCTACATGCATGGTCATTTCCAATATATCTTTGAGGGAAGGGATCGGTGGGATAAGTCAAAGGTCCAGGATCACGTTCACTAAAATAAGGTAACCCCAACCAATTCGCACGAACAAGGCACATTCTCCTCATCATATATGGCAGATTTTTCTATAGCCGCCAGATCATCCCATTGCCGTTCCATTGGTGGAAGCATGAGCTCAGAATCACCATTTCCAGTTCCGGCTGTCAATTTTCGCTTGCGTCTAAGATTCATTGGATCCCTCCTAGAATTTCTCAGTTTAGAATCACGATAGCAAACTATGGCGTATTCAACAAGCGCACTAAAATTTATAAAGTTCAATTTTTTAATACACTGCAAAAAACAATAGACCTAAACACAAAAAGTTCACAAGCTCCCAACCATATGTCCACTACCTTAAATTTTTTAAATCAACTTTAGAACATGCCTCTACCTTCACATAACTGACTGGAGGTAATTTTGCATTAATTGAAGATTGCATAGTTGTTATTGTTAATAGAGTGGTTATTGCTAAGGTAACACGTCCAGCTGTTGAATGCATATCAATCCAGAAGCTGACCTTTAGAAGAAAAAAATTTTGGCCTGTAAAATTTAAGAGTAGTCTTGCGGGCAATTTTTTGAGGAGATTTACAGCAAAATTCTGATTTCTTAGTACACACAATATTAGCTAACACCTTACCAAGCTTACACAAACAACCATAGAAGTCGGAATATAAAGCTGAAGAACAAAATAAGTAAAAAGCCTAGAAAGACGTATTCTCATACGTAAGCATGCATAAGAACCTTTAAAAAATTTTTTTGAATTTTAAAAATAAATTTTTTCAACCAGTGTTTGTTTGACTTGTGCATTCCACTCCTGTATCGACATAATCCAATTTAAAATCGGGAAGGTCTTGGCCAACACCTTGTTTTATTTGAACACTATCTGGGATAAAAATGATTCATTTTTCAATAAAACTTTCAATGTCACAAACGGATCAAGATCTAGTTGGTCAAATTTGGTAGTTATTAGATAGGGTAGACTTCTTTGGATTCTATTTTCAATAAGCGCAACTCGAGATAGTTAACGAAAGATAAGAATGTTTGATACTTTGGAACAACTTAATTAATAACTCAGCTTAGAAACAACCTAACTAAAAATAAACAGATCCTAGTCCTTAGCCATGATTTTAGTCGCAGCCCAGTCTTATTCTTGACCTTAAGTTTAAAAATTCAAGGAGCTTTGTAGTGCCTTGATTTGGATTATAAAACGTATAAATATTATTACACATCTATCTTCTAGTTTATTATATCTCCCAAGGAATCGACTGTGAGGGTCGTACGTAAATCGAGCCGATATCTCATAAAATACCAATCACAATGACGTGACTGTTTTCTATATCCGTCTTAATCCGTTCTCTAATTTGAAACTACCAGCTCCATTCCCAGCCCATTCATAAATTATATCCCTTGTTGTGTGTGCATAACTAATCAAATCAAAGTCACAATATTGAACATCTAGAGGGTACAATTGAAGATACATTGGACAAGAACAAACTAAAGAAAGTCTGGAACTGTACAAAACGCTTCCATTTGGATAGATTCTCACTAGCATATTCTCTGTATCTATCTGTTTAAATTGGAAAATTAACTAAAAATATTTTCGATTTTTAGTCTAAAGTTTTATGTGGTTTTAAAGTGCTTCAGAAAGGTTGTTTTTAATATCAATCTAGTCAGCTTTAGTCAAGTGTATCCGGTTCTGTATTATAATGCATAAAATATAATGCATAGAATTATAGATGGAAATCATCTATGTAGAATTGAGATGAATAAGTTCAACCAGAAGAGAGGGCTAATTTTATTGTGTAAAATAACTTCTATTAATTAGCCCCACCCTAATTATCACACCTCTATTAATTATCCTTTCAGTCGGTGATAGAAGAAATAACCAAGATAATTATTAACATGAATACATATTGTTGAATCCTTACAAATTCAAGGCATAAAAATCTTATATAACCTATAAAATTTGAAAGGATAGACGCTTATCCTCGTCAAATATTATAAAATTATTTATTATAAATCCTAAAGTTTAGGTTAAAATTGTAACATAAATATATTTGGAAATGTATTTTTATATGTTACAACTAGAGTTCAGCGGTATCGGGATTTCGAGAAAAACCCGGGATCGGGATTTAGGAATGGTGATCCCGATCCCGATCCCGGATCCCGACACGGGATCGGGATTAGCCGAAATCGGGATCGGGATTTGGACTGGAGATCCCGATCCCGGTCCCGATCCCGAATCGGGACCGGGATTAGAAAATCGGGATCGGGATTTACTAAAAAAATTTTTTAATTTTTAAATTTTTATTTTTTTCTCATAGACGCATAATTTACTTTACGGTTCAGGGGATTAAGGGGTCATAAGGTAATGGGGGGAATAAATGGGATTGGGCTTCTTCTATTTTAAGCGCCGTAGGCAAAAATTTTGAAAAAGTTGGAAGGCCAACGTGCCAGATTTCCCCCCTTTTAAGCGCCGCATGCCATATTTTTAATTTTGGAAGGCCAAGGGGATTTTGGAAGGCCAAGGGGGGCCTTCCAAAATAATGCAGCTCCACCTAAAAATATTGGAGGAAAAATATATCCCAATAATTTTTTAGATGTATTAAGAGAGTTGAGGAAATAAAGTGGGATATCGATGATATTGTGATCATGGAGGAGGAGGGATCATGGGAATATAAGGATGAAATTCATGTAGTAATATTCATGTAGTAATATTTCTTAAGCCTTCGATTTCTCTTCAAATCTAACTTAATCCTTTTAAATTCACCGATATCCCTCTATACTCCAAATCCACCGATACTCCCCTCAACCCTTCTTGATCCCCCGATATCACACCAAATCACTCAATATTTCGTTAAAGTTGTAATGAAACTTTGTTCATTTTTACGGCGCCGCAGGCTAAAATTTTGAGAATTTTGGATGGCAAATATGCCAAATTTCTTCCATTTTCTGCGCCGCAGGCGAAAATTTTTCTTACTTTCATGCCTCCCCTCTTCTGTTAACTTTATTTTGCAGACTTCTAGTCAATTTATAAAGTCGGGATTTTCATCGGGATCTGATGCACATCCCGATCCCGATCCCGGATCCCGGACCGGGATTGAGATTGGCCGGGATCGGGATCGGGATATATATTTCGGGAGCGGGATCAGAAAAATCGGGATCGGGATTTGAAAAACCCGGGATAATCCCGCCCGATCCCGACCGGGATCCCGATCCCGCTGAACTCTAGTTACAACATAAAGCAGTTAACTTTGAAAAATTTTCCATACCATATGTCGATGGGCTGATTTTTCCGTAGGAAAAAAAGTATCAGGAAACCAAATACGAGCCTTAACGTGCGGAACAACCAAAAACGGGGGTAGAGGTCTTGGAGGCGTAAAAACATGATTGAGGTAATTCAATCGTTTATCTACCCATTGCTCTCTAAATGTTATTTGTATTGTATATTCCATATTGACAACGTCTATTTTGCTAAGCATTCTGACTAGTATATTTACACGTACACGAACAGCTGTTAAAAAATAAAATATTTTTTAATTTAGTCAAAATTGTTAAGTTTATGGAGGGATTATTGAGGCCTCCTTATGCCCCTCCTCCTCCTTATACCTTATCCTCCTTATCCTTCTGCTAAAGATTGTTAGCACTCCCTAATTTTGAAAAATTTATGTACTTAAACATAAAATTTCAAATTTAAAGAAAACTTTTATTTCGTGTAATTTCGTGTATTTCGCAATAATTTCGTGTAATTTCGTAACTTCATTAGACTTCCTGATTTCGTTGGAATTGGGCTATCTTTTATCAAAATTCCCAAATTACTTTTAAAAAGTTAAAATAATTTCTCTCACCAGTTTCATTCGAATCCACCTCTATAGGAGGCCTAATCCTAGAAAGATCATAATTTTTTAACAATTCATCCAAAATTTCGTGATGGTCTTCCCTTCCTGTTAAGCTCCAAATTGGTGTTGTTAATGATCTATTTTGTTGGTTTTTTATTGTTGAATTTGTTGAATTTAATATTTGTCCATTTAAAGGGATTAGTAGACAGAGTAAAATTAATTTATTTTTAATTAGGTTTATCTTGAACATTTTTCTAAAAGTTTAGTAAATCGACCTCATTAAAGCTTGTTTACTCAACAGGCTATGCACACTGACTACGCTCCCACATTAATGACAGATTTAAAAAAAGATGAAACACACACGAAAAGATGAAACACACTTTCACATTAGTGTCGATATAAGGATCCAGCTTCGAATTCCTATCCGATAATTTCCGAATATCAAGGGTTTTTCGGATCCTGATACTGGATATAAAAATATATCTTAAATTGAGGATATATTAGGTTTATTTTAACTTTAGTCCGACTTTGTTTTAAAATTATGCACACATATAGAGAAGACTTTTATTGAAAATTTATTTTATTAAAAAAGCAATTTATTAAATAGAAAGAGCAACACATTTAAAATTTAGTGGAATTAACCCCTGGCCCCTCGAAAGTCATTTTTATTAAAGCGACCAAAATCCTTCTCAGAAAATAGCAAAAAATTGTAAAGGGACTGAGGAACAGATTTTGATCTATGCGAAACGAAACCAAAAGGATTAAATTACTCTTCACGAAACTAAACGAAATTTCGCTTTTTCGTTCCGAAAGTGGGCAATTTTAGTTATTAAATTAATATTTTCCCGATAAATTATTCTAAACGAATAAATGTCCTTTTTCGTTTAATTATCTATGTATTGTTATAGAAAAGTTGGAAAAAAAATAATTATACATTGGGTAAATTATTAGACTGAATATCCGAGAAAATTTTTATTTTTTAACTAAAATTTTATTTTTCCCAAACAGTTATTGAATGCTAATGAGTTGGTGCTGGTTTAACTTTAAAAACCACTCTAAATAAAAAAATAACAAAACACTTGTTTGGGATTTGTTTGCACATCCTTCTCTTAGCTTTAAGCGTTTATTTAAAAAAAGGGACGTGAAAAAATGAAAAAGAGGAAGGCAAAAATGCTAATAAAGCTAGTATATTTGTGGTAAAATTTAAAAGGGCAGTCAAATTACGTTTTAAATTACTCCAAGTGGTCTAAAAATGATAAATGAAAATGAAGTTATCAGCAGTGCTGGGTATTTGCCATTTGTTGGCTCCGGCTCCGGCTCCGGGCTCCGGGGTTTCAAAATCTTGGCTCCGGCTCCGGGCTCCGGCCTTTAAAAATCTTGGCTCCGGCTCCAGCTCCGGCTCCGGAGCCGGCGATTTTCGGAGCCGCTCCATGTTGGCTCCGGGCTCCGGGTGGAAAATCAATGAATTATTTTTCATTGAGGGAATTTGGTAGATAAAGGAGGATATCGAGTGATATAAGAGGATTAAGAGGGTTATCAATGGATTAAGCGGGACTTGGGTGGATTATCGTGTTATTAAGGTGGATTAAGAGCGATATCGGGGAATTAGGCAGGATTAAGGGCTGGTGGATCTATCAATCTCTCATTATCACTCACTTTTTGCGCCGCAGGCGAAAATTTTAAAAATTTTGGAAGATCCTTAAGCCAAAAATCTTCCTTTTTTTGCGCCGCAGGCAAAAATTTTGAAGATTTTGGAAGATCCTTAAGCCAAAAATCTTCCTTTATTTGCGCCGCAGGCAAAAATTTTGAAAATTTTGACACCTCGTAGATTAAAATTAATCAATATGAAAAATTTATCCAGCTTTATTTAATAAAAAAAATGCTTATTATAATTTATTTTCCAAAGAAAAACAATTATTTAATTAGTTGTTGTGATATTTTTCGAACCATAAGTGGATAAAACTCGGAACCTAACTCACTATCCATTCAACCACACCTACATTGAAAAGCAAAGGAAAGAAAATCTTTTTTACCCGTCTTAATTTTTCTCTTCCTTTTCTTTTCACGCTCACCATCTTTGCTTACTTCTTTTTCTCTAACCATCTTTAGGGGTGTATAGCCGGAGCCGTGGGGAATTGGAAAACCTTGGCTCCGGCTCCGGCTCCGGGCACTTCAAATTCTTGGCTCCGGCTCCAGCTCCGGCTCCGGGGTTTTCAAAATCTTAGCTCCGGCTCCGGCTCCGCCGGAGCCGGCTCCGGAGCCGGGCTCCGGAGCTAGCTCCCGGAGCCATACCCAGCACTGGTTATCAGTAAGATTGAGGGAACAGTTACTCGAAGAATGGAGAACACATCTAGATTGCCAAAATTAAAAATCTTATATAAAAGCGAGAAATACATTTCAGGGGTGTGCCGAAACAGATTTTATAAAGCAAAAAACACGAAAGGCGAAAGTCTAAAAACGCGAAAGGCGAAACTGGTATACCCCTTGGTACTTTTTAAAATTAGGGGTATAGAATAAAGGGATTCTGACATTCTGATGAGGGTTCGACATTTGAGGACTCTCTCTCTGGACTTTCCATACAGGTAGAGGATTCAGTACTAGACATTAGGATTGTTCCCCGACGGGGGGAGGGGGGGGGGGGGAATTTTGAGGTAAAATTTTTTTTCGTATTGGAGGGGGGGGGAATTCCCCCGACTTTCGGGGACGGGGTACAACTCTACTAGAAATGGGTAAATAAATTTTTTCTTCCAGTTTCAAAAGACAACAGGATTAGAAAGTGGAAAATAATTTGGAAAATTAAAAACAAAATTTTTTTATTCTTCTTAAAAAATAAAAAAAAATTACTTAGCATAATATTAATAAAAAAAAGTGACATAAAAACTTTGTTTAAAAGTAATAGTGAGGAAAAGCTGTCAATTTCACTAAATTTTTATTTTGTCACAATTTAATTAAGTAGAAATTTTGTTAAAAATGAAACTACACCAAATTTTCAATCGGAAACAATAACAAATATAAATGAAATTTTTGATGAATCTTTAATTATGAACAGAGTCTATATTTATAATTTATATTCAAGAAGGTTGTTAGTAGGCCAATTTAAGTTTTTTTTAACATATGTTTGCGGATAATTTTTGCAAACACAGTCTCTTCCCCCAACAACACATAAAAATATATATAAAAATTTAATACCCAGATTAATGTCAAATTTATTTATTTATCCTATTTAAAAAGTGAAAAGCTTAAAAATACAAACACATCAATTTAAATACATATAAACCAAAAAATATTTAGTATATTTTTGGAGGAATTTTGTCTACTAAATATTTAGGATAATCTTTTGCTACTGAAAATTTGCAACATTTTCTGACTAAAATTTTTAAATAAATTGCTTTTTACATATTATATTAGTTTAATATTAAAAGTCCTTATAATTTCTACTAAATTTAGAGATTTTTTCGAAATTTATTGTTTCCAAAATTTCGATATTTCAATTTCAGAAAATAAATTTTCATTTAATTTTTATCACTAATATACCGTATTTTTTTGATTAATTCCCCTCACACGAATAATTCCTTATTAATCTCTCGATTAAGCCAAAACTTGAATAATTCCTCTCCCTCGATTAATTCCCCATGCCAAGTAAGGGTTGAAAAAATAATTCCCCGTGGGAATTAATCGAGAAAGTACGGTAAGAAAAATCGACATTTTGCTAATTTTTTATGACTGAGATTTTTGCATACTTCGAAATTTTTGAACTTCGAAATATCATTCTCGATATTCAATTTTAAATTTTAATTTTTTTAAATTCCATATTTACAATTTTTCAACTCAAAAATATCCAAAAAATATTTTTTTTATTTTTAATTTTATTTATTTTCCATAAAAGTTCAGTCTCGAAAACTTGTTTTTAAAAATAATTCTTCTTCTAGTAGAACACTTTCTACTTTTTTTATTTTCCTGAAAATTTTTCTCTTTCTGGCCCATCAACTTGTTTTTTCTTATTTTCTATCAATTGTCATTTATTTTTATTATGGCCTATTTCTTTGTTAAAAAATTCCAAAAATTGTTTCAAAAATTTTGGAATTTTTATTTTAAATTTAATTAAATTTTTAATCAAAAAATAATTAAATATTCCCTCATTTTAGTCTTTAATTTATGGAAGAAATTAATAAAAAAAGGAAAAATGTAAGGAGAGTAGTTGAATGCTTTGATACATCACATAATGTAGGGTAAATAATAATTATTACCGAAAATTTTTACGAAAAATGAAAAGGATTTGGGTATCTCTCGTAAATAGCTAAATTAGGGTCATTCTCGAGTAGAAGAGGTTCTCAAAAATAGAGTTAAGCGGTATCGGACAAAAATGGTATCGGGATTTTGAAATGCAGACCAGGATCCTGATACCGATCCAAATTGCGGGATAGGGATTGGCCGAAACCGGGATTTACCTTTCGGTCTCGGGATCAGAAAAATAAGGATCGGGATTCAAAAAACGGGGATAATCCCGCCTTCAGGATCGGGATCCCGCCCAACCCTACTCAAAAATACTTTTGTTCTTCCCAAATTTTCACCTTGTTAAAGATTTTTTGCAAGCCAATAACTTCACTCTAGGAACTAAAACCTTAAGGGCAGCCTTTATGCTTGATCGAGATTCAAGATTATAATCTCAAATAAGAGCTTTTGAACGGTCACAAAACCCACTTAACAAAGATTTCAAATTTTATACCTCAAAAAATATTTAAAAAATAAAAATTAATTTATTTTTCAAGTCATGTCCTTCAAAACAACAAACAAAAAACAACAACCTCTCAATTAATTCCCCCCAAATACACAAACGTCGCCCTCAATTATTACCTACTTTTGACGGAATTTTACAACAATTATTTTCAATATATACTCGCCATTTACTTGTTGATTTTTACCCTTTATTTATTTTATTTCCAATTTTATTAACGATATTTTTGGGTTTTGGATTTATTTGGATAGAACAATTGACTATTTTGGATGCTAAACTGTTATATACACCTAAAAGTGCTTTTAGTTGGAAAGAGGAAGAAATATTTTCGAAGGCAAAAATTTTTTTGAAAATTTTAAAAAAATATTAGAGGCGGAAGACATTAGGAAATTTTAAGTTTGGGGTCCTAAGAACTTGTAAAACCATCTAGATTTTTTTTTGATTTTCTAGGTTCTGGTTGTCCAATAAATCTGAACTATATTTCTAAAATTTGGATAACCCACAAAATCTTTAAATAAATTCATTCATTCGCTAAGATGAATGAATTAACACTATTCTCTAAGATTAGTGTTAATTATACATAAAACCACTTGGAAAAATTTTTGGATTTCTTGTTAGAGATGTTTAACAGTGCTGGGTATTTGCCATTTGTTGGCTCCGGCTCCGGCTCCGGGCTCCGGGGTTTGAAAATCTTGGCTCCGGCTCCGGCTCCGGGCTCCGGGGTTTAAAAATCTTGGCTCCGGCTCCGGCTCCGGGCTCCGGGCTTTTAAAATCTTGGCTCCGGCTCCAGCTCCGGCTCCGGAGCCGGCGATTTTCGGAGCCGCTCCATGTTGGCTCCGGGCTCCGGCTGGAAAATCAATTAATTATTTTTCATTGGGGGATTTGGGTAGATAAGGGGGATATCGAGTGATATCAGAGGATTAAGAGGAGTATCAATGGATTAAGTGGCATTTGGGTGGATTATCGTGTGCATTAAGGGCGATATCGGGGAATTAAGCTGGATTAAGGGGATATGGGTTGTCTGGGAGTTGGGCGAATAGGAGATGTTGGATTTATCCTCTCATTATCTCTTGCTTTTTGCGCCGCAGGCGAAAATTTTGTGAATTTTGGAAGATCCTTAAGCCAAAAATCTTCCTTTTTTGCGCCGCAGGCGAAAATTTTGAAAAATTTGACTCACAGGAGACTAAAATTAATCAATTAAAAAAATTTATCCAGCTTTATTTATTTAAAAAATGCTTATTATAATTTATTTTCCAAAGAAAAACAATTATTTAATCATTTTTTGTAATATTTTTCGAACCTATAACCGAATAAAACTCGGAACATAACTCACTATCCATTCAACCACAACTACTTTTCAAAGGAAAGGAAAGAAAATCTTTTTTACCCGTCTCAATTTTCTCTTCCTTTTCTTTTCTCGCCTACCATCTTTGCTTACTTTTTTTCTCTCTAACCCATCTTTAGGGGTGTATAGCCGGAGCCGTGGGGAATTGGAAAACCTTGGCTCCGGCTCCGGGCTCCGGGGTTTGAAATTCTTGGCTCCGGCTCCAGCTCCGGCTCCGGGGTTTTCAAAATCTTAGCTCCGGCTCCGGCTCCAGCTCCGCCGGAGCCGGCTCCGGAGCCGGGCTCCGGAGCTAGCTCCCGGAGCCATACCCAGCACTGATGTTTAATCTAGAGATGCATTTTCTGGAAAATACCCTTTTCCTGACTTTAATCCAAACTTGGTAATGGACATGGATTTTGTTATCATCATCCGGATATTTACGGCGGATACTGGTGGATATCCTCAGGCATTTTTAAGTTATCTGTATCCATGCCGTATCAAGTCTGCTTTCCCCCTTTCCTGATTTTTTTTAATCTTGGCTTCTGCTCCGAAGCAGAGCTGAGTCGAAACAAAAAAATCTTCGAAAATCGAAATTTCGACGAGCTCTGTTTCCAAGCTTAATGTGTGTTCGCAAATATCCTCAAATTACAACAAAAAATTCTTTAAGAGAAGTAATTTTTAAATTTTAAGCTCTGGCCTATTCGTCCTAACGAATTTGTCCCCGAACGTACCTTTCAATGGGAACGATTTGTCTATTTAATAATTAATGGAAGAGGGAAACAGGGAGGAATATTGCCAAATATACTTGAGGAGGATTATCTGGAACAAATTGAATTTTTAGAGAATGATTTACCTAGCAGGGTTGTTATTAAATTATTGAATGGATGGAAGGATGAAATATTAGTTAATGGACAAAAGATTAATGGAATAAGTATGGAAGGATTAGGAAAGGATGGATTGCTACGTTTTGAGGTTGGTCAACAGAGCCATGATTATTTTAAATTCTTGACCCAACTTATTTTAGGTACAGAAATATCCAGTTTATGTCCCTACATGTCCGCAAAGAAATATGCACATTAGGGTTGTCCGCAATCGCGGATTGTGTATTGGGAATTTTAAAATTAGAATTAAAGACTGCGTTTGAGGAATTTTTTTTAATTGTGGACAGCCCTTATAAGCACATTTCATTCTCTTTCATCCATTTTTTGAGTTTGATTTACGGTCGATCTGTAATATTCTTCAATATTCTCTTTGCGGATAATGAGGACATCAACTTGAGATTTACCTTGTAAATTGGGCAGATTGGGAATAAATAAGATAATTATCACTTTGCAACTATAAATGATAGTCAATTAAAGAGTTGGACAGTGAACAAAGATTTCCGTCCGCAGCTTTAACAATCCTTTTTTTCTTCCGATTACCTGTTTTTCTTTAAGATGTCAGAAAAAATAGATATCTTCCCATCATTTTTAATACCCCTTTTTAAAGGATTTATGCCTAAATTGGAATGGCATTTGTTCTAGACAGTCAGGAATTATTCAGCTCCTTAAAAAAAGACACGAATTACAATCTCAAGGAATTGATGTTACCTTCCCTAGAGCAAATACTCGAGGAAATCCAATTTATTTAGCATTCAATATTGGAGGTGTTAGTACTTTTGCGCCTATAAACGATACAATCAAGGCACGTTTATTTTCTTATATTCGTTTGAATTTAATATGGATACTTCATTTTTATCTTATAAGGACTAGAATTGCCACAATTATGTAAATCACCTATAATTTAGTGCTTCAAAGATTTCAAGCATTTTTCTTAATAAAAAAAGACACGAATTTATTTTTCTACTTAATATTTGCAAATTAAATTAGTGAATTACTTAAATTAAGACTTATATCGCGGACTAGAGCTAATTATGCTTACAAAAATATTAATTTTTGGGACGGGGATTCGAGTTGATCCTTACAAGGTGTGAGAGGATATGGAAAGACAATGTCTTATTATTTTGTTTCTGGGGCTCTAAAAATAATTCTTATCGCAAGTCGCAGTTTATTTCATAGAAAATACAATTTACGTATCCTTTAAAAACAAGGATCTTGTTAATAAGGAAGGAACGACTGTCCCCAGTCGATCTCAGTAAGCGACTAGGGACAAAAATGTCTACCTAACTCCTGGTTAGATGACTGTGAATTGTCTCAAACTAAATCTTAGTTCATTTATAGTCAGTCAAAGGAATGCGTCTTTGGTACTTTCTCCGATCAGATACACCTCAATTTGATAAAATGTCCAAAGCTTGGGAAGACGCAGTCGAGCAATTTGTCAAAAAGGAGTGGTCAGATAATGAATTAATTGAGGCTTTTAAATATTTTTACTGTTTAATTGAAGCATTTAAAGGTCAATGTAAAGCATTCACGTAGCTACGATAATGGATTGACGAGAAATGCTAATAGGTATGCAACGGGTGAAAGAGAAATATCAGTTTAGTTAAGAGACTATAACTTTTGAGCCTATGAACCTATTTCGTTAATTTTGGTGTTATTTGATAGAGGAAAAAATTATCTATAAAATAAGCTTTAAATCAGAATTTTTGGTTAACTTAACATAAAGTTATAGTCAAAAAACTGATATACATAGTATTTTAGGCGAAAAATGGTAGTTTTGAAGGTTCGATACTAAAAACTTGACTTATTTTTTGAAAATTTACTTTAAGTGATTTTTGTAGCCAATTTTAATCCTCTTTGAAATGATACTAACATTAAGCCTCAAAATTGGGTTTGGATTCTGCAAAGTTATAAGGCTAGAATCTCTGTGGTACTAAACTTAACTAGAACTGGCGAATTTCCTTAAGAAAGAAAAAATTTTTCAAATTAAAAAATTCAAGAATTTTTAAAATTTTAATTACCATTTTTTCCTCAAAACCAGACTAAAACCTTATTTCACGGTCACCGTAATGGTTCTAATTGCCTTTACTACATTTTATGCTTTACGGTGGAAGATCAATAGCCGATCAAGTAAACACCTTTCAATGACTATTTAAAAAATTTTTTCGAAAGTTTCTATTGACTGGCTTCGTTCTAAACCATTGCTAGCCCTTGGAGGAGTCCTCTCAACAACTATGGCTATTATAAGTGGAATAGGTTTATTGTTGTGGTGTGGGGCGTTTTTTGCTGAAATTACTCTTGTTGCTCCTTTCCTAGTGCTTTGTAGGTTTTTTGGAATTTTCTGTTAATTTTTAAAATTAATTTTAAATGATAATTTGAGCAAAAAGTTGCACAAAGCTGATATTAAATTTTCATAATATTACATAAATTCAGCTAATGTAAGAGCGATAAAAATGGCCAAAATAAAAGACAAAACCATGCATGATCGTTCACTGCTCCTTTATCCAGTTTATGTGTATAATCGCACCTTTATACGCAAAATCAACCTTTATACGACCTTTATACTTTTTTTAAATCACATGTTTTATGTACCCGGTTCTGCAATATATTACCATAAAATCCATGTGAATAGAAGGCTCTACTCACCCAGAGTTTTGATACACACGCATATTACAAGACCTTAGGTCTTATTCTCCGAACGTAAATAAGATAGCTTTAAAAGTTATAAATAGGGGGCGGATTTTTATTGAAATAAATTCGCAAAATATGGCCATAAAATATTGAAATAAACTGCCAAAATATTGACAAAAAATGCCAAAAATTAGTGAAATATTGAAATAAATTATGGCTTATTCACTAGTAAAAATCAAAAAAAAATGTTGAAAATTAATCCCGTCTTTAAAATTGCATATTAGGTTTAAGTATACTTTGATAAATTGAGTATTTTTACTCTTGTGCATTCTTAGATGGGCCAAATTGGGGATTGGACATTTTGGTGATTTTTTCAGTTGGCTTATAGAAGAGATCTATCGAGGATCAAAGCAAAGAAAAACTATAATAATCTATGCCAAGAAAAACTTGCGCCTTGCGACAAATTATTCTTTACTGAGGGATTCTCCTCAGAATTTAACAGTTTTTTATGGGTGTGCGCACAACCCACGTTCCAAAAATTTTCTTACTTTTTATCACTAAAATTTGTTTCTTTTCTGATTTTAGAGCTAAATGAATACAATAAATATTTGAATTTTTGCATATTAAGTAAACATTTTAATTTTTATTTATTCCACAGCTATTGGTGTTGACGATATGTTTATTGTAGTAGCTGCTTGGCACAATACTGAAAATAAATTTCCAGGCAATTCAAAACCTTTAAAAAATTTCCAAAAAAATTTCTTAAGCAAAAGACTCAACTTCTTTAAAAGAAAGAATGGTTGAGGCAATGTCTGAATCCTCTGTTGCTATTTTTATTACCTCAATAACTGATGTTATTTCGTTTGCTGTGGGGTCAACAACGGATATTCTGGCAGTCAAGGGATTTTGTATGATGACTTCTGCCTGTATGCTCTTTACGTTTATTTATCAGGTGCATTTTTTTATCAAATTTAAAGATAGTAGCCTTTAAATTTAAATAAACCAGCGCGGTTTCTCTGGCTCACTGTAGTCACATTCTGTCAAAGGAGTTTCAATTGATCAACACCGGTTCTGAAGATTAGGTGACGGCAGGAGATAACACAGAAAGGTCGAAGCCAAAAATGACAGAAATTACTCAAAAATAGAAATTGAAGTTCCAAACGACTCTGCTAACACTAAACATATATTGGCGAATAGGGTTGTCGGTTTCAAACCGAACCGAACAGATCCCAAAAAGCCGAAAATTTAGTGTTCGGTTTGTCGGTTCGGTTTCGTTTAACCGAAGGCCGAAAACCGAATAATAATTTTTTTTCTATAAATCTTTAATAATTTTCTATAAATTTTTAATAATACCCTCCCCCGTCTTGAGATTATTGGACATGGTTTTACACTTAAAACTATTTCAAAATTTAGATAACATTCTTTGCCGGTCTAATGGTGATTAGTGCAAAATTGCAAATGAATGAACGTAATGCTTGTTGTCCTTGTATAAGTGTTAGTGAGGATGATGAAGATAGTAAAAATAGATCTAAATCCTTAGAAACAAAAATTGAGGAAGAAAAAGGTGAGATCTAAATCCTTAGAAACAAAAATTGAGGAAGAAAAAGGTGAATAAAAGGAAATAAATTTCCAAAAAAAAATTTTCAAAAATTTAGAAGCCGATGAAGGTATAGGCGAAGAAGTCGTTGAATCCGGCGGTTTAAATAAAATAAATAATAAATTAAATATATTAACATCTTCCGCTTCATTTTCTTCTGATTTTTCAATTTCTACAAGCCAATCGGCTGAAAATAAAATTAATAATACTAAATCGAAAAAATACGCCAATGTGCAATTTCTTTAGGTAAATTTCATATTTAATTATTTACAAATTCTGTCCCAACTCCCCAACCGTCGACAATCCTTTCCTCTTGATCACTGAAACAATTATCCGTGACGGGTCAGGGGCAACCTCATTTTATTGTTTGGTTAGCTATTGGATGGAAGGTTCTTCCATTCTAGTCTTCCACTTTGGTTTTTCCATTTTAGATAACTCATATTATACGTTAACTTTTTTCCCTTCGAGAGGGGGGGGGGGGGAGGGAGGGAGGGAGGGGGGGAGGGAGGGGGGATCATTTAAAAAATTTATTTTTAAAGAAATTTTTATGTGGACTTTATTTTGAATAAAAGAACCAAATTTGCCGTTATTATAATATTCTTAATTTATTTGGTTTTGTCTGTTTATGGAATTGCTACAATGCAACAAGGATTAGATTATGAAAAATTGTTGATTAAATCTGATCCACTGGTTTGATTTAAGATAATTTTTATATGTATCTTCATCTTTCTTTGAAATTTAAAAAATTTTGTGGACTATCAAGCTTGAATAAAAACAGTCCAATATACATCCCTCGGGGTTAATAATATACTATTTTTCTGTTTCCTTGCGGTTACAAAATTTTATTATTTTTAGGGTCTAGTTCAGAAACCTATTAAAATCTGAAAAAACTGCCTACTTCAATTTTATAAATCCATCAAAATCATTTGAAAATGAAAACGCTCACTTAACTCAAACGGTTAGGTTCGAATAGACAAACAAGAACCTTCAGTATCGTAGGCGAACCTTTCTTATCGTCAATTTAATTCAACCCAAAACTGACTAGTATCCATTGGAACCTACATCTAATCTAATACAAGTTAACAATCCTAACTTAAGTCTCTTAGTTAATCAAATAAACTATTTATTCAAGATGCGTACAATGAAAATGGAAATTGATCTCTTTCACGGCGGCGATCAGATAGAAATTGCAATAGTTCGGGCACCAAATATGAGCTTAAAAATAGAGAGGGAACGAATAAATAAATTGGTTGAAGAATTCGAAAATATCCCTTATTGTATAGGCAAAAATGGGACAGAATTTTGGTTGAGAGAATATATTAAATATGCCGAACAGACGGGGGCTTTTTTAATTGAAAATGATAATTGGTCGTGGAATAGGGGTGTTTATGAATGGTCGAGACTGTTTGCTTTTTATAAGTTGTGGTAAGTTTAGATAACTTAAAATTTTATTTTATAAAGGGTGAGATCGGAAGGAATGGGTTATTTCATTATACAGCCAAATCTCTTTATTATCCACCTTAATTTTATATAATGTGGAGGGTCAAGTAAAACAAAAAATGAACATAAAATGGTTGATCTTTTAACAACCTTTCATCGGAGAGCTCTCGGGACCTCTAACGAGAGCCTTAACCCTACAAAATCCGACTCGAAATTCTCGACCTGAAGTTTGGGGTCCAGCCTTAGTTAATTAGTCATTGAATATTTTTTCGGAGGGATCGTGCAGTCAAAATTGATAAATGGATATACATAAACTATTTCTCATGAAAAATTATGTAAAATTACAAAAAATTAATTCTAAGGTCACAAGATTTTGTTTGGGAAAATGATCAAATTACACCTACAGATAATTGGGATCCTCTTGAAATGCGTTCTTTTCGGTATTTTAAAAATCAAAAATTTAAACATTATTTTGAAAGTTTTCGAATCGGAGTTACTAATTTCAACAATGCCAATGACCTTGTTTTGGTAACACAAATGTTGAGGGAAGTAGCATCAAAGCATAAAGACCTTCAAGTTTATACTTTTCAACATGGAAGGGCTATTGCTGATCAAGTAAAGATTATTAACTTATTACTCTTTGCTTTCCTCTCACTCTTTGCGTTCTGAATTTTGTAAAAATTAAAAATTACAGTTGAACGTTCTTCTGCCTTTCACACTTCGTAATGATTTAATAGCTATGGCATGTATGGTAGTTATTTCTCTCCTTTGTATTCCTAATCCAATATGTACAATTTGGATTATGTCAGCTATGTTCAGCATTGAAATAGGTATTATATGAAAACAAAAATTTTTATTTGTTATCAATTAATTGACATTAAAATGACCAATTCGTCATCAATTAATTGGTATTAAAACAATTATTAGCCTTTTTCAAAAAGTACACATGGGTCAAAATGAGACTTAAGCTTCAGCAATAGAAACTATATCTATGGTGTGTGTATGAATTAGTAATCTGACCGACACAAAAATGAAATATCAGATTCTGAGAATTCTGGATCCTGATTTTCGAAAATTTCGGGAATGTTGTTTATTAATTTAACAACAGTCAAGGAAGGACTTACCTCTAAACAATAAGTAACGGCATTTTAGACAACTGGATATTTATGATGGATGAGACATGTATTTACCCATGGATTTGAAAGAATTAAGAGGATATTGCGTGATCAAGGAGGATATCGACTTTAAGAGGATTTAAGGAGATGTGTAATGTCTGAGAGAATTAAAGCTCCAAGAGGTTTCAAGAGTCATGTAACTAAACTGGGTAATAAACGCTATACCCATTAATATGTAGTATGCTACTTCAACCCATGTGCACTTTTTGGATAAAGAGAAATAAAAGGAGCTAAACAAATAGTGCCCAATTAATTGCTCCATTAATGAAGTTATTGGTTTAATTTCCACATTAAATGGCTCAAAAATTAATTGTTTTTACTATCCATTTAGGTGTGATAGGCTTCCTCTCATTTTGGAATGTCAAACTCGACCCGATCTCAATGATTACTCTAATCCTTGCAATCGGATTTTCAATAGAATTCAGTGCCCACGTAACCTATGGATTTGTTAGCGGCCCTGCTGATTTAAACCCACGAGAACGTTGTATTGATACTCTAGAAAAATTGGCTTGGCCGAGTGAGTTTGTTGATATTTTTTAGGATTAAAAAACAAATAGCTTGGATATCGTTAAAAATTGAGCTTCATATTAAAATTTTGCTATTACTATAATATCCTTCAATAATCATTACAACCCGAGAAAAATAAAATGGATATTGGCAAAAAGGTTGGGGCCTATCCGGCCCAGTCCGAAAGATTGAGTCGGGCATTGAATTTTGGCGCTAAATAGACTTGGTTGGGCCGGCCCGATAAAAATGACTCGAAGGTAGGCCCGACTCGAAAACCCCAACCCTAATTGAAAATTTACCATTCAATTTTTACTATATTCTCGGATTGATTTATCATAATAAAATTTATTAAAAAAGTTAGCAAAGTTAATTTAAATTAGATTTTCAAGCTTAAATTCTAAAATTTTTAACTTATAATTGTGAACAAATACTTAAATTAAATATTTGAAAGTCTGAAATTAGTTTAAAAATATTTTTCTAGTGGTTCACGGCTCTATTTCTACAATTCTTGGTGTTTTAGTACTAGCTTTCATCGATTCCTATATGGTATAGGTTGAAGTATTATGATTTAAAAAAAATTTTCTTCTAGGTCAGAGTCTTCTTCAAAACAATATTTCTCGTTTTGGGTAATTTTAGAAAAGAAAATTTTTTAATCCAAAAATATTTCAAGTTATCGGTGTGTTCCACGCCCTCGTTATTTTGCCTATACTTTTGCATGATACTGTCCCCTATGGAGAAAAGCTTGCTTCGAAAATATATGGAAATAAACAGAGCATTAAAAATTCTTCTAACGGAGAGGAAATTGAACAGAAAAATAAAAATTTAAAAATTGTTAGGGTTAATTAATTTTTAAATTTTATTTTTTTTAATTGGTTTTTGAAAAATTTTAGTTTATGAATGGTAAATTAAATATAATTATGTTATAATTTTTTGAAAAAAAATCATAAAAAAATGTTCATTAACACATTTAGTGCCATTCTTCCTCTCCTTTATTAAAAGGATTATCTTACTTAAATATTTCCGTCAAATCCCATTGAAATAGGGGCAGGTAAGATAAAGAAAAGTTAATTTTTGCTATCAACCTTCCAGAATACCCCCAATTTTAGACGAAGAAATCTGGCTTCGTGACCTTCTAAATTTCTCAAAATTTTCGCATGTGGTCTGAAAAGTAAGAAATTTGGTGACTTGGTCTTCCAAAATTCTTTAAATTTTCGACTGCGGTAGATTTGTCAACTGAGTTGACAGAGACACTTTCTTAGTTTATAATTAGTTGTTGTAAAAATAATAAAAATTGTGTAATATGTATATTTTATGTATGTATCAATAGAAATTAATTTATTTTGATAATTTATATTTAATACTTTTCCTGAATTTTTTAATTTTATTTAACTTCGTGTCATAAATAATTGGAATCCAATTGTAAGGGAAATTCTCAATTGAAAGCAGTGAATGACTGAAATCCGCATCGAAGAAAACTTTGGCATTTTCTTTTTTTAATAAATATCCAATCCACCATCCATATGTTGAGGACGAAGCTGTCAACAAAAGAGAATTGCAAATTGTAATGGCAAAACACATATCATGCCCTCTATTCATTGGTTCAGGAATATAAATTTTTTTACCCTGTAAATTTGTTGAAAAAATAATTTTGATTTTGGGAAATGCATAGTGAATTTAGTGGAGGAGTTCTGCTGAGTCCGTACGGTTCCGTCCCCCATGTATTTAATTCCGTTGATATATCTCAAATAAATTGGTCTGAGATACATATATCAATAATCTCAAATCCATTGATAACCTATAGAGGGATATAGAGGGGAAGTGATTAGGAGTGCGTTGGTGATTATCAGAGATATCGGGGATTTTCGGGAGTAAGATACATATAATAGGTCCATATATGTCTACTTTAGTGTCCGTGACTTTAGGCTTAAACTAGGTGTCAGTCAAAACGTTCCCATCTCAACCAAATAAGACAGATATTTAATAAATTATTAAGAGTATCTTTAACCTTATTTGTTATGTTCAATTTGTATAAAAATTGCTTATCCTCACCAAGTAAAACAATAGAACTTCCAAATTTTTTATGCTAAATAATATTAGTAATTTTGCTGTTTGATTATTTATAAAGATTAAGTTGCTAAAAAATTTTTAAGTAAATTTACCCTTAGCTCATTTTTTAATATATATTCTACGCCTTTCTCTGTAAATATGACATCAGAAGCCTTGTGCCATTCCTTCCATTTAGCCTTAGTAAAATCACCACGGCGCGTGTAAACACAAAATTTATGTGATTTATCACTTCTTTAATTAGGTATATTTTTTAATCAACAATTAGGTATCTTATAAATTGTAAATTCGATCAAAGTAGGGTTTTATTTCATAACACACTACATAAAAAATCAGTGATGCTAAAGAATATTTCTACTCCGGGCGAAGAGTGCTTGTAATTTGGTCTTGGTTTTCTGTTTCTGCGAGGGAAATTTTTATAGGGCCATAATTAATTTCCTTAAAAATAAGGGTTATAAGAGGTGTAAATCTGTTGATGGGGGCATAAGTTCTGCTGAAACGGAAGACAGCCCAGTAGCTCAGACTGTAGAGTATTTTCAAGTGTGTTTTAGGCCTAATATACACTGTTATCAAGGCTTATGTCTGATTTATAGCAATATAAAGTATAAGGAGAAAGTATTTAATATGGGGTAAATGTCGCCTAGAAACGGAAGAATGATGCCAGATAAATTAAAACAAACCTAAATAAACGATAAATAAAATTATCCACGTTCATTCTAATATTATCAGAAAATCTAAATAACTCTCTAAGTTCATTCTTAATATTTAATAAATATTTTGGAGATTGAGGTGGTGGTGAAATAATTAAATATTTTGCTGTATATTTCTCCAAAATTCTGCAATTATCATATCAAATATTATTCTAAAAACTTAGTTATACCCTTCAGCATAATATTTACAACAATGCTCTTCAAATGTTCGGTCATAAATAAAATCATCATTGCTTTCAACTTGCTTAAATAATGTTCGGAAATTTAGTCACAAATTTTTCGGAAAATCTTTGAAATTTTGTTTACCAAGATTCACATTAAGATCACCTTATTTTAATCGTTATAATTACCCAAAAACAATTTATCTAAGGTCTAAAGTCAAGATCTAAATCAAGGGATTATGAGGGTATGGATATGATATTTAAGGATTAGGATATAGATTAAGTAGGAGACTCGAGGAGATATCGAGGAATTTGTAACGTATCAAAGTGATTAGGATAAGTTGTGGCGATATCGATGGATTTAAAGGGGTTAAGAATTTTAAGGGAGCTTTAGAATTATTTAAAAATTTCTAAAAATACTAATTATACTAATTACTAATTATACTAATCTATACTAATTACATAAATAGTTATATAAATATTTACATACAAAATAATATTGAACTGCATGATAAAGTGGAAAAGTTCTTTGAATTTCCCTTGGACTATTGAGTTTATCACAGGTCCATGTGCTTGCATATGAAATACCAGGAAAACGACCAGTTGATTTGGCTAAACTATAAATCACTGCATAGCGCCACATCTATATAAAAAGAATTCAAAAACTAGTTGAATTCTTCGATAAAATATTTCATAAAATTTGTTGAAAATATGTCAAGGGTCGAATAAATTATTTTTATTAGTTGTTCTCCCTAATTTATTTTTTAAATCCCCTTATATTTATGTACATATGTATATCATTTCATTTGGAAATTTTGTTCCTATGTACTTTTAAATCGAGATTTTTTTACTCTTGATCGGCATTTCGTCGATCCGTGTCCTGACATATATCTATGTATTTAGATTATCGTATGTAGCTTTTAATTTAAAATATATAAATATTTCATAAATATATCAAAAATAATCTAAATAATTACTTGATTTGCTAAACCACCACAATCACCATTCCAATGTTGAGGAATTTGCATTAAAAGATATTTCGTTGTATTTTTAAATGGAGGTGGGAATGATCGTAGTAGATACTTGATTTTCTTCTCAAAATTAATTGTTGAATTTTGATTTTCTTTTCCAATAATATCATCAGTCTTTTCACATAAATGGACTAGTTTACGAGACAAATGAAGGGGTAAAGGGAAGATTGAAGGGTGTAGGGCAGATTTACGAGTTAGGTTTTGTGCGTGTTATGACAAGCAAAATTTAATATTAGGTGTTACATTTTTTCATGGCCATATTATAAATCTATGCTTTGCTTGCGCCGAATAGACACTTAACCACTACGAATATGGAACTTGTATGGTTTAGGTACATTTTTTTAGCATACCTATATGAGCTGTCCAAGACTCTTGGTCTTGACTCAAGACTTTTTTGAGGTTCTGTCGGTTTTGGTCTTGAGCATGGGGCATAGTCTTGGTCTTGACTTTTGTGAGCTTTTCAAAACTTAACCCCTAAGAATTAAACTTTTTGGACTCCTTATTTTGTTTTTAAAATTATAGAAATCTGGCCTCTTGGCTTTCTAAAATTCGCAAAATTTTGTCTGCGGCGCTTTAAAAAGGAAGAAATAAGGTCCAAGAAACCCAGAATCTGATCCACTCAAATCCACAGAAATCTCATCAAATTCTCGTAAATAAAAACATACATTTAATGGCAGGCAAAAATATGAAAATAACAATCACTAAGATTATTATAATTCTGTAAATCAATTTCTTCAAAATCATTTTAATCAGGGTTGCGGTTCTTGGAAAATTTTTTAATATCCTTCTCCAAAAAATAATCATAAGACAAATTAGCATACTGTTAATGTTAAATTAATTTGAAAAAATAACTATAGAAAATAAAAATCCGGGAGACTAAAGACGAAACGTAAGACCCAAAAAAGACGGAATTTTTTATTGATAATTAAAATCACAATTTCATATTGCATGTGATTGGGGCTGAGACTTTATGCGTTTAGGCATTTAGTCCACCCAATAAAATCAAAAAAATTTTTTAAAAATTTGTAATATTTACAAATTTTTTCCAATATTTTTGCAAAATTTTGGCAGGATTTTGGGCAATTATCTTGATATTATCTCCAAAACCATCAAAATATGTATTAAAATATGTATTTATGCACCAAAAACCGAAATATGCAAAAATATGCATTATAAGCAAATAGATATTCAAAACAAAAACTGTGTTTTTGTGCATTATACATCATTGCAAAAAATATTCATTTACATAAAAATCCGACCTCTATTAATGGGATAATAAATAGTTATAATAAATAGAGCTATAATAAATAGCTAAATTTCCCGGTTTCTTAGCAGAACGTTATATTGCCTTTTTATTATGAAAAACATTCTTAGACTAATTTTTTGCTTAGCACTCTATAAGTTTTATGTCCGAATCTGGATTATAATGTATTAGATGAAATAAGTTAATCAAATTAGCAATCTTTTTCGGCGATTGATGATTTATGTTTATTCCTAAAACATGATTTAAAGAGCTCTGTGAATGCTCCTTTTATGATGTGCATGAACAAACAATAGTGATGATTCCTTCAGGATATTCACATGTAATTAAACTTATAATAGAGATCGGATTGAGAGGGTCGTACGAGAATCGAGCTCTCGAAAAAATGTCTCGATCCCCAATGTGTATTTAATCCACTCGTATTTAATTCTTTATCAACTTAATCAATTCTATGACAAAAAGAGTTTGAGGTAGAATAATAAAAAAATAATAATAAAGATAGACGATCAATGTGATGGGGAAGGAGCTAATGATCATTTTCGATAATCAATTTTTCTTTGTATAAACAATCCAATCCTTCTCTAGAGAAATCCAACTTTTTGGAAGCATTTGTTTTGTACTTAATCCGTAAAATTTTCTCGGCAAATAAAATATTGGGCGATTCTAAAATATTTTAAATACTTATTAAAAGTTATGGCGCTACTATAGAATGTGGGGGTTTTTAATCGGCTGAGATTTTTAACACGGTCAGTTGAGGGCTATTTTAAAATTATCAGAAAATAATTGAGCTATTGTAAGGATGAACGATATCAAAAAATAAAAGAGAAAGCAATAGTCGTTGCTCCGGTAGTTTAGTGAGCGAAAGCGCCTAGCAATAACTACGAGGAGGTCGCAGGATCGAATCCTGCCCAGTGGCTAAACTTTTGCTAAACACTTTCTCTATTTAAAAGCCCTTCACAGACTAAAGTTGTGCCAAAGTTATTACTTATATATTATAAAAATTTAACATTAGGCATTAAAAACCCCATCCAAAATGCATAAGAAGAAAGTGAAGCTGTAGATAAAAAAGAATCACAACTTTGACTAGCAAAATTTAATTCCTCTCCACGTGTCAGATTTGCATCAATAACATAAAATATTTTATTTATTGACTAAAATTTAGTAAAAAATTATTTAAAAAATACTTCGTACCCCATCAACTTTTATTGACTGTAAAAAATTTTTGTCCATTCCGAACATTAACAAAGTAAATTTTCTTTTCGAATTTTTCTAAAAATTAAAAATTTGTGGAAACATAAATAGAAGGCTATAATATAGTATACCGGAGGCAAAATTTCGATACAAAACACACAAAACACATCGATTCCTCTCGGCGACTGAGTCGAATGGTACAAAACTCAGCCTGATTCGTTGATTCTAAACAAAGTTATGACCATTTGTTTTTACCCCTTCACATACATAGGCCTTGGTAAAGGAATTTGCCGCTGCCGATGAAGAACGACGGCCTCAAGGTTATTTCAATACTACTATATCCAACTCGACGAGTTTTCTTGAATGAGCTCCTAATTGACCACAATAATATGATTACTATCACATATTTTTTTCCATTTTCGGGGACCTATATAAAAAATAGGTAACAACAACAAATAACAACCCTCTAACTCGGTCGACAGGCATTTCCTCACTGGAAAAGTAGTACCGTTCGACTCAGTGTGCCAAGAGGAATTGAATGATAATTGCTTTTTTGCCTGCTATATACTATAGTATATCCCAAATAAATATTAAACCATGTGACTTTTTAGTATAATTAATATTCTTGTTATAGCATCGCTAACTTCCTCAACAATAGATTCACCAAATCCAGTAAAATCACCAACTCTTGTGTGGACACAAATTTTGTAGGAACTATCGTTACTATAATTGTCATTAATTATTTATTCCCTGGATTTTTACCTAAATAATTTCTTGTGAATATACGAGCATTTCCTAACAACCCTCGAACTAAATTTAAATAGTTCAAGTATTCTTAATCGCATATGATCAAAATATTGCACATTTATGAAATTCGGACCACCTGTTAACATTAAAACTCTACTTTCCTGACTCAATAGTCTGAAAAATGAAGCAAATATAAATTAGATCATGTCTAATTTTAAACTTTAAAAAATTACAAACATTTTTGGATCATTATAGTCACAACAATGTCTTGCAAAATATAATTTATATATATCATCAAAATCATCCTTCTAATTATAAAAAAGTAGCAATATAATGTAGAAATGTTAAGGAATCTATGTTACCGTATTTTCTCGATTACTTCCTATGGGGATTTATTTTCTTCAACCCTTACATACTTGGCATGGGGAATTAATCGAGGGAGGGGAATTATTCGAGGGAGGAGGGGGGATTATTAGAGTTTTGGCATTTGAACGTGCAGTGGAGTATTTGGGGGTGGGGATTTATTGTTCCGACCCAACTCTAGCATGGGGAATTAATCGAGAGGGGGAATTATTCGAGGGAGGGGAATTAATCGAGAAAATACAGTATACGAGCTTTAGAGCCTTAAAACCTTAGAGCCTTAAAACTCCTGAAACCAATTTAAAGATTGTGGCGCGTGTATAAAATTTTAATAAACTTTAATTGTTAAGGCAATCGTAAATGAGTATGCTTTAATAAGGCGGCCTAATCACCCTAATAACCTGACTACCCCAGTAAACCATAATTTCTCCAATGATCCGTATTTGCCACTGATTTTATATATTTTAACTACCAAATAGTAGATACGTGAATAAAAGTTAGGAAAGACTTCTTTCAATTCTTTTTCAATAAGTTGTATTATTTTTTTATCCAAAAAGTAAACAGGTGTTCGTTCTAGCAATTGACCCATTGCATAGAGTGAAGCGAACCGGAACATCTATATTAGTTAATTTAATTAAATGAATGAAAAGATGGCAAAAAAGTAATTGTGTAATTGGTCGAATACTATATTTTCCGGTTACTATGGCATGTATGCTTCCAAATAAGGCTAATCCTTGCAATTATTTTATTAAACGGTTGTTTAGATTTTTTGTCCAATCTTTTTATTTTGTGCTAGAAAATTAGGAATTTCTTGTACTTTTTTCCACAGAGGCCTCGTGGAAGGAGGTAAAACAACCGGTCATAACTAGGGCGTGTCAAAATATGCACAGAAAATCCCAAAATATGCGCATATATATGCACTGAAAAAGCCCGAAATAATCACTGAAATATAAAAAAAAAATTTCAAAATATGCATTGGATATGCTCTCAAAATTGACTAAAGTTACTCAAAAAATGTGAAACAAGCAATAAAATGTTCGAAAATTAATTTTGTGGCTCGAAACTATAAATTTAATCATTTCTTAGTTATTATTTTGTTTCTAAAAATAATTTGAATAAATTTTTCCCGAAGAAATTTTTGACAAAAAATTTTACAAAATTTTTTCGAAGAAAATTTTTGAAAAAATAATATTTTTGCCAAAAAATAATTTTTGAACTACAAATTTCTCAAAAAATGCCAAAATATGCACAAATTTTGGTTAAAATATGCAAAATTTGCCAAAATATGCACAGATATGCAAATATGCACGAAACTACCGAAATATGCAAAAATATGCATTAAGAACCGGGTCCTAAAGTGCCCGGACTGATGTAAAAACACCATTTTTGAGCGTTTCAGCTTATGGCATATCTGCATACAAAATATGCAAATGCATGTTTTGACACGCCCTAGTCATAACTTTGTCCAATCGCGTCAGATTTGTTGATTTTGATATCAATTTAATCAAATCGACACGAGATCTTTCCAATGTGCTATCATTTTTAAAATTGGATTTTTTACTCAAAAACCGGTGCTCTTCAATTTTTAAGCTCTTTAATTTTTAAGAGCTTATTTTTTGATTCCGCAGCGAAATTTTGGTACCATACAACTCCGCTCGGCGATCGCTTACCGTAATCGATTACCCGACCCACCCATGATAAACATAAATTAACAAACCTGATTACCTAATTGACCATCCATATATTCTGTTAAAATAAACCTATCAAATTCCGGAATTTTTTTCCTGAAATTTAAAGGTTCTAGCCATTGATGCCAATATATTCTCGATTTATTATTTAATTTTAAAAATTTAAAAATTTGTTTTTCTTTTTCCTTTTTCTCTGATAATTTAATTTCTACATTATATGGAGGAGCATTGATAAACATCAAAATAAGTATTGGAATTAAAATAAGTTTTTTAGTAGTTCTTAATATAAAACGGCGTTTGAAAAGGTAATAAATCCGCCTAAAATATTTCCACAATTCCATAATTATTAAAAAGGAAATTATTAATAATTTTAAAATTTTGGTCTTTTTTGGGGATAAAAGTTTTTTATTAATTCATTTTTTAAATAAAAACAAAGGAAACATTTAAACAGATTAAAATCTCCATATTTTTTTAATTCAATATTAATAAGCAGTTTCTTCTTTTTTTGATTTTCATTAAAAAAAACGATCGTAAATTAAGATTAATTTCAAAAAAAGTAAACTTGTTGCAAAAATGATGATTTATTAGAAGAAGACAAAAAATATTTTGAATAAAGTTTAGATAAAGACTTTCAACCACCTCTACAATCAGTGGTACTTTGTTCCTAAACCACCCCCCTCCCCCTCACTATTTGAGTCTAAGATTAATTTTCCTTTATAACTGTAAATCATTTATTTCGATCAAAAATTATAAGCAAAAGGCACGTTAGAAGAGGTATTTAGCCCTCAACTCCATAAAAATGATTGTTATTTTCTAAATAAATAAATTTTTCTTTTTAACGTTATTTATAGAAAATGAATTATGATTATTAATTTTTACACCAACGTGGGATTCTGCATTGAGAGCGAATCTGCGATATGTGCGGAAAAGAAATGAGAATTTCTACGGCTCGAATTTCTTATATGTATATGAAGATGTAAAGCAAAAAAATGCTAATTTACAAGAGGAATTCGAACTAAAACATGATTCAACAGTGATAAACAGGGAAGTAAATTACCTTTTTAACGATATTAAAGTTCAATTTTTGGCGGAGTGTCGAGTCCAACTCAATAAAATTTTATCAGCGCGAGATGGACATGGGGTCTACAACTACAGTTAATTTTTGTAGTTACATGCGTGAAATCTGCTCAAATATTATAAATAAATTGTGACGCAGTGTTATAGGCGGTCAAAATTTAACCGTCTAAGTGGATGATCGGTGTTTACTAAGAGGAAAAATAACGCTGGACGTATTCTCCCACAAACTTGGGTTGTAGGTAATCTCTTTTAGGTAAAGCATCTCTTTAATGTAAAGCAAAAGCTTGGGTGCAGGTAAACTCTTTTAGGTAAAGCTTATAATATTTTTAAAACTAAAGAGAGACTAAAGAAGTTTAAGTCGAAGTGGTACCAAATAGAAGAAAAGGAACCACGTTAATGAAGCTAATCCGACACAAGATTGCTCCTGGTTCGAAGAGTTTGACGGATATGTGGAAAGAATACAATGCCGTTCCTCGGATTCTAAAAAGCGGGAAGCCAATTTATACACATTTTACAGTTAATCACTCAAAAAATTTCTTTAATCATACAGATAAAAAAATACATACGCAGAACATCGAACGACTTTGGAGGTCGACAAAACGAAGGAATAAAATGTGAAACGGAACACGCAGAAAATATCTTAAAGGCTACCTAAATGAATTTGAATTTACTTTAAATTATTAAAAAATTACGCATTATTTACTTTTTCGTTTCAGTTTTGGTAAAGAAATATTTTTGTTTGTTTAGTATTGTAAAAATGACGATAAAAATAAAGGAAGAATCAGGTATTTTCAGTCATTTTTGTCATATTTTTAAATCAAGACTTAGAAATATATGTTTTGTTAGATAGCCGT